TTCAGAGTAAGCCATTTCGTCCGGCAGATTATGAATTTGGGCTTTTTCTTGGTTAAATCGTCGGACGTACGAGCGTAGGCCCTCATTCTTTCCTTGGACGATTGTCGCCAAGTTAAGGCTAGTCTTTCGAGGCGGTATGTTGTATGAAAAATTTCCAACAAACAGAAAACTAAGAGTAGTAAAACAATTGATACATCCGGCCAACAAACTGTTGAACCAATCCCACGCCACACCTTTCAGAGTGGCCGGAAAACATTTGCACCAAGTAGCGTCGTCTACGCTTTGCAAGTACATCAGGTTCCTGTACGAGGTGATGTGTTCTTCTAGGTTTCCCGTGCCATCATAGGCTCCCACAAGTACACTATTCACCTTTGGCGGCTGAGGGGCATTTAAATATCTTGCGAAAACGGGGGCGGCTTATCTCCCAGAGTAAGTAGGCGCATCTGCCAATCGATGGGTTGTGGTTTCACGGACGGTCCAGCCAGGTAAGGAGCCTATCCGTACACCTGCCCGTATGGCCCATATTGTCCGTATGCCTGGGGGTTCGGCTGCATCAAGCCATTGAACCCCTGAGGAGGTTGATATTGCAATGATTGAGCTGGAATAGGAGTTGGGGTGCGGACCGCCTGACTTCCACTGGAGATGGCCATGTTGGTATGTTGGGAAAGAGAATGATGTGAAAAATTATCCGGCATAGTTGGGTTGAGGCCGTGTCCGAGTAGGTAGCGCGCTCCCGCTGCTTATGCCGAAGGTAATCTCTTGCGTCCTTCCATCGTCTCCTCTCTTCGAGGCTGCCTACCCCTCCCCCCAGCCGACTGCATTTTCGCCAGCAAGTTAGAGAAATTAGTCCGTGGCACCCTCGGGGACCTTCCAGTCGGCCTTCGAAAGGGAGTGTTTCCAGCGTCCGTTGCATGGACTGCTTTGCTGTGTGTCTTCTTTGGAGCCCTCTGTTCCTCTCTCCTGGCAGCTTCCTAGAGGTAGAGGCTCCATTGTTTTCAATCTCTTTTCTGAGTTTGTTAAGCGCGGCCTTAAGAGAGGCTGCGGTAATAGGAGGGTCATCAGCTTCTTGAAATGTGGTTATCAGAGGATTGCTAGTACGGATTGTAGGGATTAAATCCTCTACATGTCCATCCTCGCCTGGATTAGGTGTCTGACCGTCTATCGCCATAACGTACGAGTGTCCCCACAGACGACGCCAAATGTTTCGGGGGTTTTTTGGATTTCCAGGGATACTGGTCACTCTCTTCTGGCAACGAGACGGTCCAACCTGCAAAACAACGAATATTCCGATCAACGGAATATTCGCATCCGACGATAAAGTTAGTGATCGGAACGGAAAAGGCTAGAGAGAGAAAGTAAAGAGAAGTTGGAGCTTTTTAATGCTCTGTTGTTTTTAAATGTCTTAATCTACCCCTCCCATCATAAATGATTGGAGTATTTATAGGGGTAGGACTCGTGCCACTTTCTAGGGTTTGTACCCTAGATTTACGTGACGTGATTGGCTGCGCAATCAGATGATGCCACGTGCTACTTTGAGGGCGTCGTTTGCGGCTTTCATTGATATCTCTCAGGCTTTGGGCCCTAACGTTGTTAGGGCTATCTAGCGTGCTAATTAGAAAGGGAACACATGCGCTAAACACGTGGCATCTTCTCGTGACGATACGTGTCACCCTCTGACTGGGCCACGTGTCGCTACAAGATTGGCCTAAAACCTTAAGTGCTCTGAATTGCATGGCATTTTCCCGTAGTGACACGTGTCACCCTATAAATGGGCCACGTGTCACTATGGGATTGGTCCACGTATACGAGGTATTTTTACCCTCAACAATTTCCATTTTAGGAAATTGAAACGGAGGTATTATATATATATATATGTATAATAAAATCCCAATAAAGAATATCTTAAAGTTATTATAATTAATCAAATTAGGCAATTCTTCAATCGGTTTTTTTTTTTTTAATGTTTCCATTTTCTATTTATATAAAATGAAGTAGTAAGTGGAAAGTAGACCCTATTTTTAATTTTCAGATATGAGAGTGAAAGTTGAGATAAGATGTGTAACGTGGATATTTTATTTACCATTAAGTTAGTAAGCAAAATTGGTAATAAGATAAAAAAAAAATAACACATGAAAACGAAAAATTACCCATCAGCAAAATTGATAAGATAAAAAAGAACATATAAATCATCAAAAGTTACTCATAAGCTATCAAAAGTTAATGTACACTCAGTTTTTTTAAAATATTTGTGTTTAAGATTATATAATTCATCCGACCTTAACACAATGAGAATTCTCAATCATGACTTAGCACTTTTAACCAAACAATAAGGTTTATAATGTCTTTAATGCTAATTCAATTTTTGGGCACGCCCAAAATAAAATAAGAGGTATCTAAAAGTGAAATTTATACATGATCAATGGGGTGTGAGTTTTGTTCTACGCAAGATTAAACCGTTGCAAGTAATATAGGACTAATCAAAATTGCTAGTATTATTGTGTGTATAAATTTCGATAATTATCCTTCAATTAAAGACATATGGATCTTTAACGTTATATTTTGGGACTTACTAGTAGTCGTTTGGGACCTCCTAGCTAGTTGTGTTTATTGTTGTGTACTACGTACATGAGTATATGTTTTTGTGTATCTCTAAATTAAGCTAATGAGACTTTGGTTAGACAAAGTAACATTTATGGTCTATTCACATTTACTGAACTAAACTGAATTGAATAGAGTTGAAATATATATTTTTTGAGAGAAGGAAATTAGGAGTTGAACTGAACTGAACTGATTGGAGCTGAACTAAACTGAACTAAATAGAGCTGAAATGAATATTTTATGAAAGAAGGAAATTAGGAGCTGAACTGAACTGATTAGAGCTGAACTGAACTGAACTAAACTGAACTGACTGGAGCTGAATTGAACTGAACTGAAATTAGGCTGCAGTGAATAGGGCCTTAATCTAGTCAAAACTCAAAAGTACTAAAAACGATATCTGAACTAACCTTATATATACTTTATTAACGTTATATTTTGGGACTAAATAATAGTCGTTTGGGACCGCCTAGCTAGTTGTGATCATTGTTGCGTACTACGTACATGAGTATATGTTTTTGTGTATCTCTATATTAAGCTAATGAGACTTTGGTTAGACAATGTAGCATTTAGGATCTGTTCACATTTACTTAAATAAGCTGAACTAAACTGAGCTGAATGAAGCTGAATTGAACTGAAATGAATTGAATAGATATGAAATAAATATTTTTTGAGAGAAGGAAATTAGGAGCTGAACTGATCTGAACTGATTGGAGCTGAACTGAACTGAACTGAATAGAGCTGAAATGAATATTTTATGAGAGAAGGAAATTAGGAGCTGAACTGAACTGATTGGAGCTAAACTGAGCTGAACTGTACTAAAATTAAGCTGAAGTGAACAGGGCCTTAATTAGTCAAAACTCAAAAGTATTAAAAACGATATCTAAACTAACCTTATACTTTTGTACTCCGTATTTTTAAAGATATAATTGATCTACTTTATTTTGTTTTAGGTATGCCCAAATATAACGTAGGTATACCCAAAATGTGAAACGATTTATATATTAACCCTGATTTATATATATTACTTCGTATAATTTAGAAGTAAGATGAGGAAAATAATAGAGTAATATGATGATAATAATAATAATAATAATAATAATAATAATAATAATAATATTCATAATAATAATAATAATAATAATAATAATAATAATAGTAGTAGAAATTAAAATTCTATCTTCCAAATTCCAGTTAACATCCCCTTCTCCGAATCTTATTCTATTTTTTTTATTTTGATGTAATGTTAAGCTACCATGAATTTATTTACGCTAACTGATTATATAACTAATTTGAACTGTACTCCTAACGTTATATATGATGTGTATGGAAATTTATTGCCAATTTCCCATCAAAACCACATGTGAGGTTTTGAATGATGGTAAAACAGTACGTCAATGGGGTAACAATTTTTTTATTATTATTTATTTTTTTAGGAAGAAGTTATACATCAATAGAGATTTCTTTATTATAATTTTTTTAATAATATAATGCTAAAAGTGGTTTTCATTAAGATTAATTTTGCTCAGCTTTTGAAGTCTCAAACTTGCTTTTAAGATTTTTTTTTTTAACTTTAGTTGTTTTTTTTACATATTTTTTTTTACAAAAAAATAATAATGGCAGATGGCTATTCAAAAATAAAAAAATAATTATGAAAAAACAATTGCAAATAAATGAATCTTGAAATTATATCAAAGTTTAGCACAACATAATTTTGAATAACACTGAAATAATTATTGTTCGAATCGTTAGATAAATAAATTTAACTTGAAAAGGGTGGAGGTGAAGAGACTACAATAAAAGATTATGAATGAAGTTTTCCATTGATTTTGTACTCCATGAATAAAGGTAAACGATTATATGAAGCCAAAATTTTAATTATATGATGATCAATTTAATTATGAAATTAAAAAAATATAATAATTTAATTAATTTTTGAACCAGAAGAATGAATGTTGTAGGTTGAACAGGAAGGTTTTAGATAATATAGGTTGAAGATGAAAATAAGATATTTTTATTCAATTGTATAGAAGAAGCCAAAAAAAAAAAAAAAAAAAAAAAAGCTTTTGAGCAAATTAATTTAACCAAACTAGAATTATGATTTGATGACTATTTAATGACTAGACTTGATGACTGTATAATGACTAGACTTGCTTGATGACTGTGTAATGACTTAATTACTAGACCTGATAACTGTGTAATGACTTGATGACTGTGTTAATGGCGTGATGATTAAACTTGATGATTGTTTTGTTGAGGTATTGAATAGGACGGCTACGATTAGTCAATTAAAAAATAAACGGATGAGATTTAATCTCTTACCGTAGTCGTCCATAGTCGTTCGTAGTCGACGACTACGGTAGAATTTTTATCTATGTAATTGTGTTAGTTGGTGATGTATTTATATGATTTATACGACCTTAAAATATGCAGTTGTAGATTCAATTACTTTGATGTGCTACTGTGTTGGGCAATGTTGGTGGTGCAAAACAAAAACAAGAAGAAAGGAAACAAAGCTCAGAAAGAAATACTTCAGGGGAAGATTAGAAGAACAAAGGATAAACCAAGAAGAAGCTGAGAAAACAAAACTCTTTACAGTGAATGAGTTAAAGAAAGCAACAGACAACTTCAACGAAAATCGCATAATTGGTAAAGGGGGACAGGGTACGGTGTATAAAGGAATGCTAAGTGACAGGAAACTAATCGCTGTCAAAACATCAATCTCATTGAATGAAAGCCATTGGAAGGAGTTCATAAATGAGGTAATTATACTCTCACAAGTCAACCATAGAAATGTAGTTAAGCTGCTTGGATGTTGCTTGGAAACTAAAACTTTGCATTTAGTTTATGAGTTTATCCCCAATGGCACTCTTTCGCAACTCATTCATAGTCCTAATGAAGAGTTTCGAGTAACATGGGATATTCGTCTAAGAATTGCATCTGAAGTTGCCGGGGCTATTGCTTATCTACATTCATCGTCTTCATCTCCTGTTTATCATAGAGACATCAAATCATGTAATATACTCTTGGATCATAAGTACACGGCCAAAGTTTGTGATTTTGGAATTTCGAGATCAATTAGTATGGATCAAACCCACTTAACAACTTGTGTACGTGGGACATTTGGCTATCTTGATCCTCAATACTTTCGAACAAGACAATTCACCGAAAAGAGTGATGTTTATAGTTTTGGAGTGGTTCTAGTTGAAATTTTAACAGGACAGAAGCCAATTTGTGTGACTTTAGACTATGCAACGACTTTGGTGACGCAATTTGTTGAAACAGAGGATTCCGCTTTATATGAAATGTTGGATCCTATAATCTTAGACAATAGCAATATGACAGAAGACATAATGTTAGTTGCAAGTCTTGCAAAGCATTGTCTGCATCCCGAAGGATCTTTAAGGCCAACAATGATGCAAGTCTCCATGGAACTAGCGTGTTTGAGGAAAAAGGTACATGCTAAAGTTGCTGCTTCATCAGAAGGATACACATCAGATCTCAGCCAGGAGTTCTTTTCTTGAAAAACCCACTTAAACGAATAATCATGCTCCTTTTTAATGTACTTTAGTTTCTATGAAGTGCTGTTATTTGTTCTCTATGGGTGTTTAATCTGTTTATTCGCATTATTGAGCATATGTGCCTGCAATAGTTGTTTCTTGTATCATTCTTTCAAAAAAAAAAAAAAAAAAAATTGTTTCTTGTATCATCTTGTAATGCAAATTAAGTGAAATCTATGCTTTGTAATAAAACTAAGAAGCGTAAATGCTTACTGAACCTCTCAACTCAATTAACTTCATCATCATCAGATCATGTTGGATTTTGTGTCTAGCTAGCTCTTAGCTCTATCAGGGTGTACTGTAATATTATAATTTTGTTTTCGATGTGGAGTTGTTCTTTGGAATCATTGAGTTGGAGACACCCCCTTAGACGAACCATGAGCCTTTGAATTCATGAATGCTTTGTAACATATTTTTGCTCTATAATTTGTCCGACATTTATCACACTTTGATATGCTTGTATTTCAAAATGAGGGAAGCTTAAACATTGTAAATATTGTAATAATTCGAATGTAAGTATACTGAAAGGCAGAAAAGGGACAAGACTGGTTTTTACTCCATAAAAATTAAATCATTTAAATCATTAAATGGTTGATTAATCTAAAAACTGCTCTGACTAGCAGAATAGCACAACTAGAAGAAAGTACTATGCACTAATTCCCATTACAAAATGCATAAACTAATACAAAGTGTTAGAGATATGAGATATAGGAAAATATTAGCTTTTTGAATCTTTAACTACTTTGCTTTACTATATTAGGGATGGAGTATTAGAGAAAAAATTATCATAATTACGTAATCATATTAACTGTTTTTACATACTTGATGAATATATTCAAGATTTTGGCCATTGTTTGGATAAAATCTTCCTCACACTTTTAAAATCGATCTTGGACTTTGTAATTGTTGTATCAGAAATAATTTCTATCTTTAAGGAGTTGTAAATAATTTCCTAATGAGAACTATGTGAATATAGATCAAGAGCTTCCAATATAGCAAGTACTATTTTCTAATCATCGCGTTATCATATGGTGGATGAGGCAAACAAGATGATGAGTTCTTGTACCTTAGTCCTTCTAAAACCATTGTGACTTCTTTCATTGTTGGCCTTTCAAGTCCTTTCTGGTTCAAGCATTGTTTGGCAAGATTGGCAAATTCCATGATATCCTTTTTCTTGCCATCCTTTATGATCATAGGGTCAACTATATCAAACAAAGTAGAATCCTTCATTGATGAGGCAAAATACATCACCAAACTTAATTCTTCATCATCTTCGGTATCTTCTTCTTTATCTACTAGTATTGGTGTACGAATTGGTTTTTTTTCCCGTCAAAAGCTCAACCAAAATCACTCCAAAGCTATAAACATCACTCTTTTCAGAATACTGGCTCGAATAGAAATATTCAGGATCCAAATAACCAAATGTCCCTTGGACACAAGTTGTCACATGAGTTTGTTCCACAGATACTGCTCTAGAAATCCCAAAATCCGACAATTTTGCTCCAAACTTTTCATCCAAAAGTACGTTGCTAGATTTAATATCTCTATGATAAATTGGTGTTGAAAACTCTGAATGCAAGTATGCAATTGCAGAAGCAGTTTCAAAAGCAATTCTCAAGCGCATTTCCCATGTGAATATGGACTTTTGGATATTTTCCGAAAGAGTTCCATTACAAATGAACTCATACACTACAAGAGGTGTGTCATCTTCCAAAACAACATCCAAGAATCTTCACTACATGTCTATGTTTGATTTGTGACAATAGAATTACCTCGTTAATGAATTGTTTCCATTGGCTTTCCTCGAGGGCTCTTGATCTTTTAACAGCTATAACTTGACCGTCTTTCAACATTCCTTTATAAACGGTACCTTGACCTCCTTGTCCAAGTACACGATCCTTGCTAAAGTTGTTCGTGAATCTCTTTAGTTCCGTAAGTGTGAAGAGTTTAGTCCTCTCGGCGGTGTCTATGTTGGAAGCCCCTAGTACCTCTAGTTTATCCTTGAAATACATAGCTCTTAGTTTGATTTCCTTTCTTCTCTTTTTAGTTTTAAATCGCCACCACCCCCAACATCCTCCACATATTATAATTGGTATGCCAACAACTAGAATCATGGTTACAAAAAAATAACTAATATCATAATTGCAGATAATTTTAGTTGCATATATATCCAAATTTATAATGAGAATTAAGAACAAAATACTATACAATCCATCAAAAGTATCGAATAAAAACTGTCAAATACTGACTTTAAAAGTAACAATGATGAAGATGATTTGCTATTTATACGTGTTCATCATCACACAGTGTTAAAGACTTGAAACAAATATGACAATAATTGTCATGAAAATTTTGAAACATGTGAAATAACTTGGGTTTTCGTTAGTTATTTATTACCATGAGAATTGACATTGATTTTTCATACAATAATTTATTTGCAAATTTCTTCTTCAAACCACAATTTAACACCATGCGTACCAAATAGTCCAAAAGGTGAGAATATCATGCAACTATAATAAACTACATTTAACATGCAATTTTGAGGTAGTCATCCTTAAAATGATTATCACTATACTTAATTTTGATTGGCTAAATTAAAAATGTTCGGAAGTATAATGGCTTGTAATCGATTTTTGATTTTTTTTTTGGGTTTTCCTTAAACGACCGTTTTTTTTTTAAGAGACACACTTCCTCTTTTAGAAATTCCTTAAATTTTAATAATATATATCTTCATCCCACTATATGTTACTTTATCATTTTTCACTCCTTTCATGGTCCCCACTTCCTCTCACATTCTTTTACTTTATCATTTCTCACTCCTCCAACCTACCCACTAACATCTTATTTTATTAAAGTCAATAAAATCTCCTAAAACTCCATGTCGGTCAAACTGTGTCACTTGAAAAAAACAAAGGGAGTAACAAATATGACGAACAAAAAAATTAAGGAAAATCAGTCATTTAAATTTGAGTATAATGGTACATAAAGAAAATTATCTTACTTGGAATAACAGAGCTGAGGATGAGAACTTTTGAAGTAAGAGCTGTAACAGAAATTTAAGCAATTATAAAAAAAAAACGACTAAATGAACTACAAAGAAGTAGGCAATTTACATATAACACACACTCACATCATGGTACAATAGGTTTATAGTACACTATTGAATATTAATCTTACTCCCTATTATTTACAATAAATGTTATGCTGTAAATAATATGGAGTAAGATTAATATTTAATAGAAAAATTGGGGAAAAATCAATCTAAAAAGTCAATATAACCGTTATGTGGGCCCTCAAACATAAAATCCACCGAATTTTTGAAAAGGGTGGTAATCGGAAAACTTTTTTTAATTTAAGGGGTAGTAAAATAAAAAATAAAATAAAATTTAACGGGTGATAGTTTCGTAACAAGTCCCCTATTTGAATGGTAATTTACAAATATTCCTTAAAAATATTCTATTTTAACTACATCCTTCATTCGAACTTATTTTCCCCATTGGTTTATTTGCGTTTATTTTATTATAAGTGCATTAGTTATGTGAAATTAATTATTAGAGAGAATTTTGGTGGACCCAAAAACATTATTTGTTATATTATGGCTATTCAAGATCTAGAGCAAGCTAAAAGAACAAATTAATTAAATTCAGAACAAAATTCAAGGATAGGTTTTTTTTTTTTTTTGACGGGAAAGGATAAACTTGTTTAATTACTCATTGGATTAACTATTCCAAAATAAAAAAAATAGTTAACTATTGTTTCAAGAAAATAGAGGAGTATTAATTACGGAATATTAAATATTTTTCATTATAAAAGTTTCATATATGACTGGTCAAAGTGTGCGTTCAAGATTACTTATTCATGGGTTACTTGATTAGGGGTTTATTTGATCGGTCAAGTGAAACTCAGTCGCTCAAAAGTCACTACTAGAAATGATCCATTTTCCGATGGCCAGAATCCATCGGTAAAATTGTAAAAAACCATCGGTATCTCGTTTACCGATGGATGCCATCTCTAAAAAAACCATCAGATGATAATACGTCGGTAAAATCGAAAATACCGATGGAAAAACCATCGGTAAACTTAATACCGATGGTTTTACCGTTGGCTCTAAACTATCGGGTGCCTTTTTAAATACCGATGGCAAAAGCCATCAGTTTTTTTTTTCGATGGTCGAAGCCATCGGTATATTTCAAATACCGATGGCTTTTGGCCATCGGTAATTTTTGAATAAAAAATAAAAAATAAATTAAAACACCCTGCCTACCCACCCCCCTGCCTGCCCCACCCAACACCACTCAACACCGCCGTTGTAAACCTCTTAGCACCGCCAACCACCACCACAACCCTATTCCACCTACCACCGCAACCGTAAACCACTCAGCACCACCAACTACCACCCAAAACACCCTAAAAATCAACAAAAAAAAAACAATCTACAAAAATCAACACAAAACAACCCACAAAAATCAAGCCGAAATAAACCACAAAAATTAACAAAAAAAATCAAACATTGATGAAAAATAAAGTTAAAAAACAATAAACACACAAAATTCAACAAACATACACCACGAAAATGGTAGAAAATTAAACCCACAAAATCACACAAATAAACCCACAAAAATCAACCCATAAAAACTAAACATCAATCAATGAAATCCCAAAATAATCCCAAATTAAACAACGAAATCAAAATTAAACCACACACAAACAAAATTAACTCATAAAATTAAACAAAAAATCCACATACCTTTTAAATTTCTTCTTTTGGGGGTTTAAATGGTTAAACTCGACCATGAAAATTTCAGATCTGGAATTTTCATGGTCGAGTTTGACCAAAAAAACCTTAAAATTTGCACAAACCTCGTGATGGCGATGGTGGTAACCCTAAAAAATTGTGAACGTTTGTGGTGGTGGTAGTGGTTTTGATGAGGGAGAAGAGAGGGAGAGAAAGAAATCAAAAGAGAGGAGAAACGTTGAGATGAAAGGAGAAGGGAGGAGGACCGTCAGAGAAGAAAGAGAGAGGAAAAGGTGAAGATAGAAGAGAGAAGGGAGAGGAAAGGAGAGAGAACAAAGAATGAGAGGATAAAGGAGATAGAAGAAGAGAGGCGTGGTTGACGGAGGAAGAAAGAGAAGGGGAATGGGGGGCGCTTGGTTTAAATTAGGGTTTACTCCAATTTTTGTTTTGTTTTTTTTTTTATAATATTTTTTAAGAAATTACCGATGGCTCGGTAAAATACCGATAGTATAAAGCCATCGGTATTTTTATTTTACCGATGGCTTTTAACCATCGGTATTTTTATTTTACCGATGGCTTTTAACCATCGGTAAAATTTTTTAATTTTATTTTAAAAAATAAGATTTTACCGATGGATGAAAACCATCGGTATTTTTTAAAATACCGATGGCTTGAAATAACCATCGGTAAATTAAATTTTTACCGATGGATTTTAGTGGCCATCGGTATTTCCCATCGGTAAACGCACGTATTCTTGTAGTGAGTTACCCGATCAATTTTTTGATGTATGTCAGTTGGCCACGCAATGTAGCCAGCCGCACGGAAAACACGTTGTTTTCATTGAAAGATTCAATTTTTGTTTTGGGAAATTCTCAATGGTAACCCCCAACTTCTATAACACTGAAAATGGTAACCCTCTTTTTTTATTTTTATATAAAATGATCCCAATTAAGAATTTATTCTCACTTATAACCTTATTTCACTAAATGGTTAATTAAAGCTAACTATGGTTAGATTTTTTTTTTTAAAAAAAAAAAAAAAAAAAAAACTTTTTTTAAAAAAAAAACCAACCACCACCCACACCACCATCTCCAAACCTGCCAGCCACCATCACCCTTTCTCCCATCACTGTCGATGCCAGGCCATCCTCCCCGCCGCCGCCGAAGCTTCCCCTCCCCCCATGGCGACGCTCCCTCTCTCTCCTCTCACTTTTCTCCTCCCACCGCAACCCCTCTTTCTTTTCCGCCCAGATCAAACCCAAACCACCATGGTTAGAGTTCGACTGAGGTGTAGTGGCTCGGGTTAGGGTTTAGAACCACCGACACCTTTGTCGAAACCCTAAATGGATGGTTTGGGTTACGGATTTGGTTCGGTCCGGGCGGAGGTGAAAGAGCGGGAGGTGCGGCGAGTGACCCAAGTGTGGGTTGTGAGTTGAAGGAGAGAAAGAAAGGGATGGTCTTAATTGGGTCTAGTGGGGTTGTCGGGTTGGGGTGAGGGGCTGGTAGCGGCGACTTGGTGAGGTTGAGGTGGAGGCGTAGGTGGTGGCGCGCGCTTGGAGAGGGTGATGCTGGTGATGGTGTGCAGTGGCAGATGAAGGTGAAGGTGGTTGGGTGGTTTAATTTTTTTTAATTTGATTTAAAAAAAAAAAAAATTAACCATGGTTTAATCTTTTAACCAAATAAGACTCATTAATGTCATAACTATGATAAATTTCTTAATGGGGTCATTTTGTATAATTGAAAAATAAGAGGGTTACCATTTCAGTGTTACACAAGTTGGGGGTTACCATTGAGAATTTCCCTTTTGTTTTTTCTATTTTCATCGAAAGTTTTATTATTTTATCCCTTATCCCGCCATATCTATACTTTAGTATTTAAAAACTATAACCAACAAACTAAGAAACACACATGTCTCCATCCATTCTATTACACTTCTCTAACCATAGTGACACATGTCATCTCACACTATTAATTTATTATTTCACCATTTTTTTTAATTCTTTCATTAAACTTATACTTCATCTTTCATACACACTTCATCTCTCCCCTTTAATTCAAGCTTTTCCAATTTTCTCTTTAATTTTAGCACTTCCACCTTCTATTTAAGCCTCTTTTTCGATTAAAGTTCTAAAATTTTAATTTCTTTAATCATGTTTCCGATTACATATTATACCCTATAATGACTTACTGATATTTCCTCAGTTATCTCTCAATACAATTCCGATTACATATTATACCCTATAATGACTTACTGATATTTCTCACTTATCTCTCAATACAATTTTATATGAATAACCCGTGCATTGCACGGGCCAAAAGGCTAGTTTAAATTCATTTCTACACCCTTATTAACATGATTATAATCTTCCTTACTTTATTGATGTTATTCATAGAGTTTGAAGAGATAAAATCAAATAGACAAGGATATGTATTTAAAATAAATTAAATAAAAAGATCAATCTATCGATCAGAGAAATACCTCATATTATTTTCATTCCATTTTTTAAAATGATTTTTTAATTTAATATTTTGTAAAATTTGTCTAGAAGGGACATATATTCAGTATTTTGTGTAGAAGGACCTTATATATTTAAAGTGGTGTAAAAGAACCTTATAAGTTTATTTTATTGTTTGAGGGTACCTTGAGGTCAGAATCCGACGATAATTGACTTTTATTTCCGACGTTGACCTCTCACGTGACATTAAAAAACGATCCTTCTTTTTTTTTTTCCTCGATTTCCCTCCAATTCCTCTTTCTCTCTTCTAATCCCTAAATGACACAAATCAAAATAAGGGAATTTGAGGAAATCATGGAAAAAAATAAAAGGGGATCATTTTTTAAGGTCACATGAGAGGTCAATGTCGGAGAAAAAAGTCAATTATTGCCGAATTTCGACGTCAAGATCCCTCCAAACAACAAAATAAACTTATAAGGTCTTTTTAGACCACTTTAAATATGTAATGTCTTTCCATACAAAATAGTGAACAAATATGTTTCAGACAAGTTTTCCTAATATTTTCATGAATTAGTCAATCGAATGAATAGTCTTCAATAAACACATACTACACATATAAACAACTACACTTAGTTTTTTTTTTTTTTTTTTTTGAAACAATTTGTTAATTAGTTAATATATTACCATAGCTACAAAAATGTCTAATGTGACCATCACGACACGTTCTTTTATCAATCTATTGATCAATTAAATTAAAGAACAATTAGATGAGATAAGCATGCTTACGAAACCATGTGGGAGCATATCCCCATTTAAGCACAACCGGTACCGCAGTGATCCCCGACGCTAACGGCGGTCCAGCTTCTAAATATTTCTTTCCGATCAAAAACGCTGTTCTACAAAATCCTGATGTATTAGTTGTTCCTACACTTATTCCGTATTGCTTAAGCTCCATGAAATGTTTATGCACAGAAGTCAATTGAACTTGACAGCAACGATAACCGTAACATTTGCTTCTGCTTACAGTTACAGCTCCTGCAGATGGACTGTTATCAGGGCTGCAAACTGAGGTGCATCCTGCTATCATTCCACCAGTCTCGTTATAGAACACGGCGTGTCCGTCGCATCCAACTGATGCAAATACATTTCCATCTACTGCATCTCCTGCAAATCTGAATGGTGAATCAGTCAAGTTATTGCTCATCCATTTTGCTTCTGTACTGTTGTTATTTCTACTGCACGTAGATAATGTTGGGATTTTAACGATTAGTGAGCCCCAGGAGCCTTTCCGACCAGAACGTTGGATCTCGAGGATCTCAAGATTGAATTTGCTTAAAACTGGTATAGGTGATGGAGTGGAGGAATTACAAGAGACGGCGAATTTGGGGTTTGAGTAGCAGCCCTTGCCGTCTGGCGGCCCGATTCCAAAGGGATAGGGAATGTTAATACTGCCGCACCGGTGTAAGCAATCTGTATCTTGCCTTTGTTGACATGGTTTCCATGAACAACACAAGATGATTATTGACACAAGCAAAGTGTATAAATTCAACATTTTTTCTATTCGATCCCAATGGTATTGACACGGCTCGGGTCATATATGAGTTATAAATAGTTTACTTTGTTTGGAGTATAAATCAGTTTGAATTGTTTCAAAAAAAGAAAAAAAAAAGTCAAATTAAATTAAGTGAATAATATATAATAACAAAATGAGACACTTAAATAAAACCAAATTGAAGAGAGTATAAGTTTCATTTAAAATTGTTTGGAGTATAAAAATGGAACAAGTAGAATAGAGCTAGTTGCTCTGTTTTGTGGAACAGGGTTTTTTTTTTTTTTTTTTTAAAAATGTTTTGTGGAACATATAGACAGAAAGTCCAACACTCCAACATAGATATTATAATTTTTTTAATAAAAAATATTACTATTAAAAGATACTTACTGGTATAAATTAGAGCTACTAGCTCTGTTTTATGGAGTAATAGTTTAATTATTATGTATAAATTTGTTATAATAATGTGTAATGAAACATTCAATGAAATTTATCTTTGTCATCTTTTACCAGATCATCTCTTCATAAATCCTAGCTTTCAATACACATAAGATTACTCAACTTTAATTATTTTAATATAACTTCAAAAATATAAATGAAAAGGATGTATGAAGTAGATAAAGTAATACTAAATGGTCTAAATCCCCCAAAGGACAAGTGACTCATCACAACTCACCACAATATAATTGTTACTTCAACTACTCGAATGCCTAAAAACTAAGAAGCTAAAACAAAGCAAAAACAAATGCCAAACTCAAACTTGTTGACAATAATCTTCTTCTCTTGTTTATGGAGACCATGTCAACAACAACAACATCCTGATTGCATACATCGTTGTGGTAACATTGACATTCCGTACCCGTTTGGAATCGGGCCGCCTGAGCACGGCTGCTACTCCGATGACAACTTTGCTGTCTCTTGTAACAACTCATCACGTAAACCAATCTTACAGAAATTCAATCTTGAAATTCTTGAGGTGCGAAGCAATCCGCCATACGAATACGGACAATATGGAGGAGTAACTGTTAAGATCCCATCAGTCTCCGCTTGTAGGGGTACTACCATACACTGGAATAGTCCGAATTTAAAGGGGTCTCCATTTAACTTTGGAAGTCCAAATATTTTTGCATCTGTAGGATGTCATGGTTATGCCTCATTCGATGATGGTCGAAATCGTAACATAGAAGGATGCACTTCAATATGTCTTGATATTCAAGAAACGAATACGAGTACTTTGTTAGAGTTGGACCAATGCTATGGCTATAACAGTTGTTGCCAAATTGACATTCCTTTGGCTAAAAAATATAGCATTAGTGTGAGTGTCAACAATGCATCAGGGCATTATTGCAGGTCAGCCTTCTTGATAAGTCGGGAATATTTGGCAAGTCATGCACTAAGCCAGTCGACCGTGCCTTCGATGGCTGCCGTTCCGGTCGTGCTTCTCTGGTATATAGAGAACCTAAATGAAGGTACTTAATTTTTTTGTTCTTTTTTTTTTTATGAAATGAAGGTACTTTTTTTTTTTTGAATGAAGGTACTTAATCTGATTCTTGTATATTATTAAGACTTTTAAGAGTTTCTTCATTGTTATTTGTTTTTGTTCTTTTCTTAAGTAACTCCAACTACATACACACACACAAAACAAAACAAAACAAAACAAAACAAAACAAAAAAAAAAGAGTAGTTTTTTACATACACCATCTTACTTCAATCTAGGGGTGCTAATTGAGTTGAGCACTCGTACTCGTCTCGGTCAAAACTCGACTCGACTCGAGATGTTAACGAATACGAGTTGAGCAAGCTCTAACTCGACTCGATAAACTCGTGAGCAACTCGATAATATAATACTAATATAGAATTTGCAAACAAAGTTATTATTTTTTAACATATTTGATACTTATTAAGTCTTAATTTATATCATAAAAAAATAAAGAGTAAATGTTTAATAATAACTATATATAATAAGGAAAACAATATAAATTGAAAAAAAATAATAAGGGCATATAATAATAGAAGGACCAAAATTTTAACGAGCAGATTGTGAGCTACTCGACTCGAAAGTTTAACGAGCACGAGTCGAGCAGGTTTTATTTGCTCGAAATTTTAGCGAGCACGAGTTGAGCACATGTAAAAAGTTTTCGAGTTGAGTTGAGCACCCCTCAGTTCGTGATCGACTCGCTCCTACTTCAATCACCTTTTTCTTAAACCTAACCACTCTCTCAATAAGTATTTTATTATCAAGTAATTGTGCAAAAAAAGTTAGATCATGTAGCTGATGAAAATATTTGATTTTAAGATTGTAGATGTTTTTGTAATACTTTGTATAATTCAATTTTTTTCTTTTTGAAACCTTGTATAATTCTAATTTTATGAACAGTGAAAGTAACAAAAAATTGTTATTTATTTATTTATTATTTTTTTAATTGACAGGGTATGAACGATTCATGTTTGCTGTTCGCTTCGTCTTGCCAAGTAAGTCTGACTGACCTAATTATTGAGAATTTGAGATATGTACTCCCTCCATTTTTATTTTTTTTAAGTGTTTGCTTGGGACTTTTTGAATGTTTCTTGACCCATTTTAATTAACGTTTGTTAATTATGCATAAGAAAAAAATATAGTCTTACTTATACTTGATATAATCGTCTTAATGAATAATATTGGTTAATTAGGTGAAATACCCAATAAAAAAAAAGTTGTATTTATATTTTATGGTAATATTAAAGATATAATTGGTCAAAATTTTGTATCAACATGTGTGCCAAGCTCCAATGAGACATTTTATAAACACGGAGGGAGTAATATTACTTGTTAAGCTCGTCTTGTGTGTGGCTAACCACACCGTGTGATCACTTATAAAACAATAAAGTAACCTCAATAACACTGAACGAGTAACCCCTAAAATACTGACTGAGTAACCCTATATCACTAATTGAGTAACCCTATAACACCGACAAAGTAACCCATTTAATACTGACCAAGTAACCCCTATTACACTAATAAAGTAACCCTTGTAACACGGTGTCCACACATAAGACTTTTTGTTACTTGTGTTATCCCACAAAAGAAAAGATTATTTAAATATATACTTTAGTGACAAAATATATGATGGATAGGTTTTTTTTTTTTTTTGAAATAAATATATGATGGATAAATTAATAACTATGATAGATTCACCAATTACACGAACTCTTTTATCTCACTTGCATTCATACTACTTCCTGTTCTTATGTTTTAAATTACAACGTTGAAGTTCAACGTTGAATTTATATATTGAACCAAATCAACCAAGTAAAGATGGCTTTGTACAAGGCCCAATCGAGCCCCCTAGCCCTTAAAAGCCCGTTCCGACCTAGACCCATCATGCACAGGCCGCCAATTAGTATTATGTGCACCATGGTGCACCTAGAATTAGGTGCACCACTCCTATACTTTTGAACATTTAGTGAAAAAAATTTGAACATTTTACAAAAATATGAACATCTAGTAAAAAAAATATGAACACGTCACAAAAAATGAATATAAACATGCAATTTTTATGTTCATATCTTATAAAGAAATGTCCATTTTGTATACATTAAATGTTCAGTTTATATTACAAAACTATTGAATTATTACGAGTTAGACAAACTTCTTTCAAAATTTGTTTGACTTGTAATAATTCAAAATTTGTGATTGTTCATATTTTTTTACTAAATGTTCAAAATTTGTTATTGTTCATATTTTTTTTACTAAATGTTCAAAAGTATATGTGTGGCGCATTGCGATTGTTCAGATATTTTTTACTAAATGTTCAAAATTTGCGATGTTCAGATTTTTTTACTAAATGTTCAAAATTCGCGATTATTCAGATTTTTTTACTAAATGTTCAAAATTATAGGTGTGATGCATTGTGATTGTTCAGATTTTTTAACTAAATGTTCAAAATTTGCGATGTTCAGATATTTTTACTACATGTTCAAAATTTGCAATTGTTCGGATTTTTTTTACTAAATGTTCAAAAGTATAGGCGTGGTGCACCTATTTCTAGATGCACCATGGTGCATCTTAAAATTTGCCCACAGGCCGCTGTAACTATTTGCCTATTCGAACAGACTGCGAACTGAGCTGCGCCTGGGCTTGATTTTTTTTGTGATGTGGGCCTGTCCAGCCCTTCACCCATTTTAACCTTAGGATAAGCCTATGTGCTAACTTATCAAACCCGACCCGTGGGCTCACTCATAAAATCATAAACCACGGCCCTGCCCTTACCATTATTTACTTATTTTTTTCCCTTTTTCATACACATAATACTACTTTCAATTAGAGGTGTCAAAACCGAACTGATCCGAAAAAAATTATTTGTTTCGAACTGTAACCGATCCGATTTGATCTGCGAAAATCAAGATCCAAACTCGATCTGTAAACGAACCGAACTCAACCCGAATCCGAACTTGACCCGATCTGAACTTAACCCAGCACCGATTTGATCGAATTGAACACAACCCGAATCCGATTTGACCTGACATGAACTTAAATCGAACCAATTTTACCCAACCCGAGCTCAACCCGATTGGAAATTGACCCAAAAAATATCCAATCTAATCCGATCTGTTTTGAACCGAACTGATATCAACCCCACCCAATTTTAACTCGATTTGATTTTTACCCGATCCGAATTTAACCTGACCACAATTAATTATCAACTTTTTTATTCCAGTTCTTGTATTACTATATTTACTAATTATTAATAAGTTCAATTATTTTACTACAAATAAATAATCCGGAGTAACAAGTTTACTTCATGTACATACCAATTAATTACTCTCTAAGCTTTATATTCGTCTCATCTAAAATATGACATTGAAGATTGTACAATTGAAGATTTATAATAACCTTTAAAAAAAAACATTCTTATTTGTATACTATATACCACCATATGTAACTATCATTTGTCAATATATCACTAGCTCATTATTTATCGTCTCACTTATATATGCATGATAAGTCGTCGATAATTATTCAATTTCAATTTGCCTCAAAGATAAAAATTACGCATAACTTGATCAAATGAGAAAACTAAAATTTCATAATTCATAATTAATAATCAAACGATAAAAATATATGATACGACTTGATATTAACCCAATAATAAGGTAAAAACTCATAATAACTCTAGCTTAAAAATAACCTTATTTATTTGGATATAATTTGGTAAACTCGACAAAATTCCAGACAAACACAAAAAGGAATTGAATTGAAATTGAACAATAATGAATCAACAGTACGGATCAACCTTATCTTAATCAAACTGAACTTGATCGAACCGAAATCAATCCGACCCAAATCCATCCAATCTGAAATAACCTAGCTAAACCCGTTTGGAACCCGATCCGAATTTATACGAACCGAAAGTGAACTGATCTAGAGTTGACCCGACCCATATCCGACCCGGAATCGATTGACCATGACCCGAATTGATCTGACCCGAATTTGACCCGACCCGATCCGAGTTAAAAGAATAATTTTGACCCAAATATATCCGATCCGAACAGACCCGACCTGAATAAACCCGACCAAAACTCCATCCGGTTATCCGAATTGACACCTCTACTTTAAATTAGTATGTTTTCCTTGTTAGTGTAACCTTTTTTTTTTTTCTGATCAATCTTTGTGTTTCGCGGCTACTCCGTATGAAATTTTTTTTTCTAAAACAAATAGTTTAGAATTAGTCTTATATGTGGCTAGCTACCGTATGACCACATTAGTTTATAAGAGTAATCTTCATTTATGTGCATGGGTAACCTCAATTTTTCATAAGTATAATATCATGTTATTATACGAGTAAGTTCAAGTAATTTAGAATTAAGTAACTCCAATTGTTCATGCATTCGACTAACCCCTATTCTTTTATTTCAAAAATATAAAAGAATCATTCCACTTATGTAAGAGAGTAACCCCTATTTCTTATTTAAGTAACCTATATACATGTTAAGGTAACCCTATTTGCTCATCACCTTAACCTCCTATTACTTGATTAATTGTCTTGTATGTGATTTTATGTAAAGTGGTCACACCATATGACTAAGACTTTGTGAATAATTTATATGGGTGGAGTAGAGTAGTAGACTGCTGAACATTACATTTTTATTTTTTTCCAAAAACGTAGAACCAACTCACATGTGAAATTGCTTCTTGATATATCTGCCTCATGAGTTTACAATATATTGTTTACACTATAGGACTATGAATAATGCAGCTGTAGGTTCATTAATTTTGGCATGCTACTGTGTTGTACAATGTTGGTGGCATAAAACAAAAGATAGAAGAAAGGAGACAAAGCTTAGAAAGAAATACTTCAGGGGTAAATTAAAAGAACAAAAGTTCAATCAAGAAGAAGCTGAGAAAACTAGACTCTTCACAGAAAAAACAATTAAAGGATGCAACAGACAATTTCGATGAAGACCGCGTTATTGGTAAAGGGGGGCAAGGCACAGTGTACAAAGGAATGCTAAGTGATGGAAAACTTGTTGCTGTTAAAAGATCAAGTTCATTGGATGAAAATCAATGGAAAGAGTTCATAAATGAGGTGATTATTCTTTCACATGTCAACCATCGAAATGTAGTAAAGTTGATTGGATGTTGCTTAGAAACAAAAACTCTACATTTAGTTTACGAGTTTATTCCCAATGGCACTCTTTCGGATCTCATTCATAGTCCTAACAAAGAGTTTCGAGTAACTTGGGAAATTCGACTAAGAATTGCATCTGAAGTTGCCGGGGCTATTGCTTATCTACATTCGTCGTCTTCAGCTCCTATCTACCACAGAGACATAAAATCAAGTAATATACTTTTGGATCATAAGTATGTGGCTAAGGTTTGTGATTTTGGAATTTCGAGATCAATTAGTATTGACCAGACTCACGTAACGACTTGTGTAAGAGGCACATTTGGTTATCTCGATCCTCAATATTTCTTGTCAAACCAATTTTCAGAAAAGAGTGATGTTTATAGTTTTGGCGTAGTTCTTGTTGAAATTTTAACAGGACAAAAGCCAACTCGCGTCACTTTAGATGATGCAACAAGTTTGGTGATGCAATTTATCAATATAACGGATAACTCTGCTTTATATGAGATGTTGGATCCTATACTGTTAGGAAGTAACCATATGATTGAAGACATAATGGTAGTCGTAAATCTTGCAAAGCGTTGTCTGCACTCCGAAGGAGCTGTAAGGCCAACCATGATGCAAGTCGCCATGGAGCTAGCGTGTTTGAGCAAAAAGATACGTGCTAATGTAGCTGCTGCTTCATCAGAAGAAAACATATCAGATCCAAGTATTGACTTCTTTTCTACAATAACCAACATAGACGAATCGTGCTCCTTTTGAATAAATTATAGTTTCTATGTTAAGTACTACAGTCTGATGTTTAAAAGAGTGGAACATGTAATTTGTAATTTCATCACCAAATGTAAATGGTAAACACTAAACAGTATAGATTAGATTCAATTTCTTTGAAAGAGAATTTTTTTTTTTTTTGTTTTTTTTTTTTGTTATATGTATGTGGTATGTCATATATTTCTAATTATAGCCTTATAGGTGGTTGGGGTAACAATGTGACAACTAATTCTAAAGAGACGACTACATTCTTTTTCCTTTCTATTCTTTTATCATTGCATTTGTGTACCGTTTTGCTACATTTGCATAGAAATCTCGCACACAAAACGAGACTCGCTTTTCTATCATAATCTTGTTACAGATTACTTATGGCTTCCAGGCCACCAATTTTCAAAAGATGATGGTACCTTCTTTCCTTGTGCTAATTGTTGATGGCGTCCTGGATTTGCTCTAGAGTTTTTCCCTTTGTTTCAGGCACAATCGTGATAACAAAGAGGAATCCTAGTGCATTAATCGCGGCAAATATAAAGAATGTACCTAAAAACACACAAAATTACTCTGATATCATGTTTTTATGTTAATTTTCCATGAAAATAATGTAATGACAAGAGTGCCAGTAATATTCATTCAATCAGGTAGTCTGATACACAATTTAATTTGCATACCGTATGTACTCCAATTCATCAGAAACTGGAACTTATACGAGACTAACCAAGCACAAAACCAATTGACAAGTGTGGCTAAGCTTCCAGCTAGTCCTTTTATATTTATAGGGAAAATCTGCATCATAAAAAAACATTCATTAGTGATTTAGTCCATTTAAACTAGTATATGTGGTTAACTGTCTAATCATTACCTCTGACATTATAACCCATGGAACTGGTCCTAATCCAATAGAAAAGAATGCTACATATACCTATAAAAAGAATACAACATTATCAAGACTCTGAAAGTGTGAAATCTCATATCATTGACAAGTAATCAATTTGTTTATTCATTTTTCGATTTGCTGATTTTAACTCCTGCATACCAGTATGCCTGTCGCGGCAAGTATTCCTGCTGTCTCTGTGGACTTGCCATGGGCCTAGTTTAGTAAACAGAGATACAAGATTAACTGGTGTTATGATTTATGTAATAAGGTTTTGATATTAACATTTTTCGGGTTGCCTTACTTGTAGGTAGAACGCGACTGCCACCAATATAAAACCTACACTTGCTCCTGCTGCAGAAACCTGTGCAGAGTAAAGTAAGCTCCTACATAGGCAGAATAAGTGTAGCCTGCATTATATTTGATTATAGTGCTAAAATGTACCAATTGCAGTGGCTTTCTTCCTAATTTGTCAATCAAAGTTGCTCCAACGCACGTAATTACAACCTGTAATATAAAAGTTTATGATAATTAATTATGGTGCCAAACGTGTTATTAGAGGAATCATGACTTTGGGTTGATCACAATTCAGGAACCTGAAGAAAAGTGTATATAATGGTGCCAAGTTTTGGTGAAAATCCTGCATAAAATAATGCAAATGGTGAGTTTTGTACTTTTAGTATTGAGGTACTGATATGAATTTTGATGGATATAACCTTCAATCGCAGTTGAAAGGTTTGGAATCTTGAGTCTCGGTCAAGAAACGCTAAGCAACACGAGCTTAAAACCTAAACTAGGCCAAGAATACACAAGCACGAGCTTACGTAAAACTTTATAAATTTCAAATCAATCAATCATACTTTTCGTTAAACACCATCACGTATTTATAAGCTAAATAAATAGCCTAAAAATCGGTAAAACAAATTCTAATCTAACTAGGAAACTAACTCTAACTTGTAAAGATAATATTTTGCAAATATGATCTTTAAAGTTAAGCTTATCTTATACTAACCGAATTGAACTAACAAAAATATCCTAATAAATTCGGTCATCTAATAATAAACTAAAAATAACAATAAAAATAATTATAATAACAATATTGATGCCTTGGAACCGCATCAGGTACCAATTATTTGTACTTCGTATAAATATTTTTCAAAGAATGACTAGATGAAGATTTTCACCTGCCATTTTGAAGATGTTGCTTGCATAGAAGCAAATCCCATTAATTCCTCCAAACTGCTGGAAGATCATTAACCCGACTCCTATCTGGTGCCAGAGCAATTATCTTAGCATTGATTTTGCAACTAATTGAAAATATGCAATGTAAGTTCAACTTAATAAAGAGCATACAATCCATTAGTAATGTAGCTAGTAACAAACGTCGATACTAGTGATGAATGTGTGTAATTTTCTATGAAAAACTCAACAATGTCGTCAAAGCAATCATTCATGTTAACTAATGAGAATGAAAATTTATTTCCGATCTTATTTGTAATGTTACACAACACACAAAATTTCATTAATTATATTATGATTTCTCTCTAGATGTCAAAAAATAATGCAAACACTGACTCATAATTATATAACTAGAGCTATGAACACACTCACAATGACAGATTTTAGATATTTTTTTCTGAACAGATCATAGATTTTAGCTTTTGGCAGTAGTTTGAGTTCCTCCACACAACGCTGTCAAACGAAAAAATATATGCACACGCGTGTTAGTAATCTGAAAGCTTAGAAGTACAATCCTTCATAACAAAAGGTTGATGGATTTTAGTACTTCGATCTCAGCTGTCTCAAGGGTAATGTCTGTCTTTTTCCCGCGAAGTTTCTGAAGAGAAACTTTAAACTTATCTGCTCTTCCTTCTCTTGCCTGCAGTCACATTGCACTCAATTTAGATTGTTTAGGATGGAAAAAAAAAATAATGGCTTGTATTTTGGTCAACATACATTGGATTATAGTACAATGTGCTATCCAAATATTCATTAAATAGAATATTCGGATGACATAATGTATGAAAGGTACAATATATATCGTGTTCTTACAAGCCATCTTGGAGACTCCGGAGTGAGTAATAAACCCAAAAGCATAATACCAAAGGGGATTAATCCTGCAAAATATTTCTTTAGTTAGTCCCTAATTTGTTGCAGTATCATCTAATAGCGAACAATCATCTTTCTTTACTAACTCTTTACCCATTAACGCTAATGCTCTCCATGATAATGGTATCCCAACAAGGAAAGCAATTGAAATACCAGTAGAGATCATGACCTGTACAAAAAACAGAACCAAATTGGTGCAGATATTGGACAGATGTGTTTTTGATGATTATAACTCAAGTACTATAGAACTTTACCTGGTTTAACGTTGTAAGTGCTCCTCGAAGGCTTACAGGTGATATTTCAGCAATGTAAATAGGTACCTGTCAATTTATTATTTATCTCAGCAAGCTTTTATGTGTAGCATACATACACTTAAAGATACTTCAAGTTGATGATAATGTCATCATTTGCATTATCTTACAAAATCTGAGCTTATCATACTTATCTTTACAGTACAATGAGAAAAATGAACAGGTCCAAAGACTCATACATACCACATAGGAGAAGGCGCCCATTCCATATCCACCGGCGAGTCTTCCTAGATGCAAAGCTAAAGAACTCTGGTTTATTAAAGAAGAATTCTCATGATGTTTGTTTCTTTGAAGTTGAACATACTTCCAGCAATAATGTTAAAACATAAGTATCAAGATTCAACCTTTGAAAAATATATTGCAAGCCACCCTCCTGTGCAGAATAGTGCATACAGTTTCATTGCCTGCAATTTCTCACAATCACAAGAGTTCAAAAAGACTCCATGAAAGTTGGATTAATTTACCACTTAATTTATGACTATAAAGTATCACTTGAGACATCTTACCATTATTCTACCTAAATAATCAGCTATAAATCCACTTGTTATAGCACCAAACATTGCACCAAAAGTTAGTATGGAACCGAAAAGTGAGAACTGCACGAAAAAGAAGAAAAATAATAGAAACAGTAGGAGCTTCAAACACAATAAAAAAAAAAAAGGCATTTCAACTATGTCATAGCAGAAGAAAGTTATCAAACCTCGGCTTCAGACAGTTGAAGTTCTTCTGTAATCGCGGACTGAGTGGGAGACGAGTAGCCTGCCTAAATCAAACCATAACATAGCTAATTAGCTATACCTCATCATGTGTTTAAATGAAAAGTACTATTATTATTTCTTATTCATAAACATGTTAGGACCTTACATATTGCTAACTTAATTTATCAACTACTTTAATTTTTGCTAACTTAATTTAACTGATTGTTACTGATCACAATATTAGCTCAATATTATGAAAAGTACATAGTACTCTTAGCAATAATATTCCCCTGCATACCGATGTAAAATAAACTAGTGAGTGTATAGACGGGGTGTAAATATGGTAAATGGCACATACACAAGCTGCAATGAAGGTACAGAAGTACACCATCCATGGATGCCCTGTACTTTCTCCGACATTATTTTCTGCTGATTGTATTTGAAGTTGTATTCTTGCTTCCGTGAAGCTGTCTCCTCTCTCCACATCCGCGCTAGAAGACATTTTTCAGATTGTTTTATAGATGTTTGTTTCCTAGTAATTACTACAAATACAATAATCAATTGTTCAGGCTTAAGGAAATAGGCTATAATGTAGCATATCAAACCATTTTTAAGTACAACAGAATAAGGTAAGTTAAAAAAAAAAAAAAAAGACAGATTAGAAGAAATGTGGTGAATCTGTTTTGTGGTTAACTAATTTTGTGTTGTTCATGAAGAAATTTATGAAGTATTTAAGCATTCATCATTAGATTGCTTGCTAAGACCAGTCTAAGCCATTTTTGGCCAGAATACATGAAGCGGCTTTGAAAATCAAGGCCTTTCTTAAAAACAAAAAAAAGAAAATCAAGGCCCAATCATATGGTATACCTACTTTATATTTTACTACTTGATTAGCCTTGGCCTGATCTCATATAAATAACCCTTATAACTAACATGCCACTAACATGAGAATGTAACAACTAAATCTATAAAAGTGCGATGAAAACTTAGAACTACTAATGTAACCGCTAAATATGTACATATGGAGTAAATAAATAGTCGAGATATATATTTTCAGAAGGTGTCAAATTGAAAGTCCCTTCATAGACATCAACTAAAATGCGTATAGCAAGAATTTAAGAAAAAAGAAATCTAAAATCTTAGAGGCACGAGAGGTCAAAGCTAAAGATCATGAAAGGAAAAGAAATATCACTTCTGCTACATATTATTTACAACGATTAGACATTTTTCATCTATATTTTATGTCAAATCGTTGCAAATAATATGTAACGGTAGTAGTAGTAGTAGTATATATATATATATATATATATATATATAGGTAGAATTATAAATAGAGAATGAAATTTACCCCATTGTAGCGTGAACTTTAACTAATATATGACATCATGACATCCCCTTCATATTCTAAAGTAATTGAGCCCTTCTCTTTAAAATTCAAATAATTAACTCATCTAATGAAGATGATAGCTTGTTTGGTAATGGCTGAACACTTGAACTAGGTTTTAATTAGAATGATTAGTTGATACTAAGATAACTAAATGATTTTTTGGGTAAGAATTAGACTTTTTCATTATAAAAAAAATCTTGCATTTAACAACAAATCACCCTTAATCAATATTTTTTTTTTATATGCACCAAAAACCCTAATGGACACATGGTATTTTTTTTTAAGCAACACCCAATTTTTACTCGTAAAATGAAAACAAACCGACAATAAAGGAGGGTAAACATGGTTAGAACCTCAAACTCTCCAAATCAAAAGATCAAACGTAGAATATGATTCCGAAACATATGGCTTAAACCTCAACCTTTTAGAAAATACTCCTTGTTTGATTTGTTATACTACATGCATATTACCACTATGCTTTTATTTTATAATTTGGACGTGTTTCTGGAAACATAATTCCCCTCAGGGTTAGAGTAATATCAAGATGTCTTAAGGCTAAGTCTAATAACTGTTCAAATGTCCTTCTGCTCCGCCTTGCTATCCTAGAGCTCGGCCTGCAAAAGAGAGAAGGTTAACTGCCCCGGGGTTGTGACCCGGGAAAGCCTCTCCGATTGATGCTTAATTCAGCAAATGTACTTTCTAGAGAGAGAAAGTAGAAAGAGAGCACTTTAGAGAGAGAAAGTAGAGATAGAAGCTTAGAGAATTAGGAAAAAGTTACCATCATTAATGATTTGGGAGCTTTTTACAGACGTACTTTCAGATGGTAGAAGTTGTACTTAGTTGGACAGATTAGGGGTAAATCCGTACTTTGCTCTGACCAGTGATGGGCTGGATCATGAAGGGGTATTTTCGTAATTCCAGGTCAATGGGCTTAGTACAATGGACTTGCCCCAAACTTTTAACCCCACACATGATGTGGGAACGAGATCGCATGAAGTTCGGATATCACGCGGAATGAATATGATAGAAGTTGTCACGTAAGCCGGAGTAGACTTTGAGGCGTACCCAAGGGCTAAAAATAAACAAGCCCACAGGTGTACCTGAGGGCTAAAAAGAGCTCCGAGAGCGACTTGCAAGGGTGAAATCTAGCCCTAAGCAATGCATTATAAGTACTTTAATTAAGATGACTGAGCGGTTTTGAGAGTTTATCCAAGAGCTAAGTCGAATGATGAATGACGGCTTGTAGATAACTGAGAGTTTTTCTTCTTTCAGAGTATTTTCTTCAGGTTGAGTCCCATGTATTTTGCTGAAGGCATATCTTATCTTGATAATAAAGAGGTAAGCCTTACGCTTAACTGAGAGCCCATTTAGCTAAAGATATTGATATGGACCACCCTTTTTCCATTTCAACAACACGTATCCCTCTTCCTTTATTTGTCTTATGCAAATAATTAAAGTAATTCACTTTTTCTTGTACTTCTTGGAAAACTTGTTGTTTCTCTTTTGAAAATATCGATCGGTTTGCTCGTCTGCTGGAGGTCTGAAGTCTTGGTAGGCCTAGCCAAGAGAAGAACTTTTTTCTTCTATTTTTAATTGTTGTATTCGAGAAGGTAGATTTGAGGGCTTTGATTCATCAAGCCTAGCTCTCATCTTTTCAAGCTATAATCTTGTTTTTTGGAATGCCGAACGGTTGAGGGGTGGTGCCCATCCAAGCAAGCCGAGGGGGAGCTGGGCGTGGCGAGGAGTGAGGTGAGGGAGTGAGTGATATTCTACAAAAACTGCCAAGCTGGGCGGAGGGAGAGAGCGGGGTTGAGCGATGTTAGATGCCGAGAGCCCGGGGTAGTCCTGCGTGACTTTACTAGGCTGGGCGCTCAGCCTGGCCTGCAAGTACCGAAAGCGTTGAGTGAGCTGAGAGCTCGGACTTGCTAAGAGGGTATGAAGGGCCGAAGGAGTGTCTGGCGCACCGAGGGGGTTGAAGGCGTAGCTAAGCACCTAGGTTGCTAAGAGCCTGGGGCTTTATAAAGCGGATCGGATTCGAATTTAGCCCCATCCAATCCGTTGCCATTCAATAACATTTACTTTATGTGGGCTTAAAATTTTCAAAAATTATATTTGCACTATAGAAATTAGTATACTAATTGTGTCAATTTATAATGTGAAAAAATAGATCGCTCATATTATTTATTATTAAAATAATAAGGTAGTCATATTTCAAACGACCGCTACAGAAAAATCCATCAAGTTATGTTTCTTGAGGATCTTTAGTCATTAGATAGACAATTAACTTCATTTATTAATCATCAAAATAATACTGTAATATTAACTTCATTTATTATCATCTATTACTATATTATTATGGTGGATTGATAATATATACGTCTTAGGCCCTGTTCTTTTGATCTTCTGGGCAGAGCAGAGCAGATTTCAACATAGCAGAGCAGATTTCAGCAGAGTAACTACTACTCCTACTACTGCTACTGCTACTGCTGCTGCTGCTGCTACTGCTATTGCTGTTGTTGCTGCTCTTGCTGCTGTTGCTGCTCCTGCTAATACTACTGCTACTACTATTATTATTATTATTAGTATCAGTATTAGTATTTATTTATTATTATTATTATTAAATATTAGTTATTATTATTATTAAATGTTGATCTTATGCTTTGATGATGACTCAAGGAACCTAAGCAAACCTATATAAGTTTAACTTTCGTTTTTAGCTTTGATTTATGACAGGTTATGCTATGGAATTCTTGAGTGAGAAGGGAGCACGGAATAAGATCTAATTCAGCTATGGAAGGATAAAGAAGTCAATCAAGTCGTGTTCCTTTAGTGAGGAACTGAAGCTCCAGAGTTGAAGCTTCGAAGGCAAGTTCCTTTAGCGAGGAACTAAAGCGTCTAAGAGTTTCAAGGAGTCTAATGTATTTTATCTTTATCTTAGGCTTCTTGTATTAATGTTAAGTACGATAATAATTTAGGATTCAAGTGGATTTAATTTTATTTAATAAAGATTTTATTTTCCGTATTTTAACTAAATTAATTTCGAATATATCTTTTATGTTAAAATATCTTTTTGAAAAAGATTTTCTGTTTTAATTTTATCTTATTCTTTGGAAAATATTTTTTGGAAATATTCTCTTTAAACGTGTTTTTTAATTTGTCAAAGTAAGTTGAGATAATTTAGGAAGCAGTAAAACCACTTCCTAGTATTTCGATTTACTTGCTGCCCAATATTCCACTCCTTACACTTCCTAGTTTTAGGGGAGTTGTGGTTGAGTGGTGATTGTGGCAACGATTATTTTAACTGCCTAAATCTTCTATAAATAGCCTAGGTTTTCAGTTGGAAACTTACACTTGAGCATTACAGTCTTTTAGTTTTCAAAAGAGTCATAATCCACTTGAGTCCTTGAGTGTCTTTGTACTTAGCAATTTAGAGGTTAACCTTGAGTTGTATTGGGTTAGAGTTTGGGGAAACTCTAAGAATGTTTTATTGCTTTGAGTGAAGCAAGGAGAAAGAGAGAGTTAGAGAAATCGACTAATTGAGGGATCAGTTAAAGAGAGCTTAAGTTTGTTGAGGAACTTGAGTTTAGAGTCTTAATTTGTAATATGTTGTTTGCCCTATTATTTTTAAGAGTTTAGTTTAAAATCCCTTGTGGTCATGCTTTATCTTCTTGATTAAGGCCCGGAAGTTTTCCACGTAAAATCTCTCTTTGCACTTTTAGTTTTAATTCGAGTTCCTTAATAAATTCCGCAAAAATTACCGTAGTTCCTCTACAATACAATTCACCCCCCTCTTGTATTGTTCATTTGAGTCAACAATTGGTATCCGAGCCTGTTCCTCGAAGAAATCAGGAAACCCTGACGAGTTAAGCTCCTGGAAGCAACATGAATGTAGACACCCATTTGTATCTCCCCAAAACCAAACCCAGTGATGAGTACCTTTCACGTCGAATCACAATCGAATGAGTAGCCAGCTCTGTTTCAGTTGCGCCCATACTCTGCTTTGTAAATTTTATCTTTTTGGCTGATTTTCTCTATAAATAACGTCGTAAACACTCCGTTTTCATTCATCAACAACCAATTCTCATCAACATTAATCTTCATTCATCTACAATCAGTTCTCATTCTCTCTTTAATCATTCACCATCTCTCTCTCTCTCTTTTCTAAACTCGCTTCTTACATACAAAATTCTGCATTCGCAAGATCTAGAAACACCTAGCCATATTCGAAGTTGCCTTCGCCCTAGACGTGAAAGGTTTAATTTCTGAGGGTTTGGTCCCAAATCTCTCTTTCAATTATTTAATTTAATTGTTTATTTTATTGTTTTCCTTGAAGTTACTAACGTGTGTATTTTGTTATTAGAAAGAGGTACGAAGCATCAAAGTAAGTGCTTTAATTGGATTTATTGATATTATGATGTAGAAATCATGTTTATATTGTTATTATGATATTCCTAGTTTTAAAAATCCTAAGCACACCCCTTCTGAATCCAAACCTATCAACTCATCTGAGAACCTGTCCTTCTACCGCACCGTCTTTCCTTTGGGAGGATCGTCTCCAAATTTGCATGCAACTCGTTGAGATCGCTGTTCACATCTTCAAGAAACAGATTGTTCCTCAACGAGGAGGTATGTTTCTCCTGCAAAAATACTCATGTCAAAACACCTGACAATCATACATACTTTGTTGACAAAATACCCTTAGCTACAACCGATTTCATGTATACTAGATTGGCAGAAGGACAGATTTAATGTACATGTTTCAATTCCTATAGATTTAGGACATATTAAGGACCAAAATCTCACCATGTGAAAGGGAGCTTCAAAAGATCGTGCACAATGCTTAATACTTGCTAGCATGATTGCGCCGCATGAGCAACTGTTATAGCAACACGACGACGGCCGGAGAGGTAAGCATTATAAAACAAAATAAGTATCACAATAACTATGACAATACCATGTATGTGAGTTCATTTAAAGAAAATAATGCAAGCTCACTGCACATTCACCATAAACCCATTCACATCCAAATAACCATACTAGGACAGCTTTAAAAATCACATACTAAAGCAAAAAATAAAGCTGTAGTTGCTTGTCAGCCATGGTAGCACTACTTACTTGTCAGCCTGTCGTACCGGAAATGTCCTCCTCACCCATGTAGAAGTTGTACCCACCTCCCATGTGGGGTCACTAACCTGCAGCAACTCCTCTAAGGCCTTCATCTACAGGACCAAATTGTGCATGTCACAACTTTACTTCGCGAAGAAAACCGTATAATAACAAAAAAGTGAGGCCAAGCAATCATCCAAACCACATGTGCCTTTAAATCCAAGGCCAAGCAATACCAATGTTCTGTATTCTACACAGATGCATCAAGAACGGGGACAAAAACCTGTGTTAACCATGATCAACTTTAATTATAAAAGGCTTAATAAAAAATAAATGACTTTCAGATGCAGTTCCCAGAAACTGACACATACACTTTGAATTTGGTCAAGAGAATAGCTAAGGAAAGTCTTCCCGTACTTTTTCCCCAACACTTTAGGGTCATCTTTACCAACCATAACAAAATTCTACAGCCAAAACAAAGAAAAAAAAAAGGGTAAGTAAAATACTATAAACAAAATAAATACCAATAATGTTGATGAAGAAACTCTTTCACCAAAAAAAGTAGAAAATTAACTCACCGCATATGAAGGATCCATCATAATCCCTTTCCTCGTATGTTGTGATGCCCAAGTCTTCGTATACAAAACAGAGGCCACCCTAACATAATGATCTCCAACACGAGACCTCGGGGAAACAACACGATAACAGTCCCTTTGAGATGCATCTACACCATCACAAAGAATTAAGTTTGGACCGGGCTTGCATATGGCATAAAAGATTACAGTTAGCCCCTACATCACAATCATTTTTTTTCATAATAATATAAAAATGAGTAAATCATAACCCAAGTACAAACTACATCCTCATTTCACATACAAATCAACTCTTTGGAACAAAATAACTGTCATGCATCTATATAACTATACCCACAAGGACCCAATACAGGTGAAATGATGAGTCTGACCAACTTAGTCTCATACACAAATGCAAAGCTGCACTAGCAAATCAGAGAAAATGTATGCATAAAGGTGAGCATCAATTACTCATTCTCAGTGAAGCAGCAAACAATTGCTAAGATTATACACCTATTGAAAGCATCAAAAGAAATCCATGAGCAAAAAATTATACATCGTTAAGTCAATTACTTAACAATACAAGTCTAAGAGATTCTCTATTAGAATACAAGTCTAAGATTCCCACTAATTCTTTCGCCAATAGGCAATCCGGTCTCATATGCTTCCAGCCTTAAACAAGCCATCAAGGGTATTTCCATCTTCTATTAATCCACAAGAATTGCATCAACAACATAACACCCTAGATGCTAAGAATCTAGATTGAACTAACCAACAGCTTACAACTTGGTTTGTTAATCAAGCAGCTAAATTAGGGCAGACAGTCATAATCTAAGTGATAAAACCTTCACCCCACCTGCTAAACTCTCCTAAACCCAACAATTTAATCATAGTACAGAGTTTGAACAAAAATCCATGGAATTCAAGATACATATGTAGCATAAAATTTGTATCATCACACCTAAAAATTTAAGTACCTGTTAATCCATCACAACTCTAGCATTTGCTTCCATCATAAATCCATGAGTAGAAAATAAAACATCGATTTATGCAGCAAATTTAACATCTACTTACTCTGTATCGTTCTTCAACTCCTTCCACCCGCGGACAAAACACAGAATCCTCTTGTCAAAGGGACTAAGCTTATTTGGCCTAAGTCCTTCCTCCAAATTGGGTGATGACCTGTCAGCAGAGTTATCATCAGCACCTTTCTTTTCGGGGGAAGGAATCACTTCATCCCTTTGTACCATTTTCATCCCTTCTTGATCCGGTACTCGCAGCTTTATCATCCCTTGGTCCGGTACTCCCAGCATTTTCATCCCTTCCCCCAACATTTTGAAAACCCCCAAATTGATCAATAGGTTTTCCAGTCATCTTACTGACAAAGTTAGTTAGGGCATTCCCTATCAAACCCTCCACAATGGCTTCCAGCTTTGATTCCAAATGACCTAATACCTACACATACACAACAACAATCTTAAGACAATTTAACAAAAATAGATTAAGGGTAAAAAAGGACACTTAAAGTAGAACACTGAAGTGAAGACACTAAATAAATGAAGTGAAGACTCAAGTTAGTCATTCGGTTTGACTTAAGACACCTCAGTTAACACCATTTGGGATAAACAACGCAAATGGAACATTGGAACCACATATTAGCAGCTAAGGGTTGAGATAAATCAGCAGAACTATCTGGAGTTAACTGACTACATTATTAAGCTGCACAAGCAGTAAATGTTAAGTAAAGTGACTACATTATTAAGCTGCACAAGCAGTAAATGTTAAAACTATGACTTTATAATATGTATCACATAAAGGTAGTACACTCATAGTAGACCAATGAAAGTGACACAAAATAAATGAAGTCAAGAGGACTCAACAGAGATTAGAATTACATAAGAATAACACACTTAGGAACACAAACAACTAAAATTGCATATAATTCAAGACTAAACTTAGAAGACTCACCCGCTCAACAACAACATCTACGGAAGCCTCATTTCCTGAAACCACCGCCTTGTTCTTAGGAACACCATCATCCTCCCTTGGTACTAGGGGATGTTCCTCCCCATAAGCAATATCGACGGCCTATCAATTAGAAAAAACTGTTTACAAACAATGTTATAAACCCACAAAACATATAAAATTAATGTTGGTGTCTAACCTCAAGCTTGCCATACTCATTGCTCGACACCTTATCTTCAAGAAGAGCTGCCTTCACCTCAACACAGTTCCATACCTTCACCCTCGGGTAAACTCCCCACTGCACAGGAACTCGATGCAAGTGGTCGAGATAATAAATCTACAACCAAAAAAAAAATATAGAGGCTATTTAAAATTATGAATTATAAATAACAGAAACCTCTGCTTCCAACCCACCAGAACACAAATTTTAAAATATGGACAGTGAATAATCCTTTTAACACCAAAATATGTAAAGTTTGATTAAGGATCACCATACACTAGTACAAAGTTGACTTTATGTAACACATTTTGGTAGCACTTTTTACAATACAAAATTACTAGATTTATAAGTAACACTTTGGTAACATTCTTTTAGTATGTAACACTCGAAGTTACACTTTTAACGTAGGTAACATTTTAAGGTAACAATTTTAACATAGGTAACATTTTGTGGTAACACTAAGAGGTGTTACTTATTTCTTTAAGATATCTATATTATCTATGAATCTATCTATCCGTATAATTCCTTCCTAATAACCTATAAAAGTCAGATAAATGAAAATAAGGATGTTCATTAACAAGTAATCCTTATCTACCTTTTCCACAAAAAAAAAAAAAAAAAAAAAAAAAAAAAAAAAAAAAAAACTCTTATTTACAATGTTCGGATTAATTTGCCCCTATAAAAAGATCCATTTATGTTTTTGCCCCTTCCTTCTATTTTTTAAGATTGGTTTTTTAAAACCATTTTTCTAGATTGGTTTGATTTGACTATTATTGTATCCTCCCCAAATTATCATATAAACCCTAAAGTACTAAGATCGATTTCTGAATCTAGATGGTCGTTGGGGTTTCCTTTTCTTCAACCATTCCGGTTGCATCAACTCGTCGACGGCTGACTAAAGTGGCCCCTGAACCGCTCGAACTTCACCTCGTAATGGATGAGCGAATTATTAGGTTCGGATGGAAAGTAGGTATGTTTTATTTTATATTTAGGCTTATAAATTTGAAATTTGTGAAACTATCTTTTAAATTCATCTATAAATTATTTTAGCTTGAAACTGTAAGTGGGTTATTTGATTTTAAATTGAGCTTAAATAATTTGATAAGAATGTCTTATCTTCACCAGTTTTATGAATTAGGTTCTGTTTACGGTACCTTGCATTACTTATGGGCTGAAATCAATCATGAATATTAGTGTATATTGTTGTATTGTTGCAAAATTCGATGACATTTGTTGAATAATGACTTGATCAAGAAATTGAAATGAAAAGATCGTGGGTTGGAATTTAACTGTTGATTGGCTGAGTTTTGAACTGAATTTTCTAATTATGGATATTAGCTTATTTGATTGTAGTGAAATTATGTATACTCTATTGAAGGATGAATTTGAGTGAGAAATTGAACTATACCTCTCATGTGGGTGTTTTTATCAATGTGAGTTACAAATCATGTCAAATTGAATATATCTCCTTAATTTTTGCAATTTTTCCTAACTAATTGGTGAAATGTGGACTTTATTTTCGGAATGTATATAAGGTAGTATTTTTAAGTGAAATGTGAGAGTTTTCATAATGTTATACGGACTACTTACGGAGTATGATATTTGGTTGACTTTAAATTGAAATACAATGAAAAGATGAGGCTAACATGTAAAATATGAGTATTGAAGAAATAAAAAGGAATAGGCTAGTTGTGCCATGTCGTTGATGATATTTCACTGTATGTATATTTGTATCTATGTTTAATGGTTTGAAGGTTGTAACCAGGCTGGAAAAGGTTGATGATATTAATGCATGACGACTCCTATATCTGAGACATTGGCGTTCAATCTATTTCAAGTTTAACAAGAACTATTTTTGCCAAGAAAAAAATGCTCTGCTAGCCCGGGTAAGTTAATTGTTTTAGGTGTTTTCACAATTTTTTCTCTTGTGTGCAAAGTAGTTGACTTTGAGATTTTCTAATCTAATTAGATCTTTGTTAAAATAGAAGGTGGGTAAATTAATTGAGCATTATTATTGAAGAATGTGCTTAGTATATTTGTAAAAATTGGAATCGAATAGAACTGATGGTTTGTGAGAAATCAATGATCTGTATTTGATACATGTCTAAATGATGCCACCTTGCTCCAAATTTTTTTTCATTTATATTTACAGCTAAATAACTTTAAATTATGAGTTATAGTCCTTACATTATATATTACGATCAATTTCATTTTTAGCGAAGTGGGCTACATATGCTATGAGGAAAGATACCAAGAACTTAGTTTTTTTTCAGATCTCATGGACAAAGTGGAAGGCACATGTTCAAGATTGGAACTTAAAGCTGGTCTTTAGGTAAGAATTATTGATTTTGCCCTGGGAATTTCTTGTCAAAAGATGCTAGGCATCTAAGTAAACGTTATTCATGTTCTTTTCAAGATTAGAAGCTCATTTGAATTGTGTGATTTACTGACTTCTTTTATGTAATTTGGTAATTTATTGCCTTTTCTTTATAGTGAGACGTGTTATGATGGTGATTGAAATTAGACCTAATGGCATTTGTAAATAAAGGGATATTGGTAAAATATCCTTGGATCAGACCTAATTTGGTCCGGTCTTGAGTATGTTTACCCCTTTCTAATTGAGACTGGTTCTAATAAATCTGAAAAAGGCACAGGGGAAATTATGACATGATTTGCTCTTTCATATTTACAAAACAATGAATAATGGGTAAAAGTGGGCCGACGTTAGAAATTTGTAAATAAAGTTGGTTTTTAGCTAAGTAGATAGATTATTGATTTTCTTTTGGTTATGTGTGCAGGAACTTAACATGGCCAAAAATAGGGTAAATAAAGAACATATGTAACTCGCTTATATGAGATTGCATTGGTGGATGAAATTGTGTCTTCTTTCCATGATGCCTCGTCTAAAGCAAGGAGCTGTCTGGTGCCATTATTGCTGTTGTTGACGTCAAGTTATTGATGACTGCTGCTATTGTTATTGCTGTTGTAGCTGATGTCTGCTGAGCTGCAAGCTGCTGCTGTCTTCGCTTACTACTGATGTTTGTTTGGAACTATGCTGATTGTGATTAAACTTATTCAGTTTGGAATTTGGTGGTCTAAGAGACCGAAATTGACTTTTTTTATTATTATTTATTATTATTAGATTATTTAGCGAAAAAAAAATGGTGTTTATGGTTTTTTTGTTGCAAGGATATATGAAGTTTTATCAGTTCAAATTAATGTTTATCGTATATGTTAATTTCACATTCGTGTAGTGGTTGTACATTTTAATAGTATTTTTATATTTTTTATTATTTTTTTGCATATACAAAATAATCACAGTATTAGTAGGAGTAGTAGATGTAAATTTCCTCAATAATAATAATAATAATAATAATAAATGCTACCTACTAATTAATAAAGTGTTACAATAGTTTGGAAAAAATGATACATAATGTCAAATAAAGTACTACAATATGTCAAAATATGATTGAAAAATGTTACCTAATAATCAACAAGGTGCTACATTAGATTGAAAAAGTGATACATAAGACCGGATAAAGTGTTACTATATAATTGAAAATGTTACTAAAGATAATTAAGTGTTACCCAAGAAATAAAAGGTAACACTTTAAAAATGATACTAACAATATAAAAAAGTGTTACATAAGAAGGTTTAAAGTAACACTTTTAAAAGTGTTACCATACATTACCCAAATTGTTACATAAGACCTTAGGTAACATGGGCGGAAGTATCACCCACTAAAGTGTTACCTATTGTCTATAATAACACATTTACCACATTATGTAACATTTTTTGGGTGTTACTTAAGGTTAGTTTTGTACTAGTGATAATGAACAGAAAGCTACCCCCACATCCAGACCTAAAACCATCTTTCTGAAACTTCCTATGAAATATGTTAGCTGTGTCGCATAGCCACTCAAAAGTCAGCGAACACCAGTCATACTTGACAGCCTCAGTAGCCACTGTCAATGCTGGTAGGAGTGACTTGGCAAAGTTTGAATTATTAGTGGTTGTACAAACCACTTTACCAAGAGCGACAAGTAGAAAGGCTACCATGAAATCCTCCTCCTCAACTTCATCAGCAAGGGGAATTGGTTGACCCGATTCATCCAACGGACATAATGCATCTGAAGCATATTTCAACGAAATGGTTTCTTTATTCGAACCGACACCGTAAAGATAAAAAATCCTTCTCATCTTCTCCACCTTCTCCTCATCATCTTCACCAACATCAAAAGGAACTTTTTCAGCACCCATTGGTAACCCAAGTACAGACCTCACTTGAGCGGGACCTAAGGGTAACACCTCACTCTGCCCAAACACCATCGTGCCATCAGGAAGCACTCTTGTCATCAACCAATAGCAAAATTGCCTTGGTATACTTTTCATGTCAATCTCTAAAAGACCTTGAAACCCCATTTGTGTCACTAAAGCACGTCTTCTTGAATCAAAATGTTTGACAGCTTCGCAGAAAGACTCGACTCTGCATACAATGTTGGGGTACTGCCATGACACAACAGCAGGGATTATGCATTAGTAGCCCACAAATAAAGTCAAGTGAAGAACAAAAAAAATACTCATATACATGCCCACATTCAAATTAGTTACTAAAACATCACATCGTACCTTTCCGACGTTCTCATGATGGGTCTTCAACACTGCCCCTTCCCTCACAACTTTTTGGCCTTCGGTTATTTCACCCTAGACACATACAGATCAAAAACCAATGTTATATCCAATTCTTAGAATATTAATTTGGTACAAATATCCTCTGTCTTGGTAATTACATATTCACTAAACCTTTGCCCTTTTCCTCTTCCGACTACTCTTACTCTTCATGAACTACATCATCATCTTCATGAACTCAGAGGGTGAGCAGGAGTCCTCCTCAATGTCTTCATCAGTCTGCTCATCAGACCCATTGTCTTCTTCAGTATCTTCAACAACAACATTTTTAGACTTCTTCGGTAGCTTTTCCCTCTTGTTAGTTTTGTGCATCCCCTTCACTTCAGACCCCCCTTTCACAAGGGCCTTACCAGGGGCCTTAGAAGTTGATGGATCCTAAATGCCAGAAATGACAGAAAATTTCAGTCTTTCACCAATCACATTCAACTAATATATTAATACATACATAGAACACTCACCGTCACATGTTTCCAGTTCTTCGATCGCACAACTGTCTTCGATCTCATAATTTTTGTAGGGAATAATACAAACCTACTACTGCAAAAAAAATCACAAAAGCTGCACTTAGCTTATACACAACAACCAATAGAGACATATCATGGATAAATGCTTCAACACACCCTAAATAATCAATACAAATCAGAAAATGCAGAAACAAACCTAAAAAAGGGCCTAGTAAAGGAATGTCATAATAATATCCAATTGGACTGTCATAATAATACAAAATGCATCAGCATTCTACAAGTACTATCACAGTTACAAAAAGGTATAACCAAGATGTAAAGTTTGTAATTCATTAAAGGTGTCAATAGTGATACCACTCATTTGATAAAAGTAGGTCATCAGAGACAGAACAAGTCTTTGGAGGGGTTCTAGTCCCAGCATATAGAACAGGAAAATAAATCATTTCACAGTGGCACTTAATTCACTCTCAAGAGTAATACAAGAAAAAGGTGTCATCTTCTATCAATAACACATATAGCTGCTTATCTACAGGCCACACAACAATCTCAGAACGCGAGCATGCACTTTATGTTCATAAATATTAATGGCTATGTGTACATGAATGGCTCCACACACAATGCTTGAGTAACGCAAGCATGCACTTTATGACACAGATAAATCTCACAGCAGCATTGTTGAAGATCTCTAACATGTTGAGATTTAAGGTTACAATTTCGACATGAAACCAATCAAACTCACAACAACAGATTTATAGCACTATCCCACCCAACAACACACACGACTGTCAATCAATTTTGTTTGTTTATTCACCTAATTACAACTAAAACATAATTACAACATACTTTAATCTCAAAACATACAATCTAATCAAACATATACAACCAACACCATGAAACCAATTATATAGCAAGAAATACCCATAAAAATAAATCACGCGCACAAGAAAATTACAAATTCGTGGAACAATTCATGCTGTGAATTGTAATTGGGATTTTATGTAATTCTTCAACCCTAAAAAAAACAAATTTTCGAGGACAATTGTAATTGGGATTTATGTAATTCTTCAACCCTGTTAATGATTTCAAATATGAACAACACCACATCCCCCTAAAACCCAGAAAATACCCATTTTAAAAACCCAATCTTTTAGGTTAAACGAATACAATGACATTAACTTAGACAAATTACTAAAATAAAAACAACAACCATTACAAATTTGGGAAAAACTAATGAATTTATAACTAAGTCGCTTACTTGGGTCAAATTGTTCCACGACTGATGCGTAAAACCCTTCAGTTCGCCCCGCAGCAATCCCGGAAAGAATTCTTCAACAAACCCCCAACGCAAATCACGAATGATGGAGATGGAGGGATAAGGAATACAGAGAAGAAGGGTTCGAAATTCAAATTCAAAAATTGGTTAGGAGGAGAAAATAAGGGTCCGAATATCAGCGGGGAGAGAGAGTGAGAAGACAGATCGAAGGAGGGGTAAATGGAAGAGAGAGAAAAAATACCCTCAAGCAAATACAAAATAAGGAGTACTATACCAAATACATTTACAAAATACGATATACTATAAAAACGGGCTGACAAAAAGCATAACGGAAGGTGATGTGGATTTCCACTCAATCATGAGAATTTACCAGCTTACCCCTGAAGATGCATTTGCTAATGCATCTCAACACTCCATTTAGCTCTGATTTTTGTAAGTTATATGCCATGTGTCAGCTAATAATAGGTCAATTATCTTTTTAATTATTAAAAAACAAAAATAATTAAAAGAAAAAAAAATTCAGAATCCCCTTTTACGCCACCACCACCTTCCCCTGCCACCAAACCTTCTCCCCCTCCCTTCCCTGCGCGGCCACCGCCCATCGGAACCCAACACACACGCCACCAACAAAAACGCACAGTCCGCCGGAATCCAACGTACACCACCACCAACTTCCCCTGCCACCAACATACACACCCATCCACCAACAAAAACACAGATACATCAACTCCACCGCCCCGCCACCAACACAGACGCCCAGCCACCAACAAAAACGCCCATCCCCTTTTGCTGAAACCCATAACACCCAAAATTAGGCAGTTTAAACAAACATTCATGATTGAGATACTTCAAACATTCAACAAACACCCAAAATTGAACAATTAGCAGAACACAAATTCATACTACAAAAATCTCTCAACTTTGACATCAAAATTCAAACTTGATGCAACCATTTACATGGGTTTTAATCCAATTTCAACAAAAAAAAACTTTACACTAATTAATTCACTGAAAAAAACAAAATTCAAGAAATCAAAGACAAAGGGAGAGAGAGAAAAGTGACGTGAAGCTCAAAATGTGAAAAGGGTATGAATTTTTCTCTCTCCTCAGATTAATTCAAACAAAGAATGAAGGAGGAGAGAGAATGTAAATGAGAATGGGAAAGCTTGTTGTTTAGCGTAAGGAGGATTGTTGGGTGGTGCCGGAAAATGCGGCTGTTCGCGTAAAAGTAACGCTCTTCTTCCTCTCTCTCTAAATTGTGGCAGAGGTGGTGGTGGTGGTGGAGGTGGCGGCGGCGGAGGTGCATGCTGCGTACTTTGTTTCAGTTTTTGAGGAAAGAGAAGAGAGAAAGAGGAGGAGTGAGAAGGTAAAGTAAGAGGAAAAAAAAAAAAAACCTTGTTTAACCGGTTACAGGTTAAATGGATCTGTTGAAGAAGGTGGGGTATAAAATTTGGATTTTTTTGAGATTAATGAAATGTTGAATTTTTATTGTCAGATCGCGCAAAGATTGGATTTTTAGTTTCTATTTTTCCAATTAAAAAAGTATTATTAATACATAACATAAATACAAATAGCTTAATGCATATATAAATATAAGTATTAATTAAACGCTAAAAGCGAACCTAACTAAAATAAGAATTATAATTTGTATTATATTTTACATAAGTGGGTACCTGGAACCGGAACCGGTACCCGGTGGTTCCAATACCAATTCCTAAATTTTAGAACCCGGTTGAACCAATTCCAATTCCGAATCCGAATTTTAGGATCCGGTTCCAACCAATTTCAAGTTCGGATCCTAAAATTTTGACCGGGTACCCAGTTTGCTCACCCCTACACGAGATGGTTGTATCCACCATGGTAATGTTTCATAAAACTTTTGAGCTCTTTTTATGAAACTCAAATAGGAGAATCTCGACCTTGTAGGCTGATGATTGGCCAATGATATCGGTTCAATGTAGCATTTCATAGGGTACTTCTTTTTTGAACCTCATCAAGGGTACTTTGGGTGGCCTCCATAATGCATTATCCAGTTGTTGAGGCTTGAATTGGTGGTGGAAAAGGTCTTGGTTTGATCATCCTTAGTAGGAATCCCAATTTTATTTTTCTTACCTTGACTATACCATGTTGCCTTGTTGGCACTCCTTCACCATAACATCAACACAGTCTAAACTAATTGGGTTTTTCTTTGTATCATAATAGTTATATTGTGTAACCCTATTAGTTCTTATAAAATCGATATCAAACTATTAAAAAAACAGCTTCTAAATCATGTGCATAAAAGAAATATTCAATCGCTGTAGTTCTCCAAATATTCTAACATTAACTTTACATTCCATAATTTAGGCCCTGTTCTATTCACCTTAAAAAATAATATTAAGTAAAAATAATTTCAGTTTAGTAAAAATAAGTTCATTTCAGTAAAATTCAGTTTTCTTAAAGAAGAATTATAATAGAAAATCAATAAAAATAATTTCAGTTCAGTAAAAATAATTTAAGTTCAGCAAAAATAATTTAAATTCAGTAAAAATAATTTCAGTTCAGCAAAATTAAGGTGAAGAGAACAGAACCTTAGTCTTACCATTAAATCATTTCGCCATGAGGATTCCTTGTGAGGAAAACCAACTTCCTCACCAGTAACCACCGTGAAGCCCTCGAGGAAAATTTTCCACATTCATTTTCCTCAATGAGCAAATTTCCAAAAACTTTGTAAAAAAAAAAAAAAAAAAGTTAAAGAGATTGCGGTACGTCGTACGTGTGCCCAGCATCCAAACACGTCGTATACAGTATATGAGTATACACAGTGAATTCTCAACGTTCACAAATTACTCACTCAAAAACCCAGAACTTCAACTTCCAATCCTAACAACCACCATGAAAGCTCGATTAACCTCTTCATCATCATCTTCATTCTCACTAACTCCATTATCACCATTACTACTCAATTCAACCTCTGATTTCGATTTCAACACATCTTTCTCTCTCCTAAATGCCGTCCTCATTTCCCCCAAAACCCGAAAATCCGCCATTAACAACAATGTCTGTCTCCCCCAATTCCTCTCAACCTCCATTTCTATGGAACTCAAGCTCCAAAACCCATCACCCAATTCTGAAATTCCGCAAAAACCCACCTCAAATTCTGCCTTAAAAGACCTTTCTATCTTCGAACGCGCGTCTATCGGAGCGGGTGCCGGAGGATCTGCCGGAGCTTTTACGTATGTTTGCCTTTACCCGCTTGAAACTGTGAAGACGAAGCTTCAGACAAAAGGGGCTAGTCAAATTTACGCTAATACCCTCGACGCCATTGTTAAGACCTTCCAATCAAAAGGTATTCTAGGGTTTTATAGTGGGGTTTCAGCTGCATTAGTTGGTTCTACTTTTTCTTCTGCTGTTTATTTTGCTACTTGTGAATTTGGGAAGTCATTTTTGTCTAAATTTGATAGTTTTCCTCCTGTGTTGATTCCTCCTACTGCTGGTTTAATGGGGAATGTTGTGTCTTCTGCTATAATGGTGCCTAAGGAATTGATTACGCAACGAATGCAGGCGGGTGCGAAGGGCCGGTCTTGGGAGGTTGTTGTTAGAATTTTGGAGAAGGATGGGATTTTGGGGTTATATGCTGGTTATTCAGCTACATTGCTGAGGAATTTGCCTTCTGGGGTTTTGAGTTATGCCTCGTTCGAGTGGCTTAAAGCCGCGGTTTTGAGGAAGTCGGAGAAGGGGAAGATGACACCATTGGAGAGTGTTTGTTGTGGGGCATTGGCCGGGGTGATTTCGGCCACGTTGACAACTCCATTGGATGTTGTTAAGACTAGGTTGATGACTCAAGTTCATGGGGAGGCTGTGACTAAGGTTGCTGCTGCTACACTTGGTGGGGTTAGTGCCACTGTTAAGCAGATTATGATGGATGAAGGTTGGATTGGTTTTACTAGGGGTATGGGACCAAGAATTGTTCATAGTGCTTGTTTTTCTGCAATTGGCTATTTTGCATTCGAGACTGCGAGGCTTGCGATCATGGAACAGTATCTTAAGCATAAAGATCAGCAGGCTAAGGAGATGATGGCTGCAGCTTCTTCATAACGCGGAGGGTTCTGGATTAAGATGACTGTTTGGTGATTATGGTGAATGGTGATTCTCTTCCTGCCATTTTTGTATGTAGGAGAATTTAAAATTGAGTTTGTTTTTGTTTGAGTTGAAATCTTTTCGCAATTTTGTTACTTAGATTAGCTGCTATCTGTAGTTTAATACAGTTGTAAGCAAACAACATTAAAGGGGAATAAATAATAATAAGTTGAGGTGAAATTATTTGGTCAAGGATGAAGTGATGAATGTAAATTTAATTTCATGCTGGTTTGCATATTGATATATATTACAAAGAAGTTTGTTATGGTTTACATATTCTTGTTATTTACAAAGGCACCACCGGCGCTGAAGTACTATTGGCTCAATTCATAAATTGACAATCCCCTGCCTCCCCAAAGTAATAGAAATGAACAGAAAATTGAATTAACCTAACAACTTAGCTTAGCAATATTGACATCAAGTTTTGATGATCAGGGATAGCCTTTCCTGTATGAGTTTACAGCAGCATATGGAGAAGCACTCCTTGCACAATTTGCATGACATGGCCTAAGTCTTTTATACCTTTCACACACCAGGTAATATGCGCCAGAGCAGCTAACACGAGCATGCTTCTTCATAACGCGGAGGGTTCTGGATTAAGATGACTGTTTGGTGATTATGGTGAATGGTGATTCTCTTCCTGCCATTTTTGTATGTAGGAGAATTTAAAATTGAGTTTGTTTTTGTTTGAGTTGAAATCTTTTCGCAATTTTGTTACTTAGATTAGCTGCTATCTGTAGTTTAATACAGTTGTAAGCAAACAACATTAAAGGGGAATAAATAATAATAAGTTGAGGTGAAATTATTTGGTCAAGGATGAAGTGATGAATGTAAATTTAATTTCATGCTGGTTTGCATATTGATATATATTACAAAGAAGTTTGTTATGGTTTACATATTCTTGTTATTTACAAAGGCACCACCGGCGCTGAAGTACTATTGGCTCAATTCATAAATTGACAATCCCCTGCCTCCCCAAAGTAATAGAAATGAACAGAAAATTGAATTAACCTAACAACTTAGCTTAGCAATATTGACATCAAGTTTTGATGATCAGGGATAGCCTTTCCTGTATGAGTTTACAGCAGCATATGGAGAAGCACTCCTTGCACAATTTGCATGACATGGCCTAAGTCTTTTATACCTTTCACACACCAGGTAATATGCGCCAGAGCAGCTAACACGAGCATGCTTCTTCATAACGCGGAGGGTTCTTGATTAAGATGACTGTTTGGTGATTATGGTGAATGGTGATTCTCTTCCTGCCATTTTTGTATGTAGGAGAATTTAAAATTGAGTTTGTTTTTGTTTGAGTTGAAATCTTTTCGCAATTTTGTTACTTAGATTAGCTGCTATCTGTAGTTTAATACAGTTGTAAGCAAACAACATTAAAGGGGAATAAATAATAATAAGTTGAGGTGAAATTATTTGGTCAAGGATGAAGTGATGAATGTAAATTTAATTTCATGCTGGTTTGCATATTGATATATATTACAAAGAAGTTTGTTATGGTTTACATATTCTTGTTATTTACAAAGGCACCACCGGCGCTGAAGTACTATTGGCTCAATTCATAAATTGACAATCCCCTGCCTCCCCAAAGTAATAGAAATGAACAGAAAATTGAATTAACCTAACAACTTAGCTTAGCAATATTGACATCAAGTTTTGATGATCAGGGATAGCCTTTCCTGTATGAGTTTACAGCAGCATATGGAGAAGCACTCCTTGCACAATTTGCATGACATGGCCTAAGTCTTTTATACCTTTCACACACCAGGTAATATGCGCCAGAGCAGCTAACACGAGCATGCTTCTTCATAACGCGGAGGGTTCTGGATTAAGATGACTGTTTGGTGATTATGGTGAATGGTGATTCTCTTCCTGCCATTTTTGTATGTAGGAGAATTTAAAATTGAGTTTGTTTTTGTTTGAGTTGAAATCTTTTCGCAATTTTGTTACTTAGATTAGCTGCTATCTGTAGTTTAATACAGTTGTAAGCAAACAACATTAAAGGGGAATAAATAATAATAAGTTGAGGTGAAATTATTTGGTCAAGGATGAAGTGATGAATGTAAATTTAATTTCATGCTGGTTTGCATATTGATATATATTACAAAGAAGTTTGTTATGGTTTACATATTCTTGTTATTTACAAAGGCACCACCGGCGCTGAAGTACTATTGGCTCAATTCATAAATTGACAATCCCCTGCCTCCCCAAAGTAATAGAAATGAACAGAAAATTGAATTAACCTAACAACTTAGCTTAGCAATATTGACATCAAGTTTTGATGATCAGGGATAGCCTTTCCTGTATGAGTTTACAGCAGCATATGGAGAAGCACTCCTTGCACAATTTGCATGACATGGCCTAAGTCTTTTATACCTTTCACACACCAGGTAATATGCGCCAGAGCAGCTAACACGAGCATGCTGTGCTTAGCTTTCAGCAGATTTCCAGCATTTCCTAGCTTCTTGTTAGCACAAAATCATTGCATTGCATTTGTTAAATAATTTCCTGTATTTGCAATGTACAAGCAATCATGTGTCTGAAGTGCTAACTGCAAAGAGTTATGAATGTAACGGAAACTTTAACATCCCTTATTCCCATTATAGACATGTCATTCCCGATTTCCCTCCCCAGACCCTTGTTTGCAGACTGATGCTGAATATTTGTATGAAGTTCATTTGGTATTTTCTAGTTTACGATTTCTTCTTCAGAGTAAAACAATGCTTGATACAGGTTTTTGTTTGGGTGGATGTGACATTGTTGTGGTATAACCTATGGGCTATGGGCCTATGGCTGTTCTACTGACTAATTTTTCAAATTTCTCCGGTCTTAAGCATGCAGATACTCTTCTGTTGAGATTTAAACAGAAGAAATAGTGAGGTATTAAGTGCAGAATGGGAGAATGGATTACTGAGGTCTATACTGTAGCTCCTATTTCCCGTGAAAAAACTTGTACAATGATTCAACAAGGAAAGAAAAGATTTATTTTACAATCATTCTTTCTTTAGCTTGCCTCCAACATCTTTATGTTCGAAAGAGTAAAAAGTAAAGTAGTTTAGTTAGTGGTGAAGTATGTGTGCATGAAATTACTCACCAGTCCTTTGTGAATTGGCTCAGAATAGCCAAGTTCTCTGTGACAGACTCAGTTACCACCTGTTTCAGTTGACAATTTTGAAGGAGCCGTATGGTTGATGCTACTATGTATGCTGGATGAAGAATCATCATGTTGGTGTTGAGGTAAGGTTTTCTTCTTTCTTCTAAACATACCCCATAGATAATATTTCCGTTTGAATCCTGCATATGAGCATTATATTTGTTCCCCATCTATCATTAGAAATATTCCTTTTAAATATATAATTTGAAACAGGTTAAGTAGTAAGTACTGATAGACTAATAGAGTAAAATTATATTTGCAAAAGTTTCAAATGATTTGGGCTTACTCCAATAATTTGGTGGCAGCTCACAAGATGAAAAGATCAGGAGCTCAACATTATTGATCCTTGATATCATGGCTAATTCACGGTCAACTATGTCATCCACTAGGCAGTCGTACATTCTTTCAGTGCTGTATGATGTGCAATTGCTTTATTAAAACAGAAAATTTGGATAAATTAGTTTGACATACATATTTTTGTTGAAGATTACCGGTGATCAGGAAAAAAGTACACTGCAATATTATAAGCTGTTGGCAGTGTTTCCTTGAACTTCACAGGCCAAATGTTGAATTTAGAAACCATCTCTAAGCGTAGGAGCACAGGCAAAGAACTTGTCACCTCTGATGCTTCTTTGCATGCTTCGTTGGATAGGTGTGCCATCATTTCATGGACAGTACAAGATTTTTCTCCATATATCTTAAAACTTCCCCTGCAAAATAATAACCATATGCATATTAGAACTCCTTACTAAAATAGTTGTTTCAAAACTATTTCCTGCCTTCCTGATTTAGGGCGAATCTTGATGTTTTTGTCCTTGTATCCTCTTTTGCGGAGGATTAAACTAATATCATGTACATTAAATTAGTTGTTCCAGGACACAAGAGAAGGGGAGCATTACTTCCAAAAAGGATCTGGTAGTGGCTCTATATTGCTACAGAAGTCATCTTCAAGGATACAGGATGTTTCCGGAGAGCCAGACTTAGCCGCCCTAGCACTTGTTGCTTCAAAGTCTTCATCTGGAAAATGCAGGTCTCCAACAACATATTTGTGTGTTTGCCTTTTTGGATCATGACTCGTTTCCAAATCTCTGCAGAATAACTGTATCTCATTGGTTGATGGACCAGCCTCGGCATTTCTCACACTCTGAGCTTCCTCAATTAATGATGTATGAAGTGGCTCCTTTGCATCATCTTTTAGTTCACCACTTTCTGTGTCTGAAACACTGTTTGTTGAATCAGACAGTTCAACGATCCTTGGCTCACAAAATTCACAAGTCCATTCGACTTCATCATCATCTGTCTCTGCCAACTTATTACGGCAGTAACTGAAACGCAGGAAATTATTTGGACAAGGTTAGTTCACACTACCTATATACATATCTTTCTTAGCTACACAAACTTTCTGTAAGTATATGCTATGGATATACATTGACATAGATAAGAGAATATCTAGTCCCAAAGATATTATTTTGTTAATTCCCACTTTATCCCTTTAAATGATTCTTTTTTCTTCTAGTTACATACGTGATGTTCAAGTACTCAACTTGTAACGGAAGCTAAAGTCAACTAATTAACTATACATGGGAGCTACTGTTACCTTAAAAGAAATAGGAGCTCAACACTTATTTAGAGCTTAGGGTCAAAACTAGCAGAAATACTTATCATATGAAAATAATTCAGAAGCCGCAATTTTCTAACAGAAAACCCTGTAGCCCTGTTCCTGAAGCTTCTTTCACTGATACCTGAAAAAGTGCAGGAACTAAATCTAAATCCTGGGGCTTATATCCCAAGATTGACTATTGTTTCCAGGGGAATTAAATTGTAGTTCTACCTTTTCGGCCCCGAGTAGCAACGAACGTGTGTAATTATTGTGAATGGTGGTTCAATATGTAGTCCTGGTGGTCCAATATAGTCTTCAAGGAGACAGATTGGAATAGATGCATATGCTTAGATATACTATATTTTCATGGATTTTTTATAGTGCAATTAGATCCTTAAATATATACTCCGTAGTATACAAGAGAATTAAATTTAAAATTACAATAATATTCCGAATGAGTCTGTAAATTGTTTTCCTTAAAGGAATTCTAATCATCATTGCTCTTTTCCCTTCTCTCACCTTTCCGCTTCTGCTCTCTTCCATCCTTACTCTTATGTTCTTTTCTAATATTCGTGTACGGAACCAATCACAGGAAAAGGTTTGAAAACAGATTAGTTTCATTTTTTTTAAAAAAACAGTTTTTTTCTTCTAAAAAATAATAATAATTTAAATTATTGTAATCATTTACATATGATTCCTGAACTTTCATAACATCTCTAAGCTCGTCAATCAAATACCTCAGATTTTGGACTTTTTTTTTTAATTTTTTTTTTGAAAGAAGATTTTGGACTTTATAAAATGAGGCAAAATAAATAATCCTACCAAAATCTTGTGAAAGATGGAAGCCTAATACTTTGTTTATAAAAAATTTTGAAAAAAAAAAAATTATTTACCACCAATGAAAAAAAAAAGTAAAAAATAAATAAATAAAGTTCAAGAGTATTTTATTTCGTCCCTCAAAAATTCCCTTTTTGGCATTACAAAAAAGATAGACCATAAATATATTCATGAAAAAGGCAGCACTTTCAATAAGACAAGAAAATAGATATAAACAACCAATGCAGCCACATATTTACATATACCCACTCTATCCTCAAAATCCCCACTAAACACCACAAAATGATTTTATCAGGCTGTATTTCCATAACCAAACCTGTTATCACTCTTGCTTCTCTCTCTCAGAATTCTTCTAAGCACACAGCACCCCGGAACCCTTCAAAGATTACTCCTCCAAAATCAAGCCACAATCCGCAAATTCAGCCCTCTATTGCGGAGATAGAACGAGCCATTGGTGCTGGCAAATACCGCGATCATGATCCTGCTAGTATAAGGTAAGCACCTCACATCTTACTTATCTCTTTCAGACTCTATTTTAATATATTAGAGAAGTAGAACGAAGTATAAGCTATCCAGATAATTAGAACTTGGGATTATTGTTGGTACACAGTACAAACTTCAGATAATTTTAAACCGTTTTTTGTATTATTAGTCTGTTATCACTCATCTTTTTTTGTTGCTTTATACTTTGTATATGTAATGCAGTGATCCTGCAGAGAAGAATAGTGTGTTCGATGCAGTATTATCGAATTCAGTAGGAAAGACAGAGGGCAAAACTGAACGAGCACTACGCGAAACTGGAGAGTGGATGAATGAACAAACTGAGAGAGCTGCTCGGTCATCTGGAAAGAAAATTTTAGAGGTTATGTTTTTTTGGATTGCACCTGCTTGGTTCCTCTTGTTCTTTATTGCTACCGGTGCTGTTAAGTTACCTTTTACCTCTCCTGTTCTTGATGACTTTCTCATGTAAATATGAATTACACATTTTCTTTAATACTATATCATACCATCATATAAAGAGATTGCAAATTGTGACAAAACTCGACAATACGATCTGAACTCTATCAGTATTTACTGAGAGACACAAAGCCAGCATGATGCATATACAAATGAACTCTAATTTGACTTGATTTTTGTGCTTATCTTACTTATTGTTCTTTCATGGAATTTAAACTACGAAAGCTTAGAAACTTACACGTGTTCGGAGGCAATTTGGCACTTGCTGCATACAACTAATAGTTCAGGGATGCCTCTCATTCCGCATGTCTGGCACACACTCATTCTTTCTGCAACCAACACTATGATTTAAGGCATAAGATAAGGCATCAGCAAAGAGTATTCTAAAACGTGAAGTATAGTAGAAATTTCTACCACGTTTGTTTGGTAGACAAAAATATTATAAAGGAAGTTGCATTGAAAATCAGGGTTTCCTAATACAAATTTTGGCACTTTCTAGAAAATGGAATTACTTGGGTAAAATAGAAACTTTAGAAATATTACTTTCTATGTTCAATCAAGCAATCACTGGGATATTAGTACGGCTCTTATTCATCCCACTTGTATTGTATGATCGGAGTACACAACTGTCAACTGGGCTGAGCCAATTCATGGACGGTCCAGTTCGGATGCTCTTAGTTCATGTCAAAATTAGCCCGGCTAACAAGCTGGGTGTTCGATAAACAGCCTTGCTCTATGTGGACTGGTCCAAATAGGCCGTGACCGGTAGCTAGGCTAGGTGTGCTCACTTTTCCTTTCTAGGAACCCCAAATCTAAAAGATCTCTTAACATCTCTCCCTATATTAAGAGTAATTCCTAAAATTATGCAAGCTAGCAACTTCATTCATTTAATTCATTATAATGTAGTTCACTTTCAAGATACAGACCGTACCAGTTTACATTTATTACCAATTTAATGAGAATATCATCTTCTTGTACTTCAAATAAAGAACTTGTACATTGTACTAGCAAGTAATCCATGCTTTGTGTCAAAAAAAAAAGAAAAAAAAAAGCAAGTAATCCATGCTATGTTTTGTGTAAAAAAACATTCAACAAATATGTGAGCTTTTAACAGCCACATTTTCAATTTATGGGATGTTCTTTCTTGCTTGAATATGGATTTTAAGTATAATATATTCGGGTTGTAATGATCAGCCCAAGTAATTATATAATCTATTACAAAGATCTTAGAAATTGAACTAAATCCATAATTTCCTATGTTTTAAGTATTCAATTTCTAGATTAAATACAAGAGAAATGTAATTTTACACCCTCTTACATTCTTCTTTTCATCACACTTTTTCACATGTGCTTCTAGTATGTTAAAGTGAAAGAACGTAAAATGACATTCGAGTGTATGATGGACCTACCTAATATTTTTCACACCTCTTGCAAATTCTTTGATCAAACATGCCATAAAAAAATTTACCCAAATTATATTCTTCAAACTTAAACATTTCATGATGTTTGCTTTAAAACAGCTACCCAACTCTTGTAGGTGGGTAATCCCATTACCTCTTTTATAGCAGTTAAAAAAAAAAATAAAAAAAATAAAAAAATAAAATTCAAAATGTTCCTAAAAAATTTGCAAAATTAGATAACAAAGTAAAATATTCAAGAAGATTATGAAGAAGAAACTGACCTTAATAAAGAAGAATTGAGCTAGTCTTTCTCTTGGGAACTTTATTCTTATGTTTTGTTGCAGCTTAATAGGAATTGAAAGAAACATGAAAAGCAGTTGGAAATGGCTTTAAAGCTTTCAACTAACCTTATTTTACAGTATTATTGCAAATTTGTGAGGGACTTACCTATTATATAGTGAGTTAAAAAACTGAAAATAGTATGTCTTGCTACATGAACCACTCGTTTTCCATAAATACTTAATTTTTATACAGCTTATGGTAGTAAAAGGCTAAAAGCTGTGGAAGAATAGAATATTGTACTTGTATATTTTTGCCTTTTGTGTGTGTGTGTGTTTTTTTTTTTTTTAATTTTTTTTTTATCTTTTATTATTATTTTTTTAATTTGGTATACATGGTGCTGTAAAGAGAGTTGTGATGTAAACAAAATTTTATCTCTAATTGTTTGGTTAACCAATAATGCGGGGAAGTTGAAATTCATGGGAAATGAAATTTTGAGTGGTTGTTTGGTTAGAATTAAAAGGGAATAAAAATTTCTAGGAATTTTGATTTCCTACAAAACATGGGAATTTATTTAGCTACTCTCTCCTTGGTCAATAGAAATTCATGAGAATTGAGATTTCCTTTATTGTCAACCAAACAAATTATGGCCGTTTCCTAGGAAATAAATAAGGTACTTACTTCTCATGGGTATATAACTTCCTTGTGAACCAAACAAGCACTTAATTCCCTTCTCATGGGTATTTTCACAACTTCTCAAATTCTACTATGGAGTACCTTTACGGATCACTAGACTTAAACCAACTAAATTAATTAGTTTCACAAATTGATTTGAAATCTCATCACTTGTCAAATAGATTATACAGTACAATTTTTTTTACTCATGAATTATTATATTTCCTAATCTCTAATTTACTTCCTGGATTTGACCTCTACTTGCCATTAAATAAAATGCCAATTCAGTTGTTAATCAAATCAAATTTATATCAACTATATCTGTGTATCATATACAAAAATTTCTAATAATTTGGATTTCCTGTCAATAAAAAACTGGATGATCACTTGATCAGCTAATTTCTTGTAAATTTGCATGACTGCATCCACACAGATATCTCCCCTAAACAGAATTATTCAGTTAGTAACTTAAATTGCATTTATCCTGCTTATTCACATTTCACAGTAACAGTGATTGTAAACAATACTACTTGCTTCTGCATTCGAGGAAGTCTTAACAACATTGATCATACAAGTTACATGCTAACAACACAAAACACACAAGACTGCAAGTCGAAGCAAAATCAACCTATGTAAAAGAAGACTAAACCTTAGAATATTTGCTCTGCCACTTCTCCTGATCTGAAGACCTTTTACAGCAAAATGAGGTCCAGAAAATTACGTTAGTATATTACAAGGGAAGTAAAAGATACAATGATTCTCGAATATCCATTGAGGAATTATGAGATTAATTAGTAAAATGTTTTGCTAAATAAAGTAAGGAGTATCCACCAGTAGTGAAAATATGATGATAGCAAGCACTACCTTATTAAGAACTATCTATGCAAGACTACTTATGCAAGTTCTTGTGTAATGTGTTGGGGGTTTCAGGTTCTGCTACAAATGATTTCAGGCCTCTGAATCAAACAAGCAGCATCGTGTCCCTAACTTGAAAATTTGAGAGCTTTTCTTACGGTACTTAAAATTTGTTTTACTGTTACTAACAAGTAACAACACGTTTCAGAAGTAAAAGTTTTTACTGAAACTAATAGGAAAACCAGTAGACACTTCCCACAAACAATTTACAGGAGCATTTTTATTAAAAAAAAGTTTGTTATTTCTTAGAATCAGCATTAGGGAATGAAGAGATTGCTCTTGAATAAAGCTCTAATCAGTAGTTTGTTGGCCAAATTCTTAAATATGACAAATTTCTCACACAAAGTGTACTTATACTTAGAAAATTCTTGCATCAGAAGTTTGAAACAAGTTACCACCATAGGTTGCCAAACTACATAGCAGGAATCATCATACATTACACTGCCAACATACAGAATAACAGAAGTAACAAGTAAACTATTTAATACAAGAATTCTAAGCAATCTGAGTAATTTTCAAAACTTAAATCAACCCTTACCAATGAGTTTTTAAGATATAACTTTAGCACCTAATGTTGTCTTTGCAGGAAAACAGAAGAATTCTACAAAGACAGGTACTTCAGGTTTCGCTTTAATAATATATATTGTCACATGACCTACTCATGAAATCATGAAGCAAAGAGAAAGCATGATGGTACACTAGATGCAATCAAATAGAGGTTCTAGTAGAAATCGAGAAGATTCAGAGTTTTTTGTAAACGATTATCTTTTTTTACAATGACTACATAGACTGAGGAACTGAGCAGCTTTTGAGCTGAATTATTGACACTATTGTTCTCAAACAAAAAAAAAGGGGTTTTTATCCCCTAGACTAGAATTCATGTAGTAAAACTTGAGAATGAAATTAGTAAACTTGATTTTCTGCTATACAGTTATTTTTCTTACCAGCATGCTTACAAGTAAAAATCAAAATCTAAGACTACGATAAACTGACATCTGAATCCACGGCTCAAGAGCTAATCTCCTGTAGAAACCTGCACCTAATCATCAGTACTCACTGAAATGAGTTCTTGGAGTTGACCAAGGACACTCCTCAACATCATCACCTCCAACTTTCAGTATCTTTCTCGAAGCCCCATGATTGGCTGCTCGAAACTTCACATCAGGCCTCTTAGCTGGTAAATCAGGCACCTGCAGTTCCCCTTTTAACATCATATGTGCTTCCTTAATAGTAGGCCTTTTCTTGTTATCTAAGTGCACACAGCACAGACCAACCTTGAGCATCCTTTCCATGTCTTCCTTACTATACCACCCCATCATCCTCCAATCAACGGCCTCAATCAGCTTACCCCTCTCCCACAGGTTCCATATCCAATCAGTGAGATAACCTTGTTTGTTCTCGGTTGGCCTTCTTCCTGTCACCACCTCCAAAACCACCACTCCAAAACTGTAAACATCAGAGTTAATAGTAGGAACACCCAAGTGAAGATACTCCGGGGCTATGTACCCTATTGTCCCAGCTGGAATAGTAGGTTTCCTCAATCTAGAATCTCGGTCATATACCTCAACCAACCCAAAATCACCAAGTTTAGGGTTAAAATCCGAATCAAGCATCACATTACTAGTCTTAACATCCCTATGAATGATCTGCCTGTTGCATTCTTCATGCAAGTATGTGAGACCAGAAGCTATACCAAGCACAATGTTCAGCCTTTGTTCACAAGTTAAAACACGAAAAGCATCCGAATCTGTATGCAGATTCTGATCAAGGTTACCATTATGCAGAAACTCATACACCAAGATAAGTTCATTTTTTTCACAGCACCATCCCAACAATTGAACAAGGTTTTTGTGCTTCAATTTTCCGAGTCATAGAAGAACATTCATTGGTAAAGGTTCTAATGAGATTACCGTCACTAGCATCATTGAATCTTTTAACAGCAACTACTTGTTCATGGAAAAGAATTCCCTTATAAACTGTTGCTGATGTTCCTTGGCCTATGATCCTACCCCTGCTGAAACCATCAGTAGCCGATTCGATCTCCGAGAGATGCAACTTCATAGGCCCTTTCTTCAACTCATTCCTCCTGTTTTTCTCCCTATCTGATATCACACTTTTCCTTGACAACCAGACAAAATAAATCACAACAACAACTGCCAAAAAACTCAATGCAGAAATAATTCCAGTCAATGCAATCTCATCTTTCTTGTTATCATCATCAGAAACTTCACCCGGAGTACAATTCACACAATCACCTCCCTCCTCATCTCTATCAACAGTCGAAAAATCGAACTCGAAAGTCTTGAACTCCCATCCATTAATAACATGTAATGCAGACCCATCTCTATTAGAAGCAGAGAATCCCACATACATTGACTCCTTCAAATGCTTAGAAAGATCAATTTTAGCATAAAGAACAGGATTCAAGGGTTTAATTGGGAGGTAACTAACCCAAATTCTGATAGTTTTTACTGAATTTCTGTACTCAATCCAAGCATTAATCTTCTTTCCACTACTCAAATCAACTCCACCCAAAACCCATCAACAGAAACCAAAGAAATGTCAGAATTCACATCAATACCCACATGATTATCATTAACATCGCCGACTAATGCATCAAATTTTGTATCGAATTCGACTGCGAAAAACGATTCTTGAGAGTTCAGGCTGAATTCAGGCAAACCCAAATGCCCAAATTTAGAACTAAACAACCCCAAATCAGAGGTGATCAAGAAAGCGATTCCATCACCAGGGTTTGAGGGAGAAGAAGGAGTAATAATGAAGGAAAATCGAGAAAAGAAAGAAACAGAGGAATTAGTTGAATGATCAAGAAATTGAAGTGGGTAAAAGTAGAATGCTCTGCCTGAAGAAGAAGGGTTTTGTTGGGTTAAACTAATGGAAGAAAGGTTTGTTGCAGAATTGATGATTAAGTTCGCATCGCCAAAGAAGGTGATGTTGTTTGCAGGGATGAATGAGATGGAGGATGAACAGGGGATGTTGAATGTGAAGATTATGGTGAAGATTATGATGAATTTTTGAAACATGGTTGAATTTGGAAGTTTGAATCTTGGAATTTGAGAATTTTGAGGTTTTGGGTGGATTTAATCTTGGTTTTCTCTGTAAATTTTGAAGTTTTAGTGAAGTACTAGTAGTAGCTTCTGGTTTGAGAAGAGGATAAAGTAGAAAGAAGGGAGGAAGACGTTGGGAGGGAGGGAAAACAGAGCACCATTTCTTTTTTCTGATTTTTTAATTTTAATTTCAATTTATAATATTTTTTTTTTAAAATTTATGATTTGGTTAACTTAATTATTTAGTGGAAATGGATCTTTACAAGAAAATACAAGGGTTTTTTTTTTTTTTAAAAAAAAAAAAATTAGAAAATACAAGTTTATAATCTTGATAACAATTTATATTTATCTAAGGTTGTGTTTGGTTATCTTTATTTCATTTCTATTTCTAAATTTTAATTCTTGAATTCCAAATTCTGAAATTAAAATTCTATTTTATGTGTTTGGGAAACTCTAGAAATTGGAATTTAGGAATTTTACGTAAGATGTTGACTTTATAATTTATAAAAATTATGGAAAAGAAATTGAAAAAATGCATTTAAATGAAGTTCTGTTACTAACAGAGGAGAGAGAAAGCAACTAAAAAAGAGAAGATTGCAAAAATGGAGACAAGCAAATTGCATAAATGTTGACCACTTGTTCATTTTGGAAAAGACGAGGATACATGCCCATCAATATTCGTCAATCTAAGGAAGTGAATTGTAAATGACAGGGTAGAGCACTTGAAATTCTATCAAATTGAGCCATGTTTAATGGTCCCGGAATTGAAGCAAATACAAATCCAAATTCTTGCAGTTTATCTATTGGATATCTGGTTATTTTAGGAAACAAGTATTTGTTTTTTTGTTATTTACTTGGTCTGGGAAACTTTTTATGGGCTTCCTATAGTCAGTAGTTTATTTCCTTATTTTCAGCTTTTTACTTAGGCCCAAGGCCATAATCTTGTATATATGGTAAAAACGCTTCTGCTGTCAAAGCAAGTCAATTGACCTAATTTCTAAAATTCCCTCATGGTATCAGAGCCAATGGTTGCTCGATCCTCAAAACCCTAAATCTTCTTATTCCTGCGCTCTTCTCCTTCTCGTCTCTGTTTGCAGATTTGCAGCGAGGCAACTGGTGGTTATTTCTGAAGGGCAGCAGCTACAGGTGGTTGTTTGTGCAATTTTTTTAAGTGGTTCTCTCTTCACTAAGGTCAGTGCCTATTGTATTTCTAATTCAAGTTCTCTGTTATTATGGGTGATAACGGGAAGAATGGTAAAAAGTTGCAACTTATTCATGATGCATCTTCAATTTATTATTTACATCCTTCTGAAGGGCTTGGTACATCCCTCACTAAGTATTTGTTAAAGGGCGAAAATTATGATGTTTGGGAAAAGGCTGTGATTAATGCTTTAGAAGGGCGTAATAAGTATGGTTTTTATTAGTGATGACTTTGAGAAACCAACAGATGAGAAAAGTGCTGAATTTGTAGCTTGGAAATCTAATAATTCTACTATATGTTCTTGGTTGTTCAATTCGGTTGATGAGTCTATACAACCTAGTGTTGCTGGTCATAAAATTGCTAAAGAGATGTGGTTGGATTTAAAAGAACGTTATTCAATTAATAACGGCCCTCGTCGTAATCAACTCAAGTCCCAGTACCACTTACTCCGTCAAAACTGCATGAGTGTAGTGTCATATTATAACAAGTTCAAGGCATTGTGGGACGAGTTGTATGGTTCGGAGGATTTGACTTGTGGTTGTACTTGTGATGCTGCTGCTAAACTACAAGCCCGTGTTGAACGAGAAAAGACTCATGATTTTGTTTTGGGTTTGGATGATGACCTATATGGAGCTCTTCGCACCCAAATCTTGAGTATGGAGCCGTTTCCCGCACTTAATAAGGCATTCTCTTTAGCAACACAGGAAGAACGACATCGAAGTATTATAAGGGACCGTGATGATAAATCTCAGGCTCTTAGTTTTGCAGTTCAAGCTTCCCAAAATTCATCCAGTTTGCAGCCCAACCCCACCAGCTCATCACCTTCAACATGCTCTCATTGTGGGCGCACAGGTCATGTTTATGAAAAATGTTATCAGCGAATTGGTTTTCCTCCAAGGGGGCGTGGGCGTGGTGGTAGTCGTGGTGGTCATGGTCGAGGGGGAGCTTCAGGAGGACGTGGACAGCAGGTACCAGCAGCAGCTAATACTGCCAGAGCAACGAACCAGCAACATGATGGTGATACAGACCCCAACAATGGCTTTCATCAAGCCAACAACATTGCTACACCTCCTGGTTTCACTAGTGAACAAGTGCAACACATTATAACTCTCCTGGAGTCTTCTTCAGCTTTTGAAAAATTGTATGGTAAGGACAACAATAATTGTTTATGGCTACTTGATAGTGGCGCATCACACCACATGACAGGGATTTTGGATGATTTGTTTGATCGCTCAGACCTCCCACCTTGCCCTGTTAGCTTACCTGATGGTATTCAAACCATTGCAGTTTTGAAAAGGAGTGTTTGCTTGGGATCTGGTTTGGTGCTTCAGAACGTTCTATATGTCCCTAACCTTAAATGCAATTTAATTTCTATTAGCCAACTTATTATTGACTCACATTGTTTTGTGACGTTCACTGATCGTGTTTGTATCATACAGGACTGCACGTCGAGGAAGGCGATTGGCCTAGGTGAACTTCGGAATGGGGTGTACGTTTTTCAGCCAGTGACACAGCAAATTCTGTCTCATTCTACTACAGCAGACTCAACTCTTCTCCTACATCAGCGACTGGGACATCCTTCAAGTCAGCATTTATCTTATGTTTCCGGTTCCAGTAGAAATAGTAAAATAAAGAAATACTTAGACTCTTGTGATGTATGTTTTCGAGCAAAGCAAACTCGTACGATGTTTCCTTTAAGTGATAATAAAGCTGATACTTTGTTTAGTTTAATCCATTGTGATTTATGGGGTCCGTACAAAAAATCTGTTTCTTCTAGCTCTCATTATTTTCTTACAATTGTTGATGATCATTCCCGTAGTGTTCGGATTTATATAATCAAAGAAAAGAGTGAAGTACCGACTTGTTTAAGAAATTTTTGTGCTTTGATGAAAACTCAATACGATAAGACAGTGAAAATAATTCGGTCTGATAATGGTACTGAATTCACCAAAGGCTCTCTTCTGCAGTTTTATCAAGATATGGGTATTATGTTTCAGTCTTTATGTGTCGGTACCCCTCAACAAAACGGCCGTGTTGAACGGAAACATCGTAATATTCTGGAGGTTGCAAGGGCTCTGCGATTTCAGGCATCTCTTCCTATTCGATTTTGGGCCGAATGTGTTCAAGCCGCTGTACATCTCATTAATCGAACGCCCACAAAAGTGCTCGAAGGGAAGTCACCATATGAAATTTTATTTGGCTCTCCTCCTAATTTAGAGTTGCTTCGCGTGTTTGGCTGTTTATGTTATGCTCACAACAAGCCGAGAACAAAGTATAAGTTTGGCTCCCGTAGTCGAAGGTGTGTCTTCTTGGGATATCCTTTTGGTCAAAAAGGGTGGAAAGTATTAGATTTGGAGACAAATGAGATTTTTGTGTCTCGAGATGTCCGATTTTTGGAGGACACATTTCCATTTTCTCATGAGTCGACAGAGCCTTCTCATGCTGAGCACAATCAGGTTTATGCAGATTTAGATTTTGGGGACTTATCTTCATATCCAGTAGCCCCTAATGTGGTGGACAGGGGGAGTGTTTCCCGTGAGCAGCAAGCTGCACCTTAACCAATGCGTGTATACACGCGCCGCCAACGCAATACTAGTGTCCAAGATGCTACTTCGGGTATGTTAGCTCACCCTGAGTCATCTCCAGCCAGCCCCTTAGTTCGTAGTTCATATGAGGATGGTGCTGTACTTGCCAGAGCCCCTGATCCCTCTCAAACTATGGATGCAGCACCATCTAGTCGTAACATCGGATCTGCAACAGTTCCTAGTGAAACTTCTCGTGTTCGTCGACCTCCAAGTTGGTTCTCCGATTATATATGTCACTCAGCACATGCTAAACACCCCATCTCCGCTTCACTAGAGTCATTAGCCTCCTCAGGTACGCGGTATCCTATAGCTAATTATGTTACTCTTGATCATTTTAATGCTGGCCATAGAAAATTTGTTGCCGCTGTAAGCACTAACATTGAGCCTAGATCTTACAAAGAAGCGGTACAACATGAGAGGTGGCGTATAGCAATGAAGCAGAAGATTGATACTTTGGAAAATAATAATACATGGGAGATAACTGATCTTCCTCCTGGCAAGAGAGCAATTGGTTGTCAATGGGTGTTTAAGACCAAATACAAGTCTGATGGGTCAGTTGAACGAGATAAAGCTCGTTTAGTGGTGTTTGGTAATCATCAAAAGGAAGGTGAGGATTTTACCGACACCTTTGCCCCAGTAGCTAAGATGACTAGTGTTCGTACATTTCTTGCAGTTGCAGTGGCTAAGAAATGGGAGGTTCATCAGTTAGATGTAAACAATGCTTTCCTACATGGTGATTTACATGAGGAAGTTTAAATGCGTCTACCTCCTGGTTTTTCAACAGGTTCGTCTCCTGGTAAAGTCTGTCGGTTACGTAAATCTTTGTATGGTTTACGCCAATCTCCCAGGAACTGGTTTGCAAAACTTACTTCTTCCTTGCGACGATATGGCTTTCAACAATCTCATGCCGATCACACCTTGTTTACATACCAAAAAGGAGAGGATGTTTTTTCATTATTGGTATATGTGGATGATATTTTGGTTGCAGGAAACAACCCAAAACTTTGCACTTATTTTAAGAAGTACCTTGATGATTGTTTCAGGTTAAAGGACTTGGTCCTTTAAAATACTTTCTAGGCATTGAATGTAATCGTTCTTCCGAAGGTATGTTTCTCAACCAACGTAAGTATGCCTTGGACATACTCCAAGAGGCTGGTCTTCTTGCTACCAAGCCTGTAGAATCCCCATTACCACAAAACCATCAGCTAGCCTTATCCACCAGCAAGTTGTTCGAGGATCCTGCTCGATATAGACGTCTAGTTGGTCGTTTAATTTATCTGACTATTACTCATCCTGATTTGTCATACGCGGTTCATATTCTGTCACAATTCATGCAAGCACCAAGACAGGATCACTATGATGCTGCTATTCGAGTTCTGCGATATATTAAAGGGCATCCGGGACAAGGTTTGTTTCTTCGAGCAGATAGTGATCTGCAATTGTATATGTACTGTGATTCTGATTAGGCCAGCTGCCCCATTTCCAGGCGATCAGTTAGTGGGTATTTTGTGCTCTTAGAAAATTCTCTGATCTCGTGGAAAACTAAGAAGCAAACTACGGTGTCTCGATCGTCCGCTGAGGCAGAGTATCGTGTTATGGCTCATGCATGTGCAGAAGTAAAATGGCTCAAAGTCCTCCTGCATTCTCTTGGTGTGCGACATCGAAAACCTATCCATCTTTTTTGTGATAATCAAGCGGCAATCTACATTGCGTCAAACCCGGTGTTTCATGAACGGTCTAAGCACATTGAAATTGATTGCCATTTTGTTCGGGAGTTGCTCATGCAAGGTGTTATTTCTACAGCACACGTGCGAACTAAGTTTCAGCTAGCAGATTTGTTTACCAAGGCCCTTGGAGTTCCAACCTTTTCTTTTCTATTGTCCAAGTTGGGTGTTCGTGACCTTTACGCTCCAACTTGAGGGGGAGTATTGGGTATCTGGTTATTTTAGGAAACAAGTATTTGTTTTTTTGTTATTTACTTGGTCTGGGAAACTTTTTATGGGCTTCCTATAGTCAGTAGTTTATTTCCTTATTTTCAGCTTTTTACTTAGGCCCAAGGCCATAATCTTGTATATATGGTAAAAACGCTTCCGCTATCAAAACAAGTCAATTGACCTAATTTCTAAAATTCCCTCATTATCAAACAACAACATTGACTCAAATCTAGAATTTGAAATGAAATCAATATATCCAAACATACCATAAAGGTATTTATGTAATGGGTAATGATATATGTAGCCCTAAGGGTTATATATAAACATTAAATACACTCTTGAAAATTGTATAAAATTAGAAATTCATGACAAAAACATGCGTAAATCAGTGTAATCAACGTTTATATTTTTATGATTTTTTTTTTTAACTTTTTACGATTTTCATGTGTAATTTAATACTACCTCTGGTCCAAATTACTCGCAACTTTGGGGTATTATTTGTAAGATATAAAATATTCCAAAGTTACAAGTAATTTCGACCAGAGGTAGTACTTATATGTAGCCTTAAGGGATGTGTATAACATTTTCCTTATGTAATTAACAACTAACAGGTGTTAATTGTCATTAGTTGCTTTCCCCCTCTCCCCTCATTTTCTCTTTCCTCCTTCAACCATCAAATTTAGGTGTTGTTTGTTTGATAAGGGAATTTAATTCCCATGAGAATTTGTATTTCATGGGAATTAAATACCTATATCTAATTCCTAGAATTTGTCTAAACTTGTTTGGTTAGGATGAAGGAAGTTGCAAATCATGGGAATTTTGAGTTACATATGGGGTTAGGTAATTAACTTTCCATGTTTTGTGGGAAGTCACCGTTGACACCGAAATTTTGTTAATTATTAGGTGTCAGATATATGTAAATAAGGAGATAATATAAAAAACTATAAGATATTTATCTTCTGAATCTCATAGATTATTATCTTTTACTCTACGACTCTCTATATAAAGAGGGTCGAATCTAGGATTTAATTAGGCTCAGGTGGAATAAGTCACAAAGACCCCATCTCCTCCCTACTACCAAACATTGTAGGTCTATAGTATGGAATAAGCCGACAAGGCCCCGTACTATAAACAAATATCAAAACCCTACCCCTTTGGAGAGAGGAATCAAGAGATCTACGAGAGTTGTAACCCACAAATTATCAATAATTGATAATTGTTCCCGTATATTTTTCTACCTCTTTATTTAAATATTGCAGGTTTGAATTTTTATGGTTTACAATTTATGAGATTCAGAAGATAAATATCTTATAATTTTTATATTATCTCCTTATTTATATATATTTGACACCTAATAATTAACAAAATTTCGGTGTCAACAGTCACAATTCCCATGAATTTGAAATTTCTTCCTTTACACTTTTTATTGTCAACCAAACAACTCACTCATTTGCAAATTCCCATGATTTTCCACTTTCCCCATTTTCTTGGTGCAACCAAACAAGCCCTTAGTGATTGCAAATATTCATTTTAACACAACATTGAGGTAGACGAAATATGACCTTTAGGGTTATCCGTGCCTTTTATTTCTCCCTTTGATATTCTAGATTTCACTGCAAAAAATGATAGTGCTAAGCCGAAAGCAGTGGAGGAATGAAAACTCACATATCTTTAAGGGTTAACCTATACATTTAAAAATTGAGGAAGTCCATTCTTGGTAATTTCAGAATTTAACTAACATACTTCATAGTTTTACATATGATTCCTCCATCTTCACTGGCTACGAAGCACAAGTTGTAAGTTGAAGGTAAAGAATAGGCCTTAGGTTGTGCCAACTAGAGTTCAATAACAAAGTTAACGGAGACTATAGTAACAAAGAAAATTGAAACTTCCTCCGTTTTATAATAATTGCAATATTAGGTGTGACATAATTGAAATATAGTATAAGAAAAATTATAAGGTGGGGTCAAAAGATGAATTTAATACGAATTTAAATAAAGCATAGTTGGTAGGGGTATATTTAATTGTTACTAGGAGAGTGATAATAATACTCCGTAAATTAATGTGGGAGAGTGATAATAATACTCCGTAAATTAATGTCAATGAGGTTGATAGGAGAGAAAAATAATAAAATTTAATTGGGTTTATACCAAATAAACTACTCCCCAACTACTCCCCTCGTTTCTTATTTCTGACAACATTTGCCATTTTGGGGTGGTTTACATTTCTTGCAACAAACTTATTTTTTTCTTTATTTGGAAACTTTTTCTGTCAAAATGACCAATACCCTTACTTAAAATTTTTTAACACATAATGCCACACATAAATTACAACTCATTATAACATTAATCTAAATTAATTATATATGAAATCACACCCAAATAATCAAACCCATTATCTTTCTCTCTCCTCCTTCATCTATCATTTCGTCATCTTCATCTCTCATAATCAAATTCCAAACCATCCTTTTAGTGGGTTTCAGATCTGGTTGTTGGTGAGTTTGGTGGTTCGTCAGTGATTTTGGTGGTGTCGTGGGTAGTTCTGGTGGGTCATCGGTAGGTTTTTGTGGTTTCGGTGGTAAAGATGGGTTTTGTGGTTTGCGGTTTCCCAGGGGTGGAGGAGAGTCGTAAGGTTGATGGCGTGGGTCTGGTGGTTTCGTGGGTCTTGAACTGGTCGTTTTCGGTGGTGTTGGTGGTGTTGGTGTGTCTAGATATGGTTGTGTTGGTGGTTTCGCAGGGGTGGAGGAGGGGTTTTGGTGGGTTCGTGGGTTTGGTGTGGTGGGTCTAGGTGGTGGTTGTGGGTGGCGTGGGTTCTAGATCTGGATGGTTTCAGATAGAAGTGGTTTCGTTGGGTGATTTCGGGTGGTTCAGGTTGGTTTCGACTTTCGAGTGGTTTCTAGGTGGTTCTGGGTGGTTTCGTTGGTAGTTCTAGGTGGTAGCTTTTTGTTGCTGGTGGTTTTAGGTGGCGTACCGCGTATGTACTTGATCAGGGGTGGTGCTGAACTTTGGTTGTTTAATTAATTATTCACCCTCCCTCCTTAATTACATTATTTACATGCCCTTACTTTTTAATAATTATGCTTAAAAACTTGTGGATTGCTAAATACCGCCAACGATTTTTATCAAACCGCCATCATTTTAAGTAAAGGGACTTTGTTGCCCTTAATAAATATTTACCCAATTATTTAAAAAAAAAAATTTAACTTTAATTAATTGACTACAATTACCGCGTCACTACCTACATCGGACCACCACCACTAATAGATTGACCACCACCACGAACAGAAAAGTTATCGGAAATGGATGATAATCACGGTGATTCGTCGGAAAACCAACCGCAATCTCAACCCTCGGCTTTTGAACAAGTACGCTTATTTATTTAATTAGCTAGTTGTATACTAATATGATTATAAATTATGCTGAATTTGGAATAAATTATAAATTAGCTAGTTGTTTACATATATGTTGCCGTAAAACTTGATGTGAAACCGGTCAACCGGTGCATGAAACCGGTCAACCTCCCCGAGAATCGGTTTTATGCTGCGGTTGACCGTAGTTGTTAACCGTTTTTGACCACCGGTTGGCCGTGTTGGTCCACCGGTTTTCCACGCAGGTTACCGTGGGCAACCGGTGCTGAAATCCGGTTATCCGTCACGGTCAACCGGTGGTAAAATCCGGTAACCCATGTTGGTCAACCGGTTTGCAGCTCCGGTTGAGTGTGGTGACGATGCTTTTTTTTTTTTTTTTAATAAAAACTAATATTATTGTATTAACTTTTATACTAGTATGAATAATATAAATAAATATTATTCTATTTAAGATTATTATTATAATTATAATTATTAATGTTATATTGTTCGTTATTATTAATTAAAAGAATTATTTGTTTGTATCAGGCGTCATTATCAGATTACGGCGGTGATGGTGTTGATTATAGCCCGCATTTTCAGACTAGAGAAGTTTTCCCGACCTATCAAGCAGCTGTTGATTGGGCTAGAGAAATTGCCACTCCATTAGGGTTCTTTTTGACAAATTCATCGTATAAGAAACAAAGAAATGGGCTTCCAATTAATTACATGAAATGTGATCGGGGGGAGAGAAACAGAGGGGAAAATCGGGACCGTGAAAATGCCACACGGAAGAACACGAATAGCAAGGGTTGTAAATGTACGTTTCAAATCTCGGCTCGATGTTTGCGGGACATGGAAGGATGGATAATTAAATCTAAAAAGGGCTTGAAAGGCATGCATAACCATCCGCTCATGGTATATCGAGAGGGTCACCGACAGGTTAGTGGTCTTAGTCCAGCTGCAAAGACGCTTGTTATTGACATGAGTTCTGCTGCAGCCAAGCCGCGTCACATTATGGCAGCCGTGAAAGAGAAGTTTCCGAATGAGAGCCCTAACAAGAGACATATCTACAATGTGAGAAGTCGTGCTCGTCTAGATGCTTGTGAAGGTCGAGATGTTGCGCACCAGTTTGTTCACTTGGCAAATGAGTACAAGTATGTCACTTGGATAAATGTTGATCCAGATACCTGTGCTATCACCCATGCTTTTTTGGCCCACCCAGAGATGGCTAATATGCTACGTACGTATCCACATGTCATTGGGATGGATTCTACGTACAAGACCAACAGATATAACATGCCATTCTTCGAGCTCGTTGGTGTCACGCCTACAAATCAAAACTTTTTGATCGGATATGCCATATTAAAGAGCGAAACTTATGAAAGCTACAAGTGGGTTTTGGAGAAATTGCAGTTGTACATTGGATTTGAGGTGGCTCCGAATGTTTTTGTTACTGATTGTGATTGGGAAGGGCGCACATTTTGTGTGGGAAGGATATGTTGATGGCCGAGAGATTTCGAAATGGTAGATGGAGAAGAGTAATGTGTTCGACCACTATTGCCGAGTATGAGTTAGAGTTGCAAACTATGAAAGCGACATGGGGAGCATCGAACCCACCACTGGTGAAATATGTCGAGGATCAATGGTTGGTCCACAAGGAGAAATTTGTGCGAGTTTGGACGAATTTGGTGATGCACTTCGGCAATGTCAACACATGTAGAGTAGAGAGCCAACATTCCGTACTTAAACAATGGTTTGACAGTTCTACAGGAGCATTAGACACTATCTTCCGTCGTGTGCACAGCAACATTGAGGGTATGCTAATTGAGATTCGTCACCATTTAGAGGACTCGAGACGGCGAATGGGGTCACAACACAACATCATGCCTTTGCTTCATCTTAACGGCTTTTTGTCATTTCGAGGTCTTGATATTTTACAGGATGAGTTGAAGAGGATGAGAGAGATATCTGATGATGTGTTGGATAGGTGTGGGTGTGCGTTACTGACGAAGAACGGTCTCCCATGTGCATGCACCATGTGGACAGCAATTCTTGCAGGGACAGGGTTGTATTTGGATCAGGTCCATCCATTTTGGAAAACACTAGTGATCGGTGAGGGCGTTGACATTCTCGTTTTTGCTGATGAGTCGGAGCAGGATGCAGCCTTGTTTAGCTCTTTGGTCGATGAGGTCTTAGATCGTGATCCAAGCTTTGTGCGGGGTATCAACCGGGTCCTATTTGAGGAGCTACACCGAGATCAGACTGATTTTACTGATCCAGAGGTCAACGAGACAACAAGGGGTCGACCACCGACAGGTCAATGGTCTACGTCTACTAGGCGTAATCGCAGCAGATTTGAGCATATTTTGGGTTCTCGTGGCCGTCGAGGTGGACGTAGGGGTGGTCGTCGGGGTGGTCGTACGACACCGATTTATACAGCTTCAGGTTATTATTATTATTATTATTATTATTATTATTATTATTATTATTATTATTATTATTATTATTATTATTTATGGCTAATTTGTGCACACTTGTAGGGAATGATTTGAACTTGGAGGAATTCGCATATTTGGATAAAGTTCCAGCCTTCATGCTTCCATTTCTACGAGGGTGGAGTGATCCGCTTGGTGATGGTAACTGTGGATTTCGATGTGTTGCAGATTTCTTCATAGGTGACCAGCATGAATGGATATTAGCTCGACGATCGATTGCAAATGAGGTTGGTCATCATCGAGACATTTATTCTCGAGTGTATAGAGTTGAACAATTAGATGTTGCAATCAACCGTATCACATGGACTGGAGGGAGATGCGGCACAGATCATTGGATGGTTGCTTTTGATGACTTGTTTCCGATTGCTAACTTTTATAATGCCGCTGTCATGTGTTTTGGTGTTGGTATAGATGGTCGTGGTGTGTTCCCATGCATCACTGTGCTACCTTGGACTGCTCCGTCAACAACAACTGGTCCGTATAGGGAGTTTTGCATACTGTCTTTAGGGTGGCATTTTGTGCGATTGGAGTTTGAAGATAATTTTCCAGTTCCTCCTATTGCTACTACTTGGTTCGATATATGTGATTGATAGGAGATTTTATTGCATTGTTAATATTGAACTCTTAATTTAATAATTTAAAAGACACTATCGAATTATTTTTTCATTTATCAACCTAATCTAATAATTTTAAAAAAAGCGGCAAATCTAATGATGTCTCAGTAATTATGAACTCCTGAATATAATAAATTATGTCCCAACAATTATTAAATCCAAATCTATATATCAAGCTAAAAAAAGGTCCAAATCTAATTATCTCCCAATATTTATTAACTCCTAAATCTATAAACCAAAAAAAAAAGGTCCAAATCTAATAATGTCCCAATAATTATTAACTCCAAATCTAATAATTTAAAAAAAAATCCAAATTAACCAAATCTAATAATTAAAAAAAATATATCAAGCTTCTAACATGTCATTCCACAACTTGATTGCTTCCTACGCCTCGATCACTGTGGGGGTGATGTTGCCTCCTTGCTCAACTATGAACTTGCGTAATGGAGACATGAATAATTGCACCCACTACACAAATGAAATTAAATCGTGTAAGACAAATTAAATAACATTATTAAATGAATAAAGGTAATGAAATTAAATTAAAAAAAATTAATTAAATCAACTTAAATATAAGAAATTAAATAGTGAAATAAACTTACAAAATCTACGTTTGTCCTGTCGGGTCGAGGTGGTGGGCCAAGCACTGCATCGGGACTCATAAGAAGTGGATGTGAGTACGTGTAGAACCAGCCCTCGTAATCATCAGAACAAGTAGGCTCCTCGTCCAACAATGGCAAATAGTCTGAGAGGGGTATACAGTAAGTCCCGACATTAAATCTGCCCCAAAACTGTGGTGCACTTGCAGAGCTAACCGCGTAATTCCGCGTCTCATATGCCGGTCGGCTATTTGGTGTAAAACAGGGAGGAGGGATCCCCTGAACGAACCCAAGCTGTCGTACAACTCTATCAGGGTGGTATGGCTCAACAATGTCTCGATACTGTATCCAACCCAAATAAGTAGTTCTCGGGACCGAATGAGTTGGACTCAAATTATAAGGCCTCCAAATAACCTACAAGCAATTAAAGATAAAAAAAAAAACAAATTATTATTGTTAACTTGTAAATCCAAAAATTAAAATTTATAATAAATATTTAGCCAAAAAATATACCTCTTGATCGGTCATCTATTCAAGGCGTCTACGAAAAGAAACTACACGATGGTAGTCCCTTTCCTGAATCCGTGTGTCCCACCTGGCGGATCGAGCATCAGTCGATGTTATGGCTAAACAACCCTGAACAGGTCGAAATGCAGGAAAATACTCGTAAATCCAAGACTGTAACAACGTCAAACACCCAGCAATCTGTTTGCAACCTATCTGTAAGGCAACGCCTAACTGCCGATAAAAATAAGCAAGGGTAGCTGAACCCCATGAATAATGACAAAGCTGAACATCCTTCTTCTTCACCTCTAAGATACAAGAAGGAGGAATACGACTACCACTCTTATCGACAAAAATAGTGCTTCCTAGAACTAACAACAAGAAACCCTGCACCTTGATATCAACATCACCTCTCTCTGCTAGGCATCTCTCATATATGGCCTGACTTGACACCCTCCCGTTATTCCAAATGGATGCTGGCTTGGCAACAAGTTTGTCTGCTCCTATCCCTAAAAAATTCTGAAAGTCAGCCTTCAAAGACGCAACACCGCTTTGCTCTACAACAGCATCACCCTCCACAGGTAACCCAAGTATGTACTGTACATCATGGAGCATAATAGTCATCTCGCCGAACGGGAAGTGAAAAGTGTTTGTGTCTGGCTGCTAGCGCTCTACAAACGCGGAAATCAGGGCCCAGTCAATGTGATGATGCATGATGTTAACTAGCCCACTCAAACCAGTACTATCAACTCGTCTACGCACATCATCGACCATAGCACTGTGCATCTCATGTAAATTTGAGCACCATTGCGTCCTAGCTTGACACTTTAACACGTCACGATCTTTTTGCGGCCCCATCCAAATTTGCATGGCGATGTGACCTGCGTAACTGGGAATGAGACTACCATCCTTGGGACCACCCGGCATTTGAGCTTGAACAAGCCATGAAGTATCATTCGATGCTCGGATAACACGAATTATACGAGTTCGGGAAGTACCAAATCCAGTACTCTAAAATCTACCATCAGCACCTCTCTTCAAAGTGACTCCAGACGACGTCTGGCCTTGCTCTCCCCTGCCTCCCCGGCGTCGAAAAGATCTCAAACTCTCATCATCGTAAATCAAATCATTAATTTGATCCTCGTCCCACTCTTCCTCTTCCTCCTCCTCCTCCTTGTCCTCACCCTCACGTCCCTGAACCTCATCATCAACACATGCTCCATCAGCTATAGGAGCTGATGAACTCAGTCTCCTAGTCGAAGCAGTCACTGCACGAGTCTTGGTATGTCTCTCACCCGAGCCATCAATACGATCAAACGTCATTTTGAGCCTACCCAACTGTCGTCATAACCAAATGAACAAAATATTTACAATCAATTATAATAATAATGATAATAAAATAACTATAATAATTATAACTGTAAAAAAAACAATAACAATCATAATATTAGTCCCTCACTTTTTCATAATAATAATGATGATAAAAATTAGTACTGTGACCATTGTCCCTCACAGGTTCACTGTCCCTCAATTTTTCATAAAATATCATTGAGAAACAGTAATTGCCTAATATTCGAGCAGGGAGGAGCATCATGTGATCTATATGCAGTGTCAAATAGAAGAAAAAAATCCACAATTTAAGCTTTTTTCTCCAGCCAATATGCAACATTATCCATTAATGTGGAGTTCCTTTCAACATTAAGGCCGCTTAATTGTGCCATGTATCTAGATGCATAAATTCTAGCTATTACCCCAAAGTCAACACCGAATAGATCAAAGTTGTCCATTCTAACTAGACAATACCTAACCAAACAGTGACCAAGTCCTCTTCACTTAAAGACTCCATCTAACTAGAACCTTAAACTACTTTTAAGTCCACAACCTTAAATTAAACCTTCACTAGCTGCTTTCCTTTATCTTTCCTTGTTACAATTACAAATATTAAAACTTTAAATGATCATATTAATACAAATGCATCCAATTCAAAGATGAAAGCATATTTTATAGTGCTCATAGTGTTAGGCTGCCTTGAGGTCTACCAGACTGCCATTGCTTTGGAGTTTGGACTCTTTGAAGTTGTTGAGGTTGGTTTTAGAACCTTAAGGACAACTTTGTGGTAAATATGTGTATATAAACAACTTTGCTGATGTTCACTTGATTGGTTATGTCTTCTGATATGATTCCATTACTTGCTCGGTTTTTCTGTGGCCTTGGGAAATTATCTAGACACGTCAAATATTTGTATACATATTGTAAGATGTTTCTCTACATTTATCCTAGTGTCACCAATGATGTCTCATATTGATGAATTTTGACACTGATGCTTGATGCTAACAGAATTTGACACCTCTATTTCATATTTAACTTTTCACATTTGTTGTTGGTCGGTCCAAAACAAGGTGTTACAGAAGAAGACTATTGCATGAAGGAATGGGATGCAGATGAGCAGGCAAAAGGGCTTCATAAAGTAAGCATGAAATTTGCCGAAGGCAGCAGGAATGAGAGAAGTTCTACAACCAACAATTATGTATCAGAAGATGGTAGCACTCCACGGGGAACAATGAGCCGCTTGTTACCGGTGACTTGTGAACCTGTGACCACCGCTATTAACCGGTTATGGTTGCCGTTTGCCGGTGACAGTCAACCGGTTTTCCACGCCGGTTAACGGCGACGGTCACACGGTTACAATCACCGGTAACCTTAATTCGAATTTAAAAAAAAAAAAAAAAAAAACAACCACCGTCGCTGGTACCTAACCGGCGTGGTAAACAGGTTTTCCGCTGCCGTTAACCGGTTTCGATCGCCGGTAACCGCAATTGGCCAATCGGTTTTACACGCCGGTTGCCAGCGATCGATTTTTTTTAAAAAAAAAAATACAGAAAAAAACTGAGAAACTAACCTCTTTTGTCGAATTTCCAGCCATGAAAACACCAGGCCACCGCCGCCTACTGCCGCCTTCCGCTGATTGTGGTCACTAAGTGTGTGATTGTGGTGGTTGTTGAGAAAGAAAGTGGTGGTTGTGGTGTTTGATGGGGCAGTAAAAAATAAAAGGGTAAAAAATAAACTAAAAAAATAATTAGGGTTTAATAAGGGTAATAATGGCATTTTGCTTGAAATGAGGGCGGTTTTGATCATTTTGGATGGCGGTATTTAACACCCCCCAAAAACTTTTGACTTGAGAATCGTGCAACCCCCTTTGTTGCAAGAAATAAGAAATGGAGGGAATAATAAAGATGTGTAGCAATTACTACAAAACAGAGGGAGTGCCAAACAACTACTCCCTCCGCCCTTATTAAAGTCTCTTTTAGCTCAATTTTAGTCTTAAAATATTTACCTCATTTGTTTTTTCCAACAACCATTAATATTAATTTTTTGTTTTTTTTTTACCTAAATTCCATTTCATTTCCAACAATATTTGTGCAAATTAAATTTAACTTTTTCATGTAAATTTTGTTTTTTATGTACTTTTATTACTTTCTCTTCCTCCTTTTTTGCATACCCAATGTAAATTTATCTTTCTAATGTACTTTTCCTACTTCTATTTATGTTTATTAATTATCGTGAAAATTGTCTATAAGAGACTATCAATAAGGGAATGAGGGAGTAAAAAAAGATGTGTAGCAATTACTACTACGGAGTATTAAGTTATCATGAAACATCAAATAAATGTAAAAAAAAAACAAAGTGTTGCGATTATTACGAAACTGATGCAGTTCCAAACAATATGAAAATCGAGTATTCCCTTCGTGTTTTAATAAGTGTTACAGTTTGACCAAATACGCATGTCAAGACACAACTTTGACTATTAATTTATCTAATTATATGTTAGTAAAATTATAAGAAAATTGATATTATGAAAGTATATATTATAACGAATCTAACAATGAATTATACGACAACATTTGTTTTTAATGCATAAATTAGTAAACTAATCAAGTCAAAACCAAATACTCGTAGTAAAAAAAGTTAAACTACAACACTTATTAAAACACGGAGGGGTAACGAATGTAGAAATTGGCCTTGTTTGGCAAATGACTGTTGGCGGTTGGCTGGTTCACTTGGCTTGTTTGACCAGCTGAAATGTTTGGCTGTTTATAAAGGCTTTTGAAATAGGCTGTTTAAGCTGGCTGTTAAGGATGGCAATGGGGCGGGGCGGGTTGGATGCGGATGATGGTACCTCCATACCCATACCCGGCTAAAAATCTAATACCCATCCCCGCCCCACCACCCGTGGCGGGTACAATATCCACATCCATACCCGCCCCACCAAGTACAAGATAGGATCCATCCCCGCCCCATCACCCACTTGGATATTCATACCCACCTCATACCCGCCCCAAAATCGTCCCAAACCCTTTGCCGTGATGCTCTATTGTATCACATTAATGACAATTATATCAAATTAGATTAAGAAAATTGGGGCTTTCACTATTCAAGCTTATTGGGTCTTAGAAGATATCAAGTTTCATAAATTCTCAACTCTTCTAAAAGAATATGGTGAGGGTATAAGGTGGGTACGGGGCGGGTCTACTCTAAAATCCATACCCGCCCCATCACCCATGGCGGGTACACATTTTATACCCATCCCCGCCCCATCACCCGCCAAACCTCCCTCCATCATGCCCCACTTGGGCAAGGATGGGGCGGGTCTCCCATTTAACCCGACCCACTGCCATCCCTACTGGCTGTTTATAAAAGTGTTTGGTAAATTAATTGTTGGTTGTTAGTTGTTGGCTGTTTATTAGATAATTTGTGGGCCAACAAGCCAAAAGCCAACAAAAAAGCTACTCAAAACAGCTTTTTCATTTTGGCTTAAAAGCCAGCTTTTTCGCTGACTAAAAAGCCAATTACCAAACATATTTTTTGGCTATTTGACTAACTAAAAAAGCCAAAAGCTAACCAAAAAACCATTAAAAAGCCAATTACCAAACATGGCCATTGCCAATTTGCCATTCAAAGCACTTTACTCACAAATTACACTCTTATCCCCAACTAATTAGTGAAAGAGACGAGCTTGCCCCTAGATATACAAAGATAAGTTTCTCAGATTTTCATCAATTTGTATTTTCTCCATTTCACACCTTCACTAAACTCCTTTCTTTGTGTTGAAAAGTAAAAAAATCAAATGTTTAGTTCTTTCAGGAAAAAATATCACACATTATCACACATTTGGTATTTTGGTGGGAATCCAACTTGAGAAGCGGCAAAAATGGCGAATTTTTTGTATTTTCACCATGAAAACCCAAAATTCAGCTCTTCATCTCTAGATTAATTCCTCTGCAAAAAATGGTGAGTTTTTTTTTTTCTTTTTCTTGTTAATAAAAAATGCCTATATTTTAATAAAGTCGAGCACTGAAAGTTGTTCTATCATATTTTCTGTGATCATATCCTCAATTAATCTCTCCTTGATCTTCCTTTTTGCATGTTATGTCGTCATTTTTGCTTCTTTCTGTAAAATTGTATTTATTTTTATTATTGTATTTTATTTTTATTACATTAATTATTATTATTTTATAATTTACTATATTTGGAATGTGTAAGTCTCTTAAGTTGTGGGTTTTGTAAAAAAAAAAAAAGTTGTGGGTTTCCTTTTTGAGATAATTTTTTAGTTTTTCATGAAATGGGGTTTTTGCTTTTATGGGTTTGTTTAATGAATTGGAGCTTTTAGTTGTTTAATGAATCCTAGAGTGACAAATTGGTAATTGCAATATTTGTCTAATCATTTGCTTGTTCAATTGGTTATTCTAAGTTTGGTAAGAATGAACAACAAATTTTAGTGTATTTTGGGCTTAGAAATTTGTTAATTGATATACGCAACCAGAGATAAGCATTAAATATATTACTTCGTATTAAGTTGCTGGAGTATTATCTTTGTGAAGAAAGGAAGATAAACCAGAGATGAGCAGAATGTATGATGGTTTTTTTTATAATGTCATTTTCCTTGTTAATAATCCAGTCTTTGTAATTTATGATTTTGGACCTTTTACTTTGTAAGATGTAAGGATAAATCTGTGCGCTTACCTTCTTAAATGAAGGTTTATTTTTTACTGTTCAAATTAATCTTTTATGATGATGATGATCTTGTCCTAAATAAACACTCTATACACTTAGAAGTTAGAAGCATAATGTGGGTCGTCCTCGAGTTATCTGGTTAATATGGATGCAAGCCTGCAAGATATTAGAGCTTAGTATTTGAAAGTTGCAGGATTGTTTTTGATCCAACTGGCTGGTTCTGTAAGAATTATCTTAAGACTGCACAGGAAATGCAACTAGTTCTTAATTTACATGAAATGGTTATAGTCAATATTGGTTTCATAATCTATGTTATTGGAAAATCTTGGGGGCCTCTTTTCTTTTTAAAACATAGAGGATGTATGCCAGCTTACTTTCTTAGATTAGTAGTAAACCCCATATAATCTAGATGTACAATGTGGATGGTCACACTTGAATTACCCAAATTACCTAGAAATATATGTGGGTTGTCACCGTTGATTTACCCTGATCCGATCAGTATAATGTGGGTCGACAGCCTTGAATTACCCTCTATCATCTAAAAGTATGATTTCAGATACCCCTGAATTACCCTTCAAATTTGTTTGACATTGCTGGATTAGTGGGTTGCTCTTTGGTATAATTCATAAATTTTCTTGTTTGGAGCTATATGTTAATTGAAAAAGTAGTTTTTATAAGTGTAATGATTATAAATTAATTTTATGAAACAACAAAAGGCATGCGAGTTATGATAACAAATTGTGCAACTCAATTCCATTGTGTTGGTGTTCGCTTAATGTTGAAATGGATGCTTTAATCACGTGCTTCTTAAACCACATGCCAACTTATAAAATTACGACTTATTCTGCATGTTTGCATACTGTTTAAACCACATGCTGCTTAAACCACATGCCAACTGATGGGATTAAGGCGTTGATTGATTTTGATTGATTCTGCATGTTTGAATACTGTTTACGACTTGGAATTTCATTCAATTTAAATTTATGCTAGTTAATAAATTTTACCACAAAAATCATGGTCCGTAACTTGATATTTTTCATAATATGCGTAAACTGCAATGCATACCATCATCCTTATATACATACTCTTCTTAGCAGACTCAGTTTGTTAGCATGGTCAGAATAAGACTTTCCTCGAAAGCTCCCTTTTTAAGTTTGTCATGCACAGAGTCTCCAACTAACAAGCCATTCATGTATTTGATAGATAATGCTGTTTCTTTTCCCTGTAGGACAAAATCTGTCAAACATGTGGATATGGAGAGAAAGATTTCTCTAGATATTTAATTTATTGTACCGAATGTTGGGACACGGTTGAGCACATGTAAGTTGAACAATCATTCTTATTCAAGGAATTCTTCAGGAGTGAATGTGTGGAGTTTGATTATTTGATTTCTGCAGAAAGTCAGTTAATGGCTAGAAAACTTGGTTAATTTTCTGCTGATATCTCTGGCAATCAGGACTGTATAAAATCAACTATGTTTTTTATTTTCAGATATTGTCTTGGCTTATCAGCTGATGATATTAGTGAAGATTTCAGTTGGAAATGCGATTCATGCCCATCAACAGTTGAATTACTGGCAAAAGTGATAAAATATGGGGATAAACAAGATGAAAAGGTTGAATTTGCTGGTAGTGGTCCATTGAGAATTTTAGATTTTGCTCTGCCTGATGCTAGTGCAATCCCGGTAGTAGGGCCAATTTGGAGGTGTGGTGTTTAACATATCTCATGTGTTCTTCCTACATTTTGTTCATGTTTTGATTGGGAGGCAGATAATTTAGTTTGCTTCTCTCTTTCCTTTCTTTCCTTTTTTTTTTTTTTTTGGCTTCGGCCCCCTTCATCGCACATGGTTTGTTTGCTTCTTGATAGGGGAGTTTTCAATACCGTTGGAAGTTTATATACAAGTTTGAAAGGGCTCGAGGCCTTTATGCCAAAGACTTCATATTCAAAAGTTGTCAATCTTGTACAATCAATGCCACCCTCTATTTTTTTCAGCATGAAAAAGAGGTGCGAGGTTTGGCCTAAGGATTTTGATGAATTGGGGGCTGCTGCCTGCAATATTGGACTTTACATCTTTCCTGAATTTTTGAGGTATCATTTTTAATAAGTTTTTCATTTGTTGTCTTTAAATTTGTGTAATAAAAGAGTTGGAAAATAATACCACTTTTTTGTTAAGCTTTTGTGACAGGAATGAGGCTGATTACAACGTTTTGATGGAGTACATGAAATCAAATGACCTAGCCATGACAGCCAAGATTAAGAACTTAGAGTTGTTGGTTTTTACTTCCTTTGAGATATTGGCTCCAGAGAAACGCAGTAATTTACAACTTTATACTTCATATATGGAAACTTAATACTCCTTCCGTCTATTTTTGGTGTACTTTTTTCGAATTCAAATATTCTATTGCAAGTTTAATTTTAGATCTTGTTGATAAAATAATCACGTGGGATCTAGTTTGATCTGTCTTGAATGTGTAGTTCCCAAACATCAGAATTTTATAATTTATATAATATGTTTTCAATATTTTTAAGCTTAGATGCAAGCTTTGAAAACTTAGCAAATAGTGAAACATGAATAAAAGAAACGGAGGGAGTACTTTATAATTTATCTTCCGTTTGATGGATGTAATCAAAGGGTTGATTGGAAATTATATCCTTTACTTCCATTGATATTGATAGATAATACTTAATGATATTGACAGTTGATTTTGTTCAGAAATTCAAGGAAAATACTATCTTTGGGGGACATTTAAAGAAAAAGAATTTCGACAAGAAAGTCCATCTACATGCTACCGACCAAGTGCTGTAAAAAATGGGACCGGCAAAGGTGTAAGAGCAGTGGGCTGCCCAGGAGAAAAAACAGCCAGTCTTAGTACCCCTTTATCAACCAAAACTGGTGCTATATCCAAGCAGTGGAAAACACTCAAGAAGACTAGAAAAATAAGGTCTCATCTAAGGCGCGAATGCATACCACCATTAAGGCCTGAATGCAAGAGAGCTAGGAGTAAAAGAGGTAAGATATTGCTCTTTAAGTGAGGAGCCGAGGAGGTGCAAAGATTTATGACGGGTCTAAAACTACTAGATTCACTTTCAATGAGGTACAACTAGATTTTGCGGTTACATGTTTGACCTTTATATATGTGGGCATTAACACAGGTAAAGAAAGGAAAGTGGTATCAGGCAATGACCAGAAAGCCACTATGCTATTTCAGACATCCAACAAACAAAGCCTAGCTGAAACCTGCCCAATTGTAGAAGCCCCTCATCCAGAAGAATGTCTACCGCGAGTTAAGATAAAGATACCTAAAACCACAACTGTTGATGAGTCCTCTGTCATTACTTCAGGGAAACAAGTGAGCGCTGGTCTGCCGAATGATATGATTGATTCTTCAGAGAACATTATAAAACTGAAATCCTCAAAAGTAGATGATAGGTCAGCTAGCCAAGGTATATCTTTTCCATCATTGGTCATAGTCAATTCACTCAAATGTTTCTTGTTTATATAACAAATTTTTGGTTATCATATGCTCTAGTTTGTAAAATTGAGTTTATTAGTTTTCTCTCTCTCTCTCTTTTTTTTTTTTTTTTTTGTCCTGTTTGTTCATTGGTGAAGATCCAAAAGAGCTTGTTCCTCCTTTGACCACACTTACAAAAGAAAGATCACAAAATAACGAGACCTTGAATATATGTGATGTTTCCCGCTCTAGTCTTGGAAACCCTTTTGATTCAAAAGACTGTGGCGAGGAGACCATTTCAGTTAAGCCAATCAAAGGTTTCAATTCCCAGCAGCAGGGATCTAATTGGTCTGCAACAGTTAGGGAGAGCAGAATCATTGAAGGAAAATCAGCTGAGGCAGAGCAGCTGAACTGTGAAGATGGTATAAAGTTTGCCAAATCAAAGTTGCTTTTCATCAATATTATTCATTTTGAGTGATATATTTCCTTCGTTGTTAATTATTATAATACTAAGGAATATAGGCCTTCTCTTTTTTATATCTTGTGTATGTTTAGGTATTAAGCTGCATGGTGCATTGCTTCCGAATGAACTTTTGGAATCCTCACAGCTTCAATTACAAGACAGCAGTGTCTATCTAGCCTCTAATCCCATGAATAAAGCCTTTTTAGTCCCTTCGGTTGGTAATCAAGAAGATTCTGAGGTAAAAGAGCCGAATCCTTCAAGCAATGGACAAAGCAATCCTTTCTCTAAAGATGAACCCTTAGCTGATCATCAATATACTGTTGACAAAAAAGTTTTTCATGAAGTTAATTCCCCAGCTGATGATGGTATGTGAACAGGATAATTACAAATGTTTTTTTTTTTAATCATTTTCAACTTTCAACGTTCTATACTATTAACACCCTCCTGCTCCTGTATTAGATATTTTATCTCCTTTCTACACCTTATTTACCCTTTTTTTGGGGTATGTTTTCAGGTCTACCACAATTTCCTCCCCTAGAAGATCAGCATGAGATACCTCTTGAGAAAGGTTTAAGTGCGACTCCCGTTATTGTTGATCTTGAAGAAGAAAAGCCCGAAGCATTTATCCCTTCATCTGTTGCTCCTATTGTAATCTTGGATTTTGATGGTGAAGAATCTCCCAAAAGTGGGTCTGAAAGCTTTAGAGAGTCAAGTTTTATGACAATACCAGCCTCCATTTTAGAAATGGCAGGTAATTACCATGACATCAACTCAAATTGTGTTGGCACACAAGTTGGCCGGTACAACATCAAATCTGACTTGGCCCCTACTCTTACCAAAATTCTTGAAATGCATGGAGATATTGCTTTAAATTGCAAAATTGATCCCAAGGTTCCATTGGAGAACATATGCAAAGCTGTTCAGGACCTTGAATCAGTCTGCTTAAGCGGCCTACGCTCCCATCATGTGAACCACCTAAGAAGCGTGCTGCAACTTGGTGAAGCTGTAGGGATCAATGTGAAATGGCTCTGCAAGCGATGTAACTATCTTGAGAAGCTTGCTTCTTATCTTAGTCAGTACCCTACTCTAAGGAGTGAACTGGCTCATACCAAAAAGGATATTCAGCATAGAGAAGAGATGCTGAGTTCGAAAAGAACCATGGAGGCAAACCTGCTACCGGAAATCAAGTCACTGGAAGCAGAATTGGAGCCGCTGAAGGAATACAAAGAGAAGTTAGATTCTGCCTTGCAGTACATTACTTCGATTTTTAGAACCTTCCATGATAAGTCCTTGGTGGTTGGACTACTTTAGAAACCCAGGTTGGTAGGTTGGTAGGTACATTTTGCTAACAACTATTTCTCACAATAGTCACAAACATATACATGATTTTCACGATATTAACATGAATGTATATTCTGCCTGCTGTTTTAAAGGCTAATCCTGAAGTCAGTATCTCTTTGAATCTTCAAACTTTTGCACTATCTTGTGACAGTTAATTTAATAACTTTCAAGTGAACCACCCTTCAGTAATCATATTGTACTCCTGTACATGCTGTAAACCTATCTCCTTTCTTACATTGTTACACACATGGTACCTGTAATCAGAATCAGTATTGCAGCAACTGTGGTTCGAATCTCTAACATTAGATTTGTTTCATGTGTTAGGCGCTTACTGGTTTTTTAATGTTATATCTTGGTAGTCAATCTGGTATTCATTTCTTGTCCACATCTACATTGTACATATATTTGGTTGGGATTTCTGACTATGCATTATATGTTGAATGCTGCACTGATCAACAAGCAGTCGAACTCTGAGACATTGGTAATCTTACTCATTTTTGATGTCAAATTTTCTCGTTGATACTACAACACCTCCGATAGTGAAAACACATAAACAGCTCAGATTTTGGAGAGAACTAATTCTGTACAATAGTTATGACAGCAAATAGGTTAATGTGTACAATAGTTATGCCATCAAATAGTTATGACAATAGAAATCGATTACGAAAAATGAATCAATGAGACAAGCAATCTGAAACCAAGACACAAAAATCGTGTGTAAAAGAAGGTTAATGTACTTCAAATATACAATTAATATTGATATTGAGAATATATTCATAACTCATTTTTGCAACAGTGCTGCATGAAGTAACTAGGCCAATTCAAGATGAAATCCCATGGAGTATCCTATTTGCGGATGATATCGTTTTGGTGGATGAAACAGATGGGGTTAATTCGAAGTTAGAGCAATGGAGGCAAAGGTTGGAATCTACAGGGTTAAGCTAAGTCGAAGCAAAACTGAATATTTGGTATGCCGCTTTGGTACTTAAAGGGGGACAAACAATGAGGTGGTGAGTTTGGATGAAAAGGACTTAACCATAGCGAATGTTTTAAATATCTTGGGTCGATCATCCAGAAGAATGGTGGCATTGATCAAGACGTGGCCTACATGATTAAGTCGGGGTGGCTTAAGTGGAGAGCGGCCACGGGGTATTATGTGACCGAAGTATTCCCTTGAAAGGTTATATATATATTTTGTGAAAGATAAATATTGGGATTATGTTACTATTTTTTTAACGGCTTTTTCACCAAATGCCCCTGATTTAAATTTTTTATTTATCATATACCCATGAAAATTTCAAATTCACCATATGCCCTTGAGTTTAATGAAAATGTCATTAAATGCCAAAATGACTGATAGACATTAACTCTGTTAGTCATTAGGGCTAATATTTTTCTCGTGGCTGCATCTTATTGTTTTTTTTTTTTTAATTATTTGATTAATTTAGAATTCTTTTTTTAAATAAAAAATCACCACTATAACCACGAGCCACTCACCTTCCACCGGCAATGGAACAACCTTGCACGCCTAGCCATCTCGCCACAACCGCCACCCACCTCCCACCAGCCTCGCATCAGCACCACCCCTCCCACCTACCCCGCGCCAGTGCCCACTCTTTCCACTAAACTACCTTACCCCCTCCCTCTCTACCTAAGCTTGACCCGTAAACCGCTTTCCGCCTTTCCACCGTCGTCGAAACCCCGGGCCACCACCTTGAAACTACTTTGCCGGCAGCCTAGACCCCCACTACGCCGCGACCCTCCTTGACGTTCGTTAGTCATTTGGGTATTTGAGATCAACTCTAATGGTTGTAACTAGGACTTGCTTGCAATATTAAATAATCTCTAGCCACTAGCTTAACCATTGGAGCATGGAAATGCAATTAGTTTGGTCAAGCAATTGAAGTCCATTTAAATAGCAAAGCTATTAATTAGCCATTGGGGCTAAATTGACAATTAGTTTAAAAGCTCATGTGGCATGACAAACTAATTTGACAATTAGCTTGCCATTGGAATTACTATGATGATTTTTTGTGAAAGTCATAAATATACAATTAATTTGTAAATTTTAATGGGTATACTGCATATAAAAAAAATAACTAATCTTCCTTCTCTGTTTCAATGTTTTATTTTCCACCTTTTCTACAGAAGGGTTATTAATTTATTGTAGATATATACTTCCTTCGTTTTTATTTAGTTGACACGTTTGGTAAAAAGTTACCCTAAAAGAAAACGTGTCAACTAATTTTTTTTTCTTTCTAAAACGGAGGTAGTATATAGATAGATTGTGGGAAATCGTTGGAGATAATACCTTATTGTGAACCCAACAAGGCTTGGGGGTTTTGCGCTTTTGCCACTCTCTTGCATAATTAAAAAAAATAAAATAAAAAATAAAAGCCAAACCTGTCCTCCTCTGTCATCTTCCAACCGTAGCGCTCTCCACATTCTCCATTATTGATATTACTATCCTCCATTGAAGCAGAATCCGAGGTAAATGTTTTTTTTTTTTTTGTTTTCTTTTCTTTTTTTGTAACAATCGAATATCAATGTCAGGGTTTATGGTTGATCTAATTTAGTTTAATTAAAAAGATCACAACTTGTGATTATGTTGTTAGAGAAGAAAATTATGAGCCTAATTTGATAACTAAACCAAATTCCGTTGCTAATGTAATGCAAAACCCTTTAATTATGTGCCTAAAAATCCAATTTGGTCTTAAAGTTCCCATCTTTACTAATTCCGAATTTTTTGATGATATTTTTCATAATCATAGTGTTCAATTTGGACTTGTTAATTGTTTGGTTTACTATTATTAACAGTTAAGCTTTTCTGTTACTGGATTTTGACTACTTTGATAGTTTTTTGGTGCTGTTGAATCTTGCAGAGCTAAGTTAAGCTTAGGTTAGGTTACTGTGAAGCTTTGATTGTCTTTGTCTTTGTCTAGTTTGATTATGGAGAAACGGACATGGCCTGCACTCAAATCTTGCAAGCATCAGGTGCATTATATTTGTTTCCTTAACATTACTTATATCAGACTTATGAGTCATGCTGATTTGTGTTTCGTCTGCACTGTATGTCATGATTATAATAAGCTTAGCCTTATCAAGGAAAAGGCAGTGATAATGATCGACTGAGTCAGTTGCCGCATGATATTCTGATGTCGATCATGTCCCTCCTCACAATCAAGGAAGCTGCACAAACTAGTGTTCTTTCGCACGGGTTGAATTACATTTGGCGATGTTTTCCCATCTTAATCTTTAAAGATGATCACCCTATTGTGCATTGGGTTGCACGAAATCATCTGTTACTTCCCCAAGAAAGATCGAATTTTGTGACGATGGTGAAAAGTGTTTTGGAGTCTCATCTTGGTGTGGCTATAGACGAGCTAAGCGTGGTTTTTGACCTGGACGTAAGTTATGAGTCTGATATCGATAGGTGGCTGGCCTTTGCTATAGAAAAACATGTCAAAAGGCTTGAATTGGACTTCACACCACAAATTGGTAGAGCTTTTTCGTTGATAAATTGCTACACTTGGCCCCTTGAATGTCGTTTGTTGTCTCTTGGTTTGCATTGTAATTTGGTTTCCCTAACATCTTTGTGTCTTAAATATGTCAATGTAACTGACAAAGACATAGAGTGCGTTCTGCTTTCTTGCCATGCCCTGGAGAATTTGTGCATTGTTGATGGGTCAAGCGGTTTGAAGTGTATAAACATGCCTCAAACATCCCTACAACTCAAACATCTGGAGTTATCATGCTGTTATTATCTGTCGTGCATTGACATTATGGCCCCAAAACTTGTGTCATTCACTCTGCATGGGCATCCTATAGCACTGAATATTAGAGCTTCATCGCTTTCTAAGGTATCAATCGGAAGTGGAAATTATAGAGGAGAGGTTGTGGCCTATGCTTATAGATCCCTTTCACAATACTTGTCCAACTTGGAGTATTTGAGTTGGCACTTGTTCTTAAAAACTGCCTACCCTATCCAGGTATGCATGATATTAATGCCTTTGTGAATGACTCTTATTCCTATTATGAATAAATATCGATCCCACCTATATATGTACTTGCTTTTTTTCTTCTTCTTTGTCATATTCATAATCAACTATCACCGTCTTATGCAGTGGAATACAGGGATATCTAAACCACCAATCATGTCAAACCTTAAGCATTTAGAACTCCATGTCCAAGCAAAGGGTGATGAAAGCCTACTTGGGTGGGCTTACTTGATTGGCGAATCTCCGGTTCTGGAGAAGCTCACTTTGAAGGTAGATCTCCCCGTACACACCCTCACATATAAACTTGATATACTGTTGATTAACTTTATATTTGTATCTCATTTCATTACAAAGTCTTGTCCTGAAATAATTTAACAAAGTCCCATCACAAATTCCATTTTAAGCTCAGGGTTCTAAGTTCTAACCAAGTAACCATCATAACTAAGCAAGCTGTAAGCAGTTGTGTAGACTGAGCTAGAGCTGAGAGCTTGAACATCACCTTGAATTTGTATTGTTAACATGTCCTATTTTAAACTCTCATTTATGGACTACCTTATTTTTTATCCATCTTTGATTAGCCAAACCCACTATCCTCTTCTTTTATTCACCATTTGGTATATTTCATGAATAGTCTAAAAGGTTGGTTGCACCTGTTAGTTAATGAGCGAAGTTTGCCATTTTCCATCCTAAACAAAATTTGTAATAGAAATGTCGGACAACACTTCAACTCATATGTGAGCTGTTTATAGATTTGGGGAGCCTCCTCAATTTGGGAAACCAAATATATGCCCATTGTATATGCTCTTACCCCCACCAAAGGACCTGCATTTTGTCCATATGCTTACTGACAACCCCTGCCTTTTCACTCTTTTTCCTCTTTCTTTGATTTTTTGGGCTAACGGGTAATTGTCAAGCACATTAAAGAGTGAATGCAGTAGTTGTTAGCTTAAGTGTATAGGCTTCATATTGGTAGATGTTTGCAAATTTAGTAACTATCTTAAAGGGTAGACTTGATTTAACTTAAGAGTAAACTTTGTGGTTTTTCCTCCGTAGGGAAGCAATCTTTCTCCTAAGCTTGCATTTTAATTACCATGGGGAAGCAATTTCCTTTATCACCAGTTATAACCAACTACCATACGGGTCGTTAGTTTTTTATACTGATCTTGTTTTTCTCATGTTGCAGTTCTCAAGGCATCCTTGGGTTTATAAGGCTAATGTACCTCAAAGGAATATAGTCAAACACAAAGGGCGTCCCCTGAAAAACTTGAAGACCTTGGAGCACTGTGGTTTTTTGGGACTGCCAATTGACATTGAGTTTGCTACCTATGTGGTTGAGAATTCCATCAAGCTGAAAGATGTAATCTTTACCCATCCACAAATCATCATATATCGTGACCCTACCAACAATTACGCAAAAGGTCGTGTTTTGGAATTCATAAAGACACTTCCTCAAGAAGTTGCATTCAAATTTGGCAAACCTGCAAACCATTGCTGTCCAATTTCAACATATCCTTATTTTTAGATCTTTGCTTGGTGAGTACCATTCTGTTCACATAATTTGTTTGAAATTTTGATGTTTAGTATGATGATTCTAACATGTTTCTTCAAAAATTCTACATCCATCAATTTTCTTTTTATATGCATTTATTAGACATCATACTACATTACTACTTATAACCAACAACTCAGAAAAACTTAGGGGGGAATGGGGCTGCCGGCTATGACCAAGATCCACCCCTATCTTCACCATCTCTATCACTGGCATTGCAGATTTCAGTTAACTTGCTCTGTCCTTTGAAGTTTTTCCTCGCCAAACAGTGGAATTAGTTTTGTATACATGCCTTTTATTTATTTATGATTTGTTTATAAAAGTCTGAACAAATACCCTATGAATCCAAACATGTTTACAAAAGTCTGAACAACTAAAAACTTGTTTATAAAAGTTTGAACAATACCTATGAACCCAAACATGTATGAACAAATAAACAGTAATAAACATATGGTTGCAAGCGCCAACTGAAATTAGTAGATACAAACCATAGAACTACTGATGAAGTTATGGAATTGCATCTTCTTGAGCATTACATAAATCTGTTTCTAAGCTATATCATATTATTGCAAGTTAAACTATAATGCACTCCATTGCTGCTGTGAGTACACTGGACCATGGTATACTGTTAAAGTCAAGATATAGCGTGTTTCCAACTTATGAAGTTTCTAGTGAAAGAAACTTTGAAAGAGAATACGAAACCCTAACATGGGTTCCTCCCATGTCTGCCTATTATCCCTCAAATAAATCAGTCCAATTTTTTTACATGTAAATCTCAAATTTATCTATCTCTTCTTTCAATATACCAATTCTCACTTTTTATTCTTAGTTGTTTTTTCATTGCTTTCTTCTTCTTCTTCTTCTTCTTCTTCGCCTTGAACGCCTTAATAGTTTATCCCATTAGTGGGGTCGGCTACATGAACCAACATGAGGACTTCTCAGGAGGTCACCCATCATAGTACTACTCTCAATCATTGTGGCTCATGCCAAGGGATCTGACAAAGTTTTACATTGGCTGTCACTGGCTTACTGTAACCCTCCTCCTTTATCCAGGCTTGGGACTGACAGCGGAAAACCCACTGGCGGAGTTTTATTTTTCATTGCTTTCATTCTGTTTATTCAGAACTTTTGACTTATGTGTCTTCCTGTTTCAGGATGATTATGAGTTTGTGAAAATGTGCTTTTAACACTAGTACTAGCATTTGATGTCCTCCTGTGTAGGACTTCCCTGACTCCTTTGTGCCTCTGATTTGACAGATGTTGCCCATGTCTGTTGTGCACATTCATGGTGATGGATTGAGGTGTTGGCCACCATGTCTGGTTTTGATCTTCGAGTTTGTTGTAAATTATTTGGTTTTTCTGAATTACATATACCGGATTTTTTTAAATTTTATTTTGAGTTGCTTGAACTCGTGTATTGTTGTAATTTATGATCTTCATTGTAATTTAATTATTATGTATTTAACGGTTATTTTCATTAATTTGTAACTATAATGTATTAGGTTTCTCCTTATATGTTTCTCTCAAAAAAAAAAAAAAAGGTTTCTCCTTATATGTTTTCTTCTGCTATTATTTCCTGTGGATTTTTTCATCCTTTGGACTATGAATAATTGAATACTCCGTATGTACCTTTTTTTTGTTTTTTTTTTTAATTACTTTATTACTTAATAGCTGGATTGTTCAAGGGGCAAACTTCTTTTTTGGAAACTACTCGTATTAATCCGGGTGAATAGCTAATTACTAATTAGCTATTGTAACAAAGCTTCTGGTAGAAATAGTACGTCTGTACGTCCTTGCAAAAGTTCAGGTTATGCAAATTTTTGTATTTCGTACTCCCTCTGTATCTTTATACTTGTTCGGTTTCTCCGGACACAGAGGTTTAGAATGAGTAGTAGAAAATAGTATAATGGAAATTGGGGCTGGTTAAGAATAAAATAATCCGAAAAAGCAAAAATGAATATAAGTTGGGATTGGGGAGTAAAAAGGATATGAAAAATATTAAAATATGATATGAGGAGACCGTAAGTGGGGGAAAAAATACAAGTACTCCGTGGTAAATTATTGTTAAAAAATTCCAAAAAATAAATGGAGCAATTTGTAAAATACGGCTGCAACAAGAAAGTGGAGCAAATAATAAAACACTAACATAGCATTACAATTCACATTTTGTTGTGGATTTTTGATAAATTTTGCAACAATGTATATGGTACTTGCATTTGTATTTAATTTAGATTTATGTTTTTTTTTTCTTTCCAAATTACGAATTTTCTCCAATTCTATTATTGGTTTAGCTGAATCCACTAAACTCATATCGAATCCGCCGATGACCTACAAATCCATTTTAATTTCACACTAAATAAGTTTAACAAGGTATGGGGTTCTCAATCCATACAACCACAATATAGCTCAAGTGGTTAAGGTGAAACTATGAAATTTTCACCACCGCCCAGTCGCCCTTGTGGCTCTTTAAACACGAAAAAAGATATAGTACGAGTTTTTAGGCCCCGTTCACTTCACCTTATTTTTGCTGAACTGAAATTATTTTTACTGAAACAAAATTATATTTGCCGAACTTAAATTATTTTTACTGAAATTAAATTAATTTTACTGAATTGAAATTATTTTTTTGCTGAATTTAAATTATTTTTACTGAACTTAAATTAATTTTACTGAATTGAAATTATTTTTTGCTGAACTGAAACTTATTTTTATTGAACTGAAATTAATTTTAGTGATCAAAGCCCTTAATCAATTCCAATATGTTAAACCAAATGACCCCTTCATTAAAAAAAAACCAAAAACCTAGAGCTGTTCTCTTTCTCAGTTCTCACTCTATCAGTTTCCCATTGAAGCGCACTCCATTGAAGCAACTTTTTCCTTCCATTGAAGCAGTTTCTGAGGTAAGATGTTTGTTTCTTTTTGTAATCTTCGAATTTCAGTCTCAAAGTCTAGGGTTAATCGTTGAATTAATTCTCAGTATACTCAAATTTTCTTCTAAGCTCAATTGTTCTACTATTGTTATACAAGTAATTACTAAACTCGATTTTGTAGCTAGAGAAGAAAATTATGTGACCTAATTTGATTATTAAATCAAATGTGCCTTCAATGTTAGAATGTAACTATGAAATTGGACCTTTTCTTCCTAAATGTATGTAATTTTTGAGCGTAATTGATAATTGAATCAAATTTGGTTGCTAATATGTTGCAGAATCCTTTTATGTTAGGATTGAACTATGAAATTAGGACCTCTATAGTTTTCATGGTCTGATTAGACTGTAGAACTCTCCTGTTTACGGGGAGAAGGCGGTTCGGGACACTGGTATGTGGCATGATGGATGTTAAGGGAAGATAATGGCGGGGATATGAATTGGTGTAATTTGTGTGGTGGGTGTTACAGATTGCAGATGAAGTTTCTTGTTGCTCGGTTAGACTAAGAGATATAATGAAGGATGGCGGGTGACCAAAAGGCGCTGTTTAGGCTACTTTCCTGTCCGAGTAGTGAACCAAATACCCCTTAACCTATTAATAATGATCGATATTTATATGAGTTTTACTCTTAAAAACAGAACAAATCAAAGCCAGAAAAAAAGTTTATATCGGCTCAAAATAGGAAAATTAAGTAAGATCAAATTAGAAAATAAAAAGATAGACCATATCAAATCATATCAGGAGAATTAAGGTGAACTAAACAAAACCTTCTTACTATTATTTGTTAGTTTAACTAGCAACTTTGACTCATAAAGGTATGGAGGTGGCAGCTTCTCACACCATAACTGGGTTATGTTCATCATCAACCACCTCTCCAGTTTCTGGCTATGGTGGACTGTTTCTTCAGCAACGAGTCCACGTACCAAAGAAAAATATCAGAGTCAAGTCACCGACAACCTTCTCTATTCGTGCGGTCGCTGGTGGTGGAGATAATGGTTACCCTTCTCTCTCTTCAGCTCTATATGCGGAACACATTTTTTTCAATAGTCTGACTTAAAGTTGTTTGCACATTGTCGCTGGAGCAAACAGCTGTGACATTGCTGGATTACGGTGCCGGAAATGTAAGGAGTTTGAGGAATGCCATTCGCCGCCTTGGTTTCGATATCAAAGATGTGGGTAATTTATTTCCTTGCACGCTTTTAATTATTATATCATATCTATTTTCCTTGCACTATTTGTTTTTTCATTATGTATTTGTTTAGCATTCTTGTAATCACTTTGCTTTTAGGTCTGTGTTCAATATATGATGATGTATCAACTATCTGTAATTGAGGATCCTCAGAACGTAATTTTATGGATAAAAACACTAATGTCAATTCTCTATGTTAACAGAAGGGGTTTGTAAGAAAGAGAAAAAATAAAAAAATTTGAAAGCCAATAAGAAAGGGGGAGAGAAACAAATATAATTTTTTTTTATTTTTTTTTGGTGTTTAGAGAGCCACAAGGGCGGGGTGAGAATCGATCCCAGGATCTCTCTCCTGGAATCGGGAGGGAAGCTCTAACCACTTGAGCTATCCCTCACTCTCAGAAACAAATATAAAATGATGAGTGGGGAACATGGCTTAGGAGAGAGAAATTTAAAATTTTTTAGAAGGTTACCTAATATAGTAGCGATGCATTTATATATGAACGGTTGAATAAGGCAGGTGATGCAATTATTTAAGCGGGGGGGGGGGTATTAGAGTATAGAGTTAACTATTTGCTTTGTCTATATTATATACGATTTATTTTTTGCAGTGTGTATTCTCTTGGTGTTTGCAATTGCAACATGTGAAACAAAATCCCTAAAAGGATGTTAATTTGATTTGCCAATTGTAATTTTAAAGAAGTTACTTCTCGATTTAAAAGAGCTGAAATGAAAAATAAAAAACAATTTTTAAGAGCATTAAAAAATATCACTTGAGTAGATTAGAATTAGGGAATTCTGGATACACTTGTTATGGAGCTTTATCTTTGTTGATGAGTAATTGAAGATCCTCAAAACATACTTTATGAGAAATTTGCTTATGTGGGCCTAAGGTGCACGTGCGCCTCAATGCGCCTTTTTGAATGCGCCTCGCCTAGAGCATAGCGTTCCATCCTAATCGCCTAGTGCCTTAACACCCTTTTTATACACTGTCTTGAACTCCGCTTGCTAACAACTTTTTTTTTTTAAATCTTTGATAGAGGTGATTTAAAAAATATTTACAAGCCACTCTCGTGTGTTCTAATTTCATCTATGTAAGGCACGAGACACCAGATTTGGATTATGTGATGACTTAAGCATTGAAAACACTAATTGACGTCAGATCTCAACTCATCCAATATATGCTCTTCTATGTTATAAAGTAATTAAAACCTTTTAAAGTTTTTAAATCCGGACTGTAGCTGCCATTCAAAAAAAAAAAAAAAAAAATCTGGGCTGTTGCTCATATATTTGGTCATGGAATAGAATTTCTTACTTAATCAATTTTTTATTCTATTACATCATTGAAATAACTAATTAGCCCTTGTTTGTGATTTTGGAAGATTAAAGTTCCTCCTGAAGTTTATATTACCTCCGTTTCAATTTATTTGCAATGATGTGAAATTCACCAACATCTAGGTAAAATTTGTTTGTGAGTGGTAAATGGAGAGAGAAAAATAAAGTTGCATTTGATGAGGAGAGATAGAAAGAATGAAAAGTAAAAAAGGAAGAAAACATTTGTTGCAAATAATTTGTCTTGCTCAAAGTTGTTTGTGCATGTTTTATGAGGATAGTTGATATGTATTAAATATCTTATACTCCTCTTTGATAACAAGTATCACTCTGTTAGGTTGATTGACTAACATTTACTAACAAATATTCAGGTCCAAACACCTGATGATATTGTGAATGCAAATCGTCTTATATTTCCTGGTGTTGGAGCATTTGCTGCAGCAATGAATGTTCTAAATGAAAAGGGGTGAGTTGTCTAATTGTCTTGCAAATTGTGTTATTCTCAAAAGGCTTTTAACAATCCATTCACCCCCTTTTTTTTTTCTTGCTATTATTTTGTCAGTTCCATCGTATTTGGTAGATTATGTATTGATTTTACCCTGTAATTATTGAATTAAGTTGTATAGTTCTATTAGAATAGATGCTCCTTTATTTCGATGACTGATTACTGATGTGGAAAGAAAAGCCCTTCTATACAATTAGAGGTTTAAATTGAGAGTTTCTAAGCTCTAGACTCTCGTGAAGCCTTTTTTGTTATCATAAATTTAAGTTTATCTTTATCTCTTGGTATCCGTGTGGAGTGTTGAATGTTGTTGATGAACTATGTGTACATCTCTTTGTTTAGGCTTCTTATTCTGCTTAGCATTTTAATTGTATTTCGAGTTATATAATTTATTGTTTGTGTCAGTTCACGATGGTGTTAAGCATATTTGCTTGTAGCTGCATCTCAATGGTTATTTTTTAATAGCTGAACAAAAACTACAACTTACAGATGAATTGACGTTTATTGTAAGTGAACAAATGCCAAAGTATATTCAATGGGTAGCAAATCCTGATCTAACTAAGCAACTTTTAGTTAGCATCATTAAGACTCATCTTATGCTAAATTATGACTGACTGCCTTTCTCACTTTACCGTACTAGCTGTTAAAAAAAAAGGTTCTAGTGTTGTATCAATCATTATAAGTTTGTTTCAAATTATTGGTTAGTAATCCTAAATTTCTGTTTTAAATTGGACGGTCTGGGCTAGGTTGTTAATGGGCGCGTTTTGAAGACACATCTTATGTGAACCATAATTGATGTCCTGATACTATCGGGTTTCATAACTGTCATCTACACTTTTTGTTGTTGTTTTTGCTGTTTATTGCTCTCCTATTTGTGTTATATCAATCTTTTTATGTTTGGTTGCTTCACTCCAAGATCAAACCTTATTTCTATTGTCTTAGCTTTGTATGAAAGTCAAATCTTGTAGTTGTACAATGCTTTTTTTTTTTTTTTTTCTTTAACTTGCGTCCTTTTCTCTCTATATTAATAATCTCTTGTTTGTTTTTTCAATTGTCCATAGGATGGCTGATGCTCTACGTGATTACATCAAGAATGATCGCCCTTTCTTAGGCATTTGTTTGGGCCTCCAACTTCTTTTTGAATCTAGTGAAGAAAATGGACTTGGTAAATGTTTTATCCTTCACCTTCTTGTTCTTGTTGAAGCATTGAGATGAAACTTTTGACTAAAAGGTTGTGATGAATTTGGCTCACGCTTCTTGTCAAGTACGGTAACAATGGTAAAATTATGGTTTTTTCATATACATTTTTTTTTTCTTTGGAGGGTGGGGGATTAATTTTAATTTTAGCGCTAAAACTAATGATATTCCAACGTTGTAAAATTCATCATTAGTATGATGAATAGGACTGAAAAAGGTCTGTTATATATAAGTGGGAAAGGCAGGAAATGTGGTATTTTATCTTATTGGACGAAAATTGTAATTATGCTCACAATTAGATGAGAACAATATGTTTGGTTAAAATATACGATCTCCGAATCGAATAGCTCTCAACACTTTCAATTTTTGAAAATTGAAGAAAGTCTAAACATTTTAAATTTATTTCAATTTTGGCAAATCTCATTCAGTACTTTACCTCTCTTACCCCGCAATATATTATGTGTATACCTTTCCACTCACACACTTATATTATCTACCTTTTTCTTACACCCTTTCACTACTGTCCTCACCTCTCTTATTTTATTCACCTTTTTACGTATCCTCGCCTTTTTACTTTATATGCATGCCTACTCTTATGGCCATATGCTTTCTAGCAGGATGTAAACATTGGTGCAGAAGCAGTATTTTTATTTGGCTTATTGTTGTTATCGTCATGGCATCACCTGAATAGCCATCAAATAGCTTGTCCCATGTATTTGACTAGGTGATGCCTTCTTGCACTAATTGTAACATAACCTTCAATCGATTAAATTCTTGGAGATTGAGGCTGCAATCAGTATTAAATATGGAAAAATGATACTATATTAAGATATATTATATCTTTCGATCTGAGCTTAAATGCCACGATAAATGTTAGTGCCATTTTGTTTCATGATGTAAGCTACGTGATTAAATTTAAGCTAGGAGATTAAAAATGTAAAATAGCCTTACATTTTTATTTGTTTATTGATCATCTCAATTAAAAATTACGTCTGTATCCGTTGCCATCATCAGTTTGATGGCATAGTATTCCATCAACATAAGGCTGGCTTTATTTCATTGTATGAAATTTGATTGATATGTTATGATCAATTGTTTTTATTTTTATTTTTTATTTTTATATTTTTTTTCCTTTTTAATTTTATGAATAAAAGTCTTCGACTTGGCCATCATTAGTTGTTTTTCCTTAGTGAAGGGCTTAGGTTTGATACCTGGTGTTGTTGGACGCTTTGATTCCAGTAAAGGATTGAGAGTACCACATATTGGCTGGAATTCTTTGCAAATTGAGAAGGATGCTGGAATTTTGGAAGATGTAGCAAGCCGTCATGTCTACTTTGTTCATTCTTATCGTGCCATGCCTGTATGGTTTCATCCTGTTACTTACTGATCACAAGTCAAGTGCTTACACTTTCTTTAAGCGCCCTCCTGTTATGTTGTAGCTAACTGTATTGTTTTTTCAGTCACATAGTAATGAAGAGTGGGTGACTGCAACTTGCGACTATGGAGACAAATTCATTGCTTCTGTCCGAAGGGGAAATGTGAATGCTGTTCAGTTTCACCCAGAGAAGAGTGGAGGCAAGACATTTTCCTTGTATTTTACTTATTGTTGTGGGTTTCATATCATGATTTATCCTTCCTCCTATGTTTGACTGAGAATAGTTAGCGTTTTTTTATAATTTTCAGAGCTGTATTTGGAACTAACCTATATGATTAGAACTATTGGTCATGACATAAGAACTTTATCTTAATTTTTGTGGGTATTTAGTGATAGTGGAGTAGATGATTACGCTTACCATAGTTACGGCTTTGCTCGCTATCACGGGGTCATGATGCTGCGGGAACTGAAATGTTGCTTGATCGTGAACTGATAGTTGTAGGGATATGTTATTGATGTCTAACACTTTCTAGGATCTTACAATAATTTTACGCTATTACAGTAGTTAAAGTAGCTTCTTAGGGGCTTAGAGCCATTACTTGTGAAACGTGGGGAATCCTTCACTGAATAGCAAGTAACTTTTGAGTGAAACATGGGTTGTAATGTTCAATGCAGGGTGATTCAGTGTTTGAATGTTTGCTTTGGATGGGATCGTGGGTTTTTGAACACCCATACATTTGCACAAGAAACGTGTATAAACCATGAGCTGTAGTTATTCTATCAATTTCAGTTCTTTCAACATATCTTTAATTTGCTACAGGTGCAACATGCTTAGGTGTTGTTTGGTTGCCTTTAGTTTCCATAGGCACTCAAAATTCCCATGAATTTCCTTTTGGGTATGTTGTTTGGTTGACATTAAAAAGTAAAAATGGGGGAAGTCACAATTCATGGGAATTTCCACTTCCCACAAAATATGGGAAGTTGCTTACCCACCCCACCCTTGGTCATTCACAATTATTAGGATTTACAAATTCCTACATGACAACCAAACACATTTATGTATTTCCTAGGAATTTTTATAAAGGAAGTAATTTCCCATGGAAATTTACTTCCTACATCTACCAAACAAGGCCTTAGTCTCTGAATCATTATCTTCCACTAGCGTGATGGCATTCTTGCTTAAATATAGTTGCAATTTATTTTACTTGGGTGTTCTTCAGGTTTGATAATATATTAGATGGTCTTTTGTGTTCGTACGAATTTTTTATATGATGGATTGATAATCTTTTAATAGACGTACTATATTGCTTATGAGCAAGGCAAATTATTTACCGAGGCAACTTCGTATGCTTATCTGTCTCTGATTGAATCTAACAGATGTTGGTCTTTCTATATTAAGACGTTTCTTACACCCGGAGTCCATATCAAAGGTAGTTTGTAGAGATTTTGAAACATAAATACAATTTTATCTTGTATACGTTTGCTTATTTTCAATCTAAAAACTTAAAGCTTGTTACTTCACAGAAACAAATTGAAGGAAAAGCATCAAAATTGGCAAAGAGGGTATGCTCTTAATTTTTTTTTACTTTGTTTCATTACTTCATTTCATCAAAGTTTACAGGTCAAGTCACATGTGAAAATTTTTGTCTCTCTGATTTACTGTTTGGAGCTCCAGTGCCTCCATAATTACTAGTGTAACTAGATCCTCAATATGTTCATTTATTGCGGTAACTTGGCATATTATATTTAAGTTGCATTTTAAAACATTTCACTATATTCCGGAGAATCCGGACCATGTTAAGAACTCAACTATGGTTCTCCTGGAAAGTCTTTTTACTCCAAAAGTCCAAATTGTATATCCATTCAAAGAACAGTTTCTGTACTGCTAGATGTTGAAGTTTATGTGCTTTATATTTTAATGAATGTATAACTTTGCTTCCATTGGACATGCTAAGTTGGTGAACATGTTTTCTAGGTGATTGCTTGTCTTGATGTGAGGGCAAACGACAAAGGAGATCTTGTTGTTACAAAAGGAGATCAATATGATGTTCGAGAACAAACAGGTGAAAATGAGGTATGTTGTTACAAAAGGAGATCAATATGATATTAGAGAACAAACTGATGAAAATGAGGTACCACATAAGTATCTTTGTTGCAATTTATGATGCAACTCAATATGTGTCCGCGATGAAAGTGACATAATTTCTTATGTTTCCATCTGTTACACGTAATATTATCAATATATATGATTTCTGATGCATAATTTCTCACGGTTTTGCAAGATAATTAAACACAAATTATTAACAATATCGGTTCTATCAATTGAAAATCCTTAATAATACAGCCCAACTGAAACGATTTGGCCTTGTTGAGAAAGTCAGCATGGTCTTTGCCGCTTTCTAGTTTTATGCTATCCTGATGTCTTTGTCAATGATGGTAGCCTTCTACTTTATTCTATGTTTGGCCATTTTACCCTCTTACCCCATAATATCTACACATTTCTGCCAACTCTCTCTTACTTTGTTTCCACTCCCTTGAATCAAGAGTCTAGTAAGTGGGTATAAACTATAACCAAACATGAGTCTTTTTTTTAATTTTTTTATTCAAGCCTGTTCTTTCATAAGTTTCTCTCTTCTTAAGAATACCATATTTGTCCCTTTTGCCTCACACCCCTTCTACTTTAAATAGTAGATTCGATTTTGCCTAAAATGCTTAGACTTGGTATTGAATATTTTGAATTAGGTATTTTGTATCTTCCTCTTAAAACTCTTTGCATTAAACTCTCATCATTAACTGACAAACAAATTGTACAATAGGTTGTTTTACTTTTCTTTTTTCTTTCGCTTTTCTCCCCAGTTTTACTTAAGCAATTGCTGATTGTTGATGGAGTTGTGTTTTTTTTTTTCTTTTCTTTTCTTTTCTTTTTAGGTAAGAAATCTTGGCAAGCCAGTAGAACTTGCTGGGCAATACTATGAAGATGGAGCTGATGAGGTATGTGTTTCCCTGGTTGAATGTATACGACAGTGATACTGTACTTTAAGAGGTTGAAGCTGAAGTTATCCGTTCTTTTGTAGATCAGTTTTCTCAACATCACAGGTTTTAGGGACTTTCCATTGGGTGACTTGCCGATGTTGCAGGTTTTTTTTTTTATCGAGCTTCTTTGGCTGCAATGCTCTTTTACTTATATTTTTTTCTTCTTTTTTCCTCTGCATGTTAAACTTTATAAGTTTAGCTTTTTCTCCACTACCCATTGTGTGTGTGTTTATTTTTTATTTACTAATATTCCATTTCTGTTGTTCTCTTATTACATTTAGGTTTTGAGATTTGCTTCGGAGAATGTATTTGTTCCATTGACTGTGGGAGGTGGCATTAGGGATTTTACTGATGCAAATGGAAGGTAAATAGACCATTTTGTTCGCATAAAGTACCATAATAGACAGCTGACTAAATTTGATTTTGCTTTTGTTTCCCTGTCCTGTCAGGCACTACACTAGTTTGGAAGTTGCTTCAGAATATTTTAGGTCAGGTGCTGATAAAATTTCTATCGGTAGTGATGCTGTTTATGCTGCTGAAGAGTACTTGCTAAGTGGAGTATGTCTTGTTAAGACAACTTTTTGATATTTTGTTTGCTTTTTTATTGTCGGTTTTAGAGTAGTTTTGACTGAATTTTGTAGGTGAAAAGTGGAAGAAGCAGCTTGGAACAGATTTCACAAGTTTATGGCAATCAGGTATATCCCGTAGTTACTTGTGCATTTTTCTTTTACGGTTCATCTTAGCTGCCATATTTCATGATAATCAATGATAAAGGTGGCAGTATCTGATAGTTATGTTTGTACTTTCTCCGTTTCAAAAATTTTGGAACACTTTCCATCTTGGGAAGGTTTTGAAAATTTGCAACACTCTATTTAGTTAGTTTCAAACTTTCACCCACCCAAAACCCAAATATGCCCTTCTTAGTTTATAAAGTGTGCCCAAACTGTGCTTAGTGTAAAGCGTAACACCTAGCCACCTTATATGACAAGGAAATATTCGTATGACCTTTTTTTTTTTTTTTCCAAATTGAAAATCACCCCATATTTAAAGTGTTAATTCTAGCAGAAGCCCTCTATTTATTGAATGTGAATTCATGGGTGGCTAAACCAATTAGGGAATTTGGTGGTTGTTACTACAATAGAGATTGCCAATGAGCAATCGTTGATGGTTTTCAGCGCCAAATTTCCATCCTCACACAAAAAATGTGGTGTTTTTGGTCTGTGTGGGAAGAAGAAGGGGGGGGGGGGGGATTTTGTCTTGTGATAGGTGTGTTCCATGCATTTTTCTTTATTTACTGGCCCATCTTTCTTGTAAAGTATACTAGTATTTTATTATTCTGTGATTTAGGCCATTTTAGTTTGCCTGCTTTTTATCCGTTTGGCATGGTACTGTTAAATTTTTTTTAGCAGTATCTACTTATTTATTATTGTTGTAGGTGTGCATGTTATATTTGTTATTGAAAAAAAAAAAAAATCAAATTTAGGGAGATTTCATGAGATACTCGTGTACTTTTTCCATATGCACAATACTGTTTTCTACTAATGATTGTAATGGCGTTTGCCTTTAGCGCTCTTTAGTGAAGGGGTTAATATGTACTACTTCCATTTTTTGAATTGTACCATTTGGGATTTCACGCTTGCCAATGTATTTATTTGGAGATTAATTTCTTCAATTATACTTTAGTAAAAACCATTAAAAAAAAATTGATATTTAAAAAGTAGATATTAAGACGAATTTAACTAGATCCCACATGACTATGTTCTCCTTATAGATAAGTCACAAAAGGTGGTCAAGGATATTGTGTGAATAGAGTAAAAGTCTAAATGGTGCAATTAAAAAAAGAAAGGAAGTATTACATATTTCTCTACTTAAAATGAAACGGACAAGCCTATTTTCATGATGCTTTTGACCAAAGGTTATAGAAAATTGTAGCCATCTTATTGTAGAATCTTTTGTATACTTGCGTTATATTTTCATTATTGTTGTATGCATGCAGATGATCCAGCTAGTGGTACTGTTGTGTTGTAAAAAAAACATTTCATTTTGAATCACTTCATAATTTCATTTAGCAATGCTGTATTTAAGAGATTAATGGATTATCTTGCAGGCAGTTGTGGTAAGCATTGATCCCCGTCGAGTATACATAAATACTCCTAATGATGTGCCATTCAAGTCTGTTAAGGTTACTAATCCAGGTAGAATACCTTTCATGGTGTATGCTAGTTTGATTTTACATCTATTGCATGTCGAATTGCTGGCAAGAATACCTAATTTGAACTTAATGAATTTCAATGTCAGTTTAGTTAAAATTAAACTCAAGTATGATTTTATGGCAAATAGTGATTGGCAATTCTTTATTTGTTGTTGGAACCAAATATGTTGAATCTTGAATCATTTGGTTTTTACACGGCTCTTTAGTGCCTAATTTATATCATGATTGCCTTAGTATTCAAGTAATAGGACTTATTGCACTTAGATACTGTATTTCATGATGTTGTTATGATTTTCAATTGGTTTTGAATCTTTACATATCAAAAATAAAATAAAATACAGTAATTTGGTGTTTGCCTTTTTAATGATCACAACTCACAATAAGTTGTCAGCGTTTTGGGTGAAATCTTGATCAATATCTCCATTCTAACTCCAATTTAAGCACTATTGTCCTGTTTGACAATATCTTGATTGGGATCTTCCTTTACATCAAATTCAGTTTTAATATGTCTTTTGCACCTTGTATTAATAGTTGTTGTACTAATTTGTCAATCGGCTATAAAAAAATTGTTGGACTAGTACTTGTTTTAGTTTGAGGTTTAATATTGTATTTGTTAATGTATATTTTATATTTATTATTTTTTCTCTATCTTCAATCATCTCATGTTCAGATAATGTATTCATTTATTATGATTTTTTTTTTCTAAATGCCATGATGGTTTTCAGGTCCAAATGGAGAAACATATGCTTGGTATCAGTGCACTGTAAGTAAATTCTCTGACCTGCTATGTGATTAACTTTAGATTACTTTTAATTCAAAGCTTAATGTAGTTGCCTCTTGGAAGACTGTTTTATGTCCCTTGTAACTGCTGAATATATTTATATTTTTCTCACATTTAAAAAATCATGGATAATAGCTATGTACTATCACTATTAATTTTAGATGCAAATAGAACTAAATATAACATATATTATGATCTCCTAACCTTTTTAGTTTGATGTCACCTACCCTAAGCTTGAGCTCTAAAAGGAATTAGCAATGATTTTTGTTCTAGGCTTTGCTATGTTTTATTATACATGTGATCATAGTAGGTGCTTTTGAAGTTATTTTGAGTCTTTTGACCGAACATCTAATTTGCATATAAGAGGGTATGAGTTGTAGACAATGCATGAAAGAGGGCTGTTGTACTTCCCATTGTTGCTCCACATGAGGAGTTAGAGAAGCTTCCTTCAGTTGATTGCAGTAGTGTATTCAAAGGTTTGGACAAGGGACTGTTAAGGAACATTTTCATGTTAACAATTTCTCTGTTGCTTGACTCAGCCCCTTAAGTTTTTCTATTTTTCCTGGTTGCAAATTTGAGACGGAAGGCAAAAGTCCCTCAAAGGTGAGTTTTTTTTCTAACATTGGCATAAGGTAGGAATTGTAGGATTAATACTAATGACATTCTTCAAAGGCATAGGCTGACTAGTTCCTTCACCTGATGTTTCTCTAGTGCTAGTCAGTCTTGTTCACAGTTTTCCTTCATTGTGAAATTGCATATTACCTTAGGTGGAGAGTGCCTAGTATTCAAAATTATGGATTGTTGGCTCCAAATTTGTTTTGCAGGGTTAGGTAAGGACAAGGATATGATGTTGTGGTGCATTGCTTTCTGGCAATTTTGTACTGTGTTTGGTGAATTAAACCAACTAAGTCATCTTGGTGATTCCCTTTTAAAATCCAAGGAACTAAGGAACCAACCACTATGACTATTAGACAAAATCATACTTCCTCCGTTCCCATAATATTGCAACATGGGGATAGTGCATGGATTTTAAGATGAAGAGAGAGATAAAGAGACGTAGAATTAGAGACCCGTGTGATGAGAGAGATTATGAGAGAAAGCATGCACAAATAAGGAAATGTTGCAATATATATGAAACTTCCTAACATGCTAATTGTTGCAATATTGGGGAACAGAGGAAGTATATTATAAAATGGAAAAAAAAAAAAAAAAAGAGAGATTTTAAAAAAGAAAAAAATCCGACTCTCACCAATTTTTATTTATTTTTTTTCCTCCTTTTAGACTCGATAATGATTCATCACTTTCCTGACAATGATAATATAGGCTTAATTATGAATCATCACTTTCTTGACATGAATCATAATTCACACTTGATAATGGCACCATTCTTTTGCTTCATGTATCATCCTGTTTAAGAATTTTTACCTAGAGGTGCCACTTGTTAAATTGCCTATTACTTGCACCGTCATGAGGTGGTGGTATACAACTTCAGTCTGTTGGGTCATTGGGATGAAGATGTTGTATGAAGGAGTTTGGTCCCTATATAACTTTGCACAAGGATTAGATAAATCAAATTCCCTTTCTCTTGAATGTTGTATGGTCAACTCCATCAACGTAATGTGATTATGAGGGAAATCAACAAATAGTTTTGTGTATAGTGATTTTACATGGTAGAAGTCTTTATGTAACAAGTAATGTTCAAAATATTTACTTTCTTATCCATCTGATTGAACTAAAAAAAGTGTTTAATAATATTAGCTTTTCATCTAGTTTATCTAGATTATGAAATACTCCGTACTAATTACTTTTTTCATCAATTGATATGTTTAGGCTTGTATGTTTGGTCTAACACAATTTAATGTTGTTCCAAATGCTACGTGATATCTAGTCAATGAGATATTGCACTTTCTTATGTTGATTGGCAACAAACATGTTTATGCTCCTTTATCATGCAAGAGTTCATAAAAGTCAGCTGAATAATGTTTCTTAATTGTCTTTAAATGCTTTGCGTGATGCTATGTTGGTGTCTAAAATTTTATTAATACAATGGTGCACATGCTTTTTCTTTCTTAAGGTCAATGGTGGGAGAGAAGGCCGCCCAATCGGAGCGTATGAGCTTGCAAAAGCTGTGCAGGAGTTAGGAGCTGGTGAAATATTGCTGAACTGCATAGATTGTGATGGTGGGCTTTCCTGCTTGACAGAGAATTGAATGTGTTAAGACTCTGAATACTATGCTTGGCGTGACATAGCTGAGAGAAACATGTATACTTTGAATTAAGAGTAGTGCTGCATGTATTGTGGACATGTTTTTGACTTAAAAACCCTGCTTGTATGGTTTTCCTGTTTGGATTTGGTCTATTGTATTGTTCCTTCTAGATCAGTAGTAGTTGCATGAATGTGCTCTATTTTTCTTCTCTTATAAGTGTTGTTTCATGATCATTAACGGAAAACAATTACTGATTATGATCTTCTGTCATTGAAGAACCCCTAATACTCATGTTTTAGCCATTTGTCAATGTCAATTTGCATACAGAGATTTTTTTGCTACACATTTCCAGTCTTAGTGGTCATATTATGCATTCAAATGATCCTTGACTGGGTTCTTTAGTCATCTTGTGTAAATTTTGCAGTTGGGTGTTATTTTTTGATTCAGGATTACACATTAGGATTTCTTTGTTTATTTACTTTTTTTTTCCCCTCATTTCACTATGGTAAAGGTTTGGAGTCTGTTTTTGGCAGTTTTACATGACAATATTGACATCAATTTGTTTCCTGACCAGAAAATTAAAATTGCATTGTGTGAATTATGATTCTCATTTCCTCCTTTCCCGTGTTATTATTCATTATGCCAGGTCAAGGAAAAGGATTTGATATAGATCTTGTAAACCTCATCTCTGATGCTGTTAGCATCCCTGTAATTGCAAGTAGTGGTGCTGGTTCTGTTGAACACTTTTCAGAAGTTTTCAAGAAGACAAATGCTTCTGCTGCTCTTGCTGCTGGAATATTCCATCGCAAGGAGGTAAAGTTTACCCATGGATTCCTCTTTTAATAGCTTTCAAGCTTCTACATGACACTTCAGAAGGATGATTTGTGTATTATATCTCATGTAGTAGTTGGGATTTCCCTGTTATTTCCCCTCTTCTGCTTGAAAAATGCTTATAAGTTTACAACCCTACTGGCTATCAGAATTCAGAAATCATAAGCAATTCTGTGCCTATTTCCTTGAAATATAAAATACATCCTTTGCCTGTTAAAAAAAGTAGTATTGGTGGTGTAATATGAGTATATGACAACTTGTTGAAGTTTTTCTTTTTGAACATTTACATCCTAAATCTGATTTAATTTGCATAATCTGTCACATAGGCATATTGAAACATGTTATTTGTGGGCAGGTACCTGTTCAATCTGTGAAGGAGCACTTGTTGAAGGAAGGCATTGAAGTCAGAATGTGAAGTAATCCTACTGATATGGGGCGAACCTTAGCCTGATTGAAAGGGAAAGTCGTCTATTTTTTGGGTGGAAGTTTGATTGATAGTTCTGTTTTGGTGTTGTATGTTGTACTTATAATGGTCTTCTGCCTAGTACTCCCTCTCTCCGCAACAGATTGTCTACAACCCTTTTCTTCACTTGTTTAAGGCAAAGCCAAATCTGTGATCACGGGTGGGCAATTTTAGTGATCAGGAAAGAGATAGAGAGAGCAAGTGAGGTTGCAAGGGGGAAAATTTACCAATCAAGGTATGGAGCAATATTTTAGGGACAGAGGAACAAGTTGATAATCTTTTCATAATCAACTAACCTCAAGAGTTTCTATTGTCAGGGCAATTGCGTGAATTTATTGGATTCTTTTTTGCGGCTATAAACTGCTTGATTCACATACCATTCCCCTAATTTTGTAATGCATACATTTTGCGTAATTTATGAGCAATGAACGTTCACTTACCATCCTTACCATTCCCCTAATTTTGTATTATGGGAATTCTGAATGACCTAGGAATTCTAACTTTGAATTCCAATTACTTCCTCTATTTTGCACTTTTTTGGTTAACTAAACAACTTACCACATTTGCATTTCCTATGAATTTTGGGTGTTTATCGTAAATTAATGTAACCAAACAATACCTAAGACAATATAGTCCAGGTTGGGAAATACTAAATTTAGGAATTTGGATGGTGAGAGTCTGTAAAAATATAAGAGTATACACAATGGTTAATCATAACCATTGGGGTTATAATTTATTTTATTCATTTATCTCTCTTTTACCTCATTTGTAACCACTGGTATAGCCAATGTATCTCAATTGCAACAAACAAGCACTAAATCATTCAAATTGAAGTTGATTTTTCAAATTTTGATATTATGGGCATAATTCAAGAAGAAAGCATAACATCACAACAAAAGATTTAAGTAGAAATGTATTCGATTTGAATTGTTAATTTGTTGTTTATTGTAGTCAAGCTTAATTTGAAAAATAATTTTAAATTTTTTTTCAATAAAAATTAACAGAGGAAGTATAAATTGAAGATGAACATAGAAATATAGAGTTTTATTTTTAATTGCACATGAATAATTCTTGTTTGTTAAAGTTAAACACATATTATTTTGAAAATTGTAATCTGGATTTGATTTGAATTGAACCAATGTTAATTAGTTTTGAATTTGGTGAGAATTGATTGTAATTATAGTACAAAACTACAAAGGTGTATGGAGTATTTTTCTAAATCAGGTGTTGCCGTATGTAAGCCTCATCTGATGTAATTTTGTAAAAATCTTATGTTATTTTACGCAAATTATGCGTTATTTTACTAAAACCAAATACTACTCGTAATTTATTTTACGTAAAACTTTTTATTTTTTTTAATTTATTTTAGGCAATCTTTTGAAATCATTATTGACAATATTTTTAATTTAAATACCTTGAATAGAAGGTTTTACGTTAAACGATTTGATATGATTAACATATTAGTTTAATTTTGAGTCATGATGACTTGCGAGGGGTTTCGGCTAAATAGGATCCTTTTTCACGAGTTCGGCTATAAGGGTAGGAAACTGAGCGACGACTAAATCATTAAATTAGACGTCAAAACGTAAATTATATGAATTTGCCATCTCGAAAATCTACTAAGCTTGTATGGTTAAAGGATACTATTGTTAAGATAATAGTTGCAATTTGTTTATATACATGTAATATATTTATATTACTCTAATTTATAAATCTAATATATAATTTAAGAGTATGTTTTTGAGGTTTCTCCAAAACTTCAATCCTCAATTCTTATGCACTCTTGTTTCATTATGTTTTTTATTTTTTATGCACTATCCTCCAAATAACTTCCACCTTTTTATTTTTTATTTTTTAAATATCCAAATAACTTCCACTACTACTCTTTTTACGTAGTATTATTTTTCCTATTAACTTCCACTTTACTCTTTTTATTATTTTTCCTAATAGTAACACACATACTATCTATTTTAGTCAATATTTAGAAGAAAAAAAATACTTCCTCCGTTCTTTATTACTTGACCCGCTTTGACTTTTACATTGTTCACCACCCCTTCTTTGACAGTCTTTTGTGAATAATATGTAAGGAAAAATATATTAATGTATGATATTTTTGGATTCGTCTCAATAAGTACTATCATAATATATAACTTTTATAATATTTACTTATAGAGAATTTAAGTTATTGATCGTTAAAGTTTTGCATTGGCAAGCGTGACAAAAGAAACAGGTCAAGTAAAAAAGAACAGAGAAAGTATGTATTTAAATATATCAACCAATAATTTGGTTTTTAGAAACCCCAATATTACAAAGAATCTATATTATTATTGCACATTTTTTTCCTAATTTTCCCGCTTAACACTTGAAAATCAATCTTAAAACTATGTGTACTTCATTTAAAATAAAAAATACAACCACCATAAGATCCACTATTGTAACAATTGTTAGTATATTTTTATAAATTACTAAATAATCACCTTTTTAATAATTCAATAATTATCAAAATCAAAATAGCATGATTTTAATTTGGTTGGCCACACCGTGTGATCGACATACACACACTAAACACTAACCAGGTAACCCCAGTTAGAGTAATTTCTGAATGAATAACCCTTGCCCGACTGAGTAATCCTTGACTAAGTAACTCTTGATGGGGTTACCTCTATAACACTGAATGGATAAACCCCTATAAAACTAATAAAATAACTCTTATAATAGCTGGTAACACGGAGTGGTCAGCCATATATAAGAGTTAGTTACCATATAAAATTTAACTTCCCGTATTTGAAACATATATAATTTTTGTCATTAGATTTTTTGTAATATGATTGTATAATTATATATATCCCATGCATTGCACGGGTACACTCTAGTAACTAAAAATGGATGAGTAACTCGTTTCACCACAAAAAAAAAAAAAAAAAAAACCAGTTTCACTTAAATTATCCATGAATACTCGCAACTTTATTGCATCAAACACAATTTAAAATGACCGGTAAAATTAAGGATTTTTTACGAAACTGAGCCCTATTAGCAAACTATTTACGAATATAGACGCTTGGCCAAACTATTTACGGAATTGAGCTTCTGAGGTAAAACGCTGCCTCGGTCAGCGTTTTACCTCTGTTATTATTTTTTGGCTAAATTAGAAAATAACACCTGTTAAAAGACCTAATTTTGTTTTTAACACCTTAAGATTTCGAAGTTTAATTATAACACCTGTTAAAAAATAAAAATTTTGCTTTCACCACCAGATAACAGAAACTGTGACGGAATTTTTTGGTGGGGCCCACATAGTCGTTTACCCTCCAAATTCCATCCCCTTCAATTCGAATTTATCTTCTCTGTCATTTATTACCACCCAACTAATTTTGCTTCATTGAATTTCGTCTGCAAATCTTGAACAACCAAAATTACTGCGAACATTCAAACCCTATACTGATTATTGTGATTGAGAAATTGAGTTGGAAGAGGAGGTGTCAATATTGGAGCGAATCAAGTCAGCGAGATTCCGTCAGCCATTTCCAACATCCAAAAAGCTTGGACTTTTTCGTGGATTCTGACAGCAACAGGAGTAAGATTCCAATACAGGTACCTTTCGAACCCTTTAAGGTAGTTTTCAACAAGTACTGTGTGCTGCATTATGCCATTTGTGTGGGTGTAGTAGGGTAATTTGGGAAAAAAAATTAGGAACCCTAAGAACAGTAAAATGGGTTAATTTGTAATTAAAGTTGAATTTGATTAAATTAAGTATGATTTAGTGTAATGTGTGAATTATTTAGTTTAAATCATTGATTTTATTGACTGTTGACTGGTTTGTCATTGTGTTGGTTTAAATATGTTTGATTTTGTTGATTAAAGTATTGCGGTTGACTGTGTAATGGGGTTAGCTATGTTGGGTTTTATTGATTTGCTTTGCATTTGTTTATTAGGTAGAAAAATGGCCGACAACGAAGATGGATTAATTGATATAGTATTTAGAGTAGGGGGCGCTTTTGTTACTAAACAAGTGTCAAAATCAAAGCATTTGCTTTGTTGGTGTGGTGGGTTATGTTATTGGAGGAGGGATGTGGTAGTGGATAAGATAGATTTGCATTATTTGAGGGTAGCTGCTGTGCATGGGTTTGTGAACTTTAATGTCCATGTCCCACCTAACTACAGACTTTGGTATAAAGAAAGAGGTAGGACCTTTAACACAGGGAGAAGGGAGTTAGTAAATGAAGAGGAAGTGAAGGGGCTGCTGGAGACAGTGAATGGGGAAGGGTATGTTGAAGTATTTGTGGCTGCTAATGAAACATTAAGGCCCATACATTAGATCCAGGCCCAGTCCACTCCAGTAAAGGCTGAGAGAAAGGGGAAGAAAAGTTCAAGTAAGCCTGCTGTAGTTAGGAAGAGCCCAAGAATTAACAAAAATGAGCCTAAGGTGAGGGAGGGTGAAGAATCTCCTAAACCTAGATCTAGACAGGGGATAGAAAGGGTTGAAGGGGTTTCTGCTGAGATTAAGGGGGTTCCTGGTAAAGGGAAGTTGTTGAGTAAGGGGAAACAAAAGGGTAAAGCTAAGCTTGAAAGGGGTTTTGGCAGTGTGAAGGTGTTGGATAAGGGAAAGGGTAAAAAAAAATCTGTAGGCAAAGGATTGATTTTTGAGGATAGTAGTGAGGGCAGTGAGACTGAGAGGGAAGATGATTTTTCTTCAAGTGATGGGAGTGAGATTGACATAACTTGGGAGCCTGGAGAGGAGGAGTATGACAGTGGGGATGAGAGGTGGTTTGTGCAGAATTCTGAAGAAATTTTAGCTAAGGTAACAAGAAGTCTTGGGAAGCAGTTTGATGTACATGATGAGGGGGTTTCCAAGGATCCAAAGGCAAGGTTGACAGATAACTTGGATGTGAATGAGGTACAACTACAAGAAGAAATTGAGGGAGAATCAGATGACCTAAGGAGCTTGGATGGTTCATCTGATGAAGAGGACAAAAGTCCATGGTTTAATGACAAATCTGACTTCTCAAAGCCTGTTGTACTTGTTCATAGGCTTAGGTTTAGCAATGCTACAGTGTTGAGGAAAGCTTTAAGAGTTCATGCCATACAGAATAGGTATGAGTACTATTTTTTACACAATGATAGTACTAGGATTACTATTCAGTGTAGGAATAGGTGTGGGTGCAAGTTTGACACAAAGACAAGTAGGATGCCTTTGTGTATATGCAGGGGTGGAGTGAAGTGTAGTTTCAAGATCCATGCTACTAAGTTAAAAAGACAACAGACTTGGCAAATAAAAACCATGAAGTTGGAGCATAAATGTGTGAGAAGCAGGGAGAACAAGAAGGTCACAGCAGAGTTCATTGCTGAGAGGTATCTTGAGGATTTCAGAACTAACCCATCATGGAAGGTTAAGCAAATCAAGGATAGGGTGCTTCATGACTTGGGGGTAGAAGTGACCTACTACAGGGCTTGGATGGCAAGATGTAGAGCTAAGTTGATCATTTTTGGTTCAGCAAGAGAGCAATATGCTAGGGTATGGGATTATG